AAAATTACATGATTTAATATAAATGAAGATCATACCACAAGTACTAATCCAGCCAGAATATATGTTAGAGCCCGGCGCGTGACCCGACACAATTAATTTCACACCTCTATTCAGTTATCTGCTTGTGCCCAAGAGCAGCGTATGGTCTGAGGGTCTCTTAAGTGGTTATCCTTTCACTGAGAAGTCTATTTGTGCCTTTGTGGACCGGTGCCTTCAGGCACATTAACTCTGACCTTTATTTTCACCAAACCGTTTAATCACTGTTGCATTAAGTGTTGGTGTTTGGGCAGTTTAGCTGTTTCACACCAGAGTTAGTTCGCTCTGGATCTCAACAGGTTTGACTTGTGCTGATAAGCAGTGCTCGATTTGAAACGAGAGAATTCTGGGACTCATTAGAAGGGAAGATGAACAGGCAGCGAGGACTTTGAATGAAAATTTCAACACAGTTGCTTTCTCCTCGGCTCATTTAAAACTATGGCCGTGCTGGAAGGCCATCCACGCACACACTGGCGTTCATTTAATAGCTCCTGTGTTTCCAAATCATTTCCAATTTTTCTGTGTATTTGAGCAATGTTTGAGATGCTTGACAGTGAGATAATGGGGGACCTTGAGAGCCAGTTGGAAGCTTGCCTGCTTCCTCAGGGAGTTTTTGACAGCTCAAATGCTGAGAATAAAACTTCAGAGCTTTAACAGGAAAGTCACAGCAGGAAATAATTAGCAATTTTGAAATGAAACCGTGCTGATTTAGTCAGCCTTTGGGAGCTGGTTATAATCTAGATTTTACACCAAAATGCGTTATAGTCTCAATGCTGGTGTGTTTCCAAGCGCTCTGGGACGCTACGCTGCCTGAGGGGCGCTATAGAACTGCAAGTTGTTGCTGTTTTCTTCACCTTTTTTTTCAAGTAAACTTCTTTAATGAGCTTTGTATCCGAGTGGTGCATTAAATGCCAATGGGAATTGGAGTTTAATTAGTGATCTGAGAGTCTAAATACAAAATATAGTCACTACACTTTAAATCCTGTGAAATTCTTTTGAGACATCCTCCCAATGTGAAAGCTGCTGTTTCGAAACGCTAGGGTCATTAATTGCTCTGAAACGAGCCGTTGCATTTTTAATAACAAGTCTATCCTTATTTATAATCTTCAGCCTTCAGCCCTCTTACTAGCACTGACTTCCTTTCTTCGTAAGCTGGTTCTGACTTCAGTCTCTCTCTCCTCTTCTGTTTGTTTCTTGCTTGTTAGCCAGGTTAAGGTTATGCTGCCTTTCCACATGTTCACGATTGTTGCTGTGGAACCTGGGGATGAACCGTGGCGCTTGTCTTCACTTGCATATTCAGGCAGTCCTCGAGACTGTGTAAACTGAGAGCGGCTGTGGACATATCCTGTATATTGTGATCCCGATACCGTGGGCCTGCCGCTTCCTGCAATTTATAGTTTCTGTTTGTTTAGGAGCCAAAAACAAGATCAGAATGTTGGGGTTAACTTCTTGATTGCCCAACCTTGTGCTACAAGGATAAGATGTCATGACAAACTGTTGCCTGAAGTGGCTCAGATTCAGTATCACTGCATTTGTAACATCCATAAAAAACAGATATCATCATCTCCCTTCGGTGTCTGTTATGTTTGACACTTTCCAGCCCCTTTGAATCCGAAGCGGAATTTTTGTGAAGCCCATGGATTGAGAGCAGTTGGGTGCTTATACCATTCTAAGTGATGCACACGCAGCAACACATGAACTGAAAGCCCTTACACTTTCTATACTCGCTGACATGATGAACCATGTCTCCCCTCAGCAGTTAGTAGGGCCTCAGCAGCCCCCCCGACTTTGACATTAGTGTCACTGTATCACAGAGACATTCTGGGGAAGGTGGTTAAATCTACTCCTCACCCACGGGCTCAGGCATTGACCAGTAAATCAACCCAGAATGGTTTCAACGTACATTCTGCTTATCTCATTAATTCCGTCTTTAAGGCTGAAGCCGATACAACAGCAGCAACAACTTGCGTTTATGTAGCGCCCCTCACCCAGAGTAGTGTAACACATCACTCAACTGACTGTTTTGGAGGCATTATTAGAAGCAGTGCAGATCCATTCAAGTGGGATTCTGCTACTTTACGTTATGAATTTGTTGTTGAGGCATCTGAAGCCACGGGTGTTAATTTTAGCACGAAACGTGTTGTATAACAATAGCACTTCACTACCATGTACAATATCTCATTTCCAATTGAATTGAGGCGTGTGTGTGCATGCAGCTTTTTGACTTGTTTTCATATCAATGAAAACGTGAGCAAATCAGGAATTCATTCTGTTGACATTTGAGCTCTGATGCTGCAAATGATTTGGGACCTAACAGATTGGCGGTCTGTTTTCTCCCAGTATTCTTCATCTAGACTGTGGAGGTGACCGGTAGAGAGTGATTGTCCTTGGCCACCAATTAGATTTCTTTTCTCTCTTGAATCTTTCTAACTCTGGTGGAATTGCTGGCTGTGAGTCTCAAGCCTGGGAAATAAATGACTGCCCTCACGCTTTGGAACTCCCATCCCGCAGTCCTTTTGCCTCACCTCCTCACTTGCCTCCTTCGTCTCAGGACCTTCCTCTTCAATCATGCCTTCAGTCACCTCCCATCCCGCCCTCCACCTTTCCTGATCCCACCTCCCAATTTGCGTGCAAATCATTGCCTGTCCCGTGCTTTGGCACGTCCTCTCGACCTGAAAGGCGTTATACAAATGTAATTTGTTTTTTTGTTATTCCTCACACGCTCAGCAACAAAAGGGCTTAATTTGTTGCATAGTTTCATCAATAATATATGTGGATTTCTACCTGGATGCAGGGAAGGAAACGAGCGTCGAGCAGTAGTGGAAGGGGAGCTAAGTCATTATGGATCGACATCATTCAGGGCTGTTTGAGCAGAGCTTCACTGTGTGTAGGTTCAGAGAGAGAAAGAAAAAGATGCTGCTTTTGATATAGGGGAAGGTTTTGTGTGGGATGCCTTAGTGATCCGTCCTGGGAATCTCCCTGTTCCATCTCATCAAATGATCTAGATTTGAAGCCTCTTCGGTGCAAAGCAATATTTTCCCAGTATATCAAGCTGTACTATGAAATCAGAGGAGGCAGCAGAGATCTTAAGCCAAGAGCTTGACTGGGATGCTCCTGGAATGATCGCTGACGAGTTCAATAGTGGTGAATTGCGCAGAAGTAAAACAAGGAGATTCATTAGAATTTCTTGAATGGGAATCGGAGGAGGCTTAGCGGCTCTTCGTTGACTCATTGATCACCATCTGTAAATTTTGCGGCAGCAATAAACAAGGCAAACAGAACGCTGGGCTATGTAGTCATGTCACGTGAGATCACATTGCTAGAAGTCATGCTTATCCTGTATAATGGTCTGACGTAGGCTGCATCTGGATAACTGTGTACATCTCTTGTTGCTCTGCCATACCTGTGCCACCAGCACCCTGGAGTCTACACTGAAGACAGCAGTCCAGCTGTCTACTGAGCTGTGAGGAATTGCTGATTAAGGTAGAGGAATTTTTAGCCTTGAAAGGAGGAGACACCGAATAGCTGTTGAAATTTACCTCATGTCGAAGACATAAAAAAGTGCTGCATAAAATGCAAGGATTATTATGTTTTGCTGCAACGAGAAGACTATGGACACTTGTCAGAAAGCATAATAATAATCCTTGGATTTGATTGACCATATTATTATTATTTTGGTCAACTGAGATAAGATCAAATGGGCAGAAGGGGTCGTCTTGATCAGAATCTCTTGTGATCAATTTTTGTAAATTACTGGGGCTGCGGATTGATTTTGAGCCTGTTTGTTTGTGTAGTCCTGATGTGATCTCAGTGTACAGACTGAGATCTGAGAGAATAGGAAATGAATGATTGTGAGTAGTGGGATGTTCTTTGAAGCACCCTCAATTAATGACATACTCCCCATGTCTCTCAATCAGTCAGTTCCTCTTCAGTGTTTCCTCTTCAGTGTCATTAGTTCACACACAACAAAAGCAACTGCGTACAACTGCAGACTGAGAGGGGACAAAACCCAAAAAGGCTTATGAAGTGAATGCATCTCTCCAATTCTGTAAAGACCAAAGTCTAGATGAAAGGGATGGCTTCTTCACAGAGAAAATTGTCTCCTGGAGGGTATTGACCCTCCTATAGATTTATTTGTTCCTCCTTTGAACAGTCCTAAACTACATTAGAAAATGCCACATGTTGTCACACTGATACTGATGGCTTGTGGTTGTTGGCAATTTTGTGGATGAATAGTGCAATAAATATCGCAATGGGACAGCGTTTGGAGTCCACAGTAACTCAGATGTGTGCTGCATCTTCATGTCTTTCTCCCATCTTGATAGAGAGAGAGAGAGATACGCACTTTCACTCACTCTCACACACTCATGCAACTAAATTCTACTCAAACAGCCCTTGACTAAGTGCAACACGTCAGCTGGGAATCGGGGGCTTTATTTTCTCTTCCTTTCCCTCTGAAAAATCCCCCCAATCGTTGCAGTTAGGTAATGGTAACTGTCTGTTCTCATGCCCTGCTCTCCAGACTCTGAGAGGACATTGCTTTGATGATTAAATATTCAGCACAAGGCTTTATATTTTTTTACAGTAAGTAGAATCCCATTGTAAGTCAATTGGTGGATCGCTCTCTGGGGTAATAACCCCTCAAAAATAAAATATAATAATAATTATTATTATTTATGAATACATTTGGCGAAGAGTTGCCTCAAGTGATACAGCACACAACTGGCCATTTGGCCCAACTAGTCTCTGCCAGGGGTTGAACCCCACATAAAGCCCCCTCTTATTTATTTCTCCTGCTTGCTGCTCCCTTGTGTGTGTAACAAGGAGAAAGAGGAGGGAGGGTTTCGTATTGGATGGTGAGTGAGCTGGATAGGCTGTCCCAAGCCACCACTGAATGTGTTGAGTTTGGCTTCAATAAGTGATGATAATCCTGTGTTAATTAACAGGCTGGTTTGTGTCCGCAGGTTACGAGCTGCTATACCAGCCCGAGGTGGTGCGACTGTACTTGTCACTGCTGACGGAGAGCCGCAACTACAACACATTGGAGGCCGCAGCCGGAGCCCTTCAGAACCTGAGTGCTGGCCAGTGGACGGTGAGAAGTGAAGCTTGAATGTTTCAGTGCAGTGAAGCTCACATAAGCCATGTCAGTCGTGACAAGACATTTACCAGACATTTAATATGACTTATGCAAAGTATGAGTTATGTCAAACCTGAATAGAATATAAACTCTTGAACGGGACTTGGGCAGACGCACGACTTGGGCGATCACATGGTTAATGTGGATCAGACTTCAAGTTTTAATGCAGAAATGTTAAGATGGTTTTCAGCAACTTGAATGAATTTTTTGTTTAATTCTTATTGGCCTTGTACTCGGAGGAGAATTCGGGCTCCATTTCATTGAGGTGAATTTCAACAACTAAGAGATCTCTTCTTCCCCGCACCCACCTCCCTCTCTCTCTCTCTCTCTCTGTACAATGCGCATTGTATTGCCAGGTGTAACGCCTCCAGAATTACAGTTTCATTCACCAATGATAGTTTTACGGGGTGGGGGGTGGGGGGAGAGAATCATGTTGAACAATCTGCGCGCCCTGCAGTCTGAGCCGCGTGCCCTGCGGTCTGAGCCGCCCGCCCTGGGGTCTGAGCCGCCCGCCCCGGGGTCTGAGCCGCCCGCCCCGGGGTCTGAGCCGCGTCCCCCGCGGTCTGAGCCGCCCGCCCTGGGGTCTGAGCCGCCCGCCCCGGGGTCTGAGCCGCCCGCCCCGGGGTCTGAGCCGCCTGCCCCGGGGTCTGAGCTGCCCGCCCCGCAGTCTGAGCCGCGCCCCCCGCGGTCTGAGCTGCCCGCCCCGCGGTCTGAGCCGCCCGCCCCGCGGTCTGAGCCGCCCGCCCCGCGGTCTGAGCTGCCCGCCCCGCGGTCTGAGCTGCGCCCCCCGGGGTCTGAGCCGTGTCCCCCGCGGTCTGAGCCGCGCCCCCCGGGTCTGAGCCGCGTCCCCCGCGGTGCCCGTGTTGCAGCTCTTTTGAAACCCGCTGTTGATTACACCGGTTTGTGCTGTGTATATGGGAGCGGTAACTGTTGCCCTCTGGTGGCAGAGAAAGGAAGTGCGCGGCAGTGGGATTTTATTGTAAGGGGATCGCAGCTGCTTAACAACAGTCAGTGCAGCCCCGGGGACCGAAAGGGGAAACCCTACTGTGTGACCAGTTGTCTCAAATATTCCGAACGTGGTCTTTTTCTTGGTCTCTGCCCCCGGTGACTGGTCTGCTCTTCCATGTCAACAACAATAACAACAACAACTTGGATTTATATAGCGCCCTCCACCCCGGACGGCGTCTCAGAGCGCTTTACAGCAACGGATCCCGGGGCCGAGCCAAGGGGTGGGGGAGAGGGGCTGTGGGGAGGTGACCAAAGTTGCGGTCGAAAAGAAAGGTCTTCACCAGAGACCTGAAAATAGGAAGGGAGTGAGGAAAGGAGTTCCAGAGCCGGGGCGTAGTGGCTGAAGGCACGGCCGCCGAGGGTAGAAGGGAGGACTCTGGGGACGAGGAGGAGGCCAGACTCGGAGGAACGAAGGCAACGGTATTGTTTTAAAGACAAGGGTGAGGATCTTCAAATCGATCCTCTCTGGGATAGGCAGCCTATATATATATTTATATATATATATACATACACCTATATTTCGATGTCCTGCCGATGGGCCAGGCTGACTGGGCTGCCGGCAGCAATGTCCTGGAATACTGAGGTCCCGCCTGGATCAGGAACTGGATTACCGAGATCGCTAGAGAGTTGGATCGATTCTGATGTTCTCTTGCCAAATACGTCACCTTGAAGCCAGTTCAGCGTAAAGGATGCGCCACCTCGACAAGAGAGACAGGCTCTGGGCTGTGGAAAGCAACCGCATTGGTTATCTAGCACGATGGGCCACATAGCGTATTCATCTGAATTGGTCCCTCACTTGTGCAATAAGTAGCAGATCGATGCCTTGTGTGGATTGATATGCAGACTGTTAACTACTCAAGCTTGTTCTTGTATATTTTGGTGACTGATCACCACTCTGCTATTGTTTACAGTGGTCCAGTTACATACGTTCAACTGTGCGGAAAGAGAAGGGCCTGCCGATCCTGGTAGAGTTGCTGAGGTCAGACTCCGATAAGGTGGTGCGAGCAGTGGCCATCGCACTGAGGAACTTGTCTGTGGACGGACGCAATAAGGATCTCATAGGTACAGGGACTGGGAACGTCATCTATATAATGTCCTTCTGTCAATGACACATCATTTACTTTGTCAATTTACCAATAGATCCTGGGTGGACGGCTCAGTTGTCTGGACTTGAATTATCTCAATGTTTGTTTTAAAAATGGTTTCTCTTATCTTAGTTTATCTTAATCTTGTCCTTAGCAGCATTGGGGCCTGTGGATGAGAGGCGCCATATAAACTCTTGTGGTTGTTGTGGATGCCCCCTTTTGCTAAGGACAACATTTGGCAGCCAAGACAGCAGCACATTCACGGCTCCAGTCAGGAATTTTGTGTCCTGAATTGAAAGTGATTCAGAATGTTTGCCATGATAATTAATAGTTGTGCAGTACAAGAGGAAGAAACCCACCGTCTCTGAACTAGTTCTTCAAGAGCTTTGCAGACAGCCCAGCCCACTCACACAGGATGTCTGGCCCACAACTGGACAGATGATAACACTGCTCAGGGCATTGAGTGCAGTACATTATAATGGAGTTCTGTCTCCTGACTAGTGACACTGCTGTGCAAAGGATCAATCTCAGCTCTTCACAAAACCACACAGAGAATCTGTGTTGGTGAAATGAAGACTGCGAGAACTCAAGAAATGCAACTCATGACAGTGTTCTTGTGTGTTAATACTTGTGCCTCTGTCCCCTCCTCTCGTGAAGGTAATTACGCCATGCGTGACCTGGTGAGTAACCTGACCGGGGGCCAACAAAGACCTGCCAAGAACCTGGAAGAGGACACGATTGTTGCCATTCTCAACACTATCCACGAGATAGTGACAGACAGTTCATCCAATGCCAGGTCCCTGGTTCAAGCGCAGGGCATTGAGAAATTGGTTGCCATCAACAAATCCAGGTGAGCCGAGGAGTAATGCTTATACTGTACAGCCCTGTAGCGTGGTGATTAGGACGTTCGCCCCACGAGCAAGAGGACCAGATCTAGATTTGCAACGCTTCACACTTGCTCCTGACATTAGTTACTAGTTTCCACCTTTAGCAAAACAAAACACTGAAGCTCCAGCAATTTCCCGATTCTTGATCCTTGTCCATTTTTTGATTTAGCAAAGAGTGTGTGTCACTCTCTCCCCCTTTTTATGAGTCAACTGCCTATTGTTAATAAAGAATATTGTTCAGCAAAATACCTTTCATCATGGATACATAGTCAATCTATAGCAATCCTCCTCAATGTCCCCTGAGCAACGCTCCTCTTAATCAGCCGAGAGCTTCATCCAGTGCTTCTATAAACATTTCTATAAAGATGCTTCTTGAGTCCGATATCCTGATCTGAAGGTTCTTTATAGTCATTTTAGTTCTCTGACAAAAGGTGTCGTCTTTCGTTGCTATATTTCGCCCACAAAATATACAGTTGATTCACTTTACAGTGTCTCCTGTGAAGAGCTTTGAGGCGTCTCATGATAAGGCACTGTCTCAAATGCAAGGATTATTATGATTGCTGCTTTTCCCTGAGTGCTTGTCTGACCCCTTTCTTCTTCCATAGATTTTACTGTTTGGATTTCTTTTGTGCATCAAAGCAAGAATGCAAATTCTTCTATATTTTTGGCAGAGTTTGACAGGAAACCTTATTGTGTTAAATAGGAATTGGAGAAATACTTATAAAAGGGTGGGTGGGGGAAAGGACAGTGAGTGAGACTGACTAAATCTTTCATAGATACAGCTGTGAAATGAGCAGTGGATAGATTCCAGGATTCGATCCTGAACACACTGTCTGTGCCTTTAACTTTTAAGGATTTGTGTTTCCTCTCCAGTTCCCTTCATCGTTTGAGTTTGGAATTTTTTATTTTAAAAAAATCTTTTAATTCCGCTCTGTAGCCAGTCAGTGAGGGAGATGAAGGCCGCCTCCCATGTCCTGCAGACCGTGTGGAGTTACAAGGAGCTGAAAAGCGCTTTACACAAGGACGGCTGGAACAAGTCCCACTTCCAGGTACAGGAGCAGTCAGAAACAGTTCCTCTGATCTTTCAGTGAAAGTGATGGTCGATTTCCTGGGTTTTGCAGGCTTTAGGATTGTGGAGGAAATGACGAAAGAGACGGCCTACTTTGTGGAACGCGTTACCACCCACCTTCTGTTGGGTCACAACACCGGCAATAAATGTTATTTTTATACAACTCCGTATATTGTGGGGTGCTGTAGCATAGTGGTTAGCGTGCTTGCCTCGCAAGGGAAGCGAGAGGACCCAGGTTTGATTCCGGGTGGGGTGAAACCTTAGGCACGTTGGTTGCATGAATAAGTTTGCGCCCAAAATAGTTTGGCTCAATTACAGGCATATGGTTTATTGGAAGACACTTCAATCCTTGGGGTGTTTTTTTTGTGATGAATTGGTTAGCGGTTCGTTTCTTACAATCTTTTTCCTCGTGTGTAGCCGAATGCAACCACACTTCCCAAGGGAGCTAAAGGTACTGGGAGCAGGACATCGGGATATGACGACAGCACTCTGCCATTGATTGAGAGGAATCAGAAGGAAGGTGAGTTGTGGTCACTGGCGACGGATCCTATTCACCAACGTGTCAAGGTTATCACCTGACTACGCACACCCACCCTCTCCTTATTAAGATACTGCCAACAGTTTAGTGCTTTAACCGCATAAACATGGACCTTATTGTAAATGCTAACCGCGTTTTCAATCCAATGTCAAATTATTTCAGAGGCTTGTTTTTCACTGTGGGAAGAATCTGTGGTCACACAACCCGAGGTCCTTTCACTGTCTTGACACCTCATATCCCCTTCACTGTTTGATCTCAGCCTCTTCCAGCCACTTGGCCTGAAGGTGCCATCCAGCCTGCCTACCGCCAATGGCTGGTGTTTGGCTGTTAATGTGACTCTCACTCCCAATCTCGTCTCTCCCCCTCCCTCCCCTCCCCTTGAGACACCTGTGCCCAGTGCCTTACTCAGTGAAGCTATGTATGTCCCACATAAATACAACTGAGCATCCTGCTATGATCAAGCATTCTTCTGGGCTCTGGTGTTGACTGAAATTTCAACCCTTCAGAAGCTCCCTTCAGTTGTCGAAGGGTTTGAAGTTTGATGTGGGCCGCTGGCTGGTGGCAGTGAGCAGCTTCGGCTGTGTTACCTACGAGAAACCTCATGATCAGTTCTATTTTTAGGTCAGAAACGATCTGGTGAAATGATACCCATGGATGAGCTTGGTCCAGGTAAACCTTCCTCTTGCTCACAATCAGAGTCATCTTCTGTCTGCCTCAATTCAGTGCCTTTTCTCTTTCCTTTTGCCATTTTCCTCACTCTCTCTCTCCTGAAAATGTGGATTCTGTGCTTGTGGTCCAGTCCCACTGGCCTGGTTTTGTTTCCCAACCTGGCCGTTTTTTTTTCCTCACGTGAACCTGAACTATGAACGGCAGCAGATTCCTACTGGGGTCAAGGCACAGCTTTAGAAGCCACAAATCCCAACGCCTTGAGACGTCCTCCTGATGTGAAAGGCGCTATACAAATGTAATTTGTTGTTGTCTTCGTCCCCCTACTCTACGGAGAATTACTGTCGCCCTGAGATCAGCTAATCAGAACAGAGTTCAAACCTTCCATCCTCTAGTCTATATGGCGTAATGCTGAACCATGTGGCACATATCCCCACTCAGGCACCCAGTCACCAGGTGTAAATTATCATTGCCTCAACATTTACAGACTTTTTTGGGTATCGGGGGGCTCAGCCGGGTGTCTGACACGCGTGGAAACCCATCACCGTTGCTTAAGAGTTTCCAAACCAAACTGAGAATTCCCCGCATCCCACCTCCACCTGGAAATCCCAGAGAGAGATTGTTGGAATGGAATGCGCTCTCTCTCTCTCCCTCCCTCCCTGAAGGGACGTCCCCTGCTTACCCAATTCCGGAAGCATTTACAGACTCCAGCCTTGCAGTGCTTGCCCCAAAACTAATACTGTCACTGTTCCCCCCCCCCCACAAATGACGACCTTCTTGTGATTAATGATGGAGTCGGTCATGTGTATAATGTGATGATCTCTGTGTGCTGTGCTCGGGAGGGTTAGAGGCTTGTGGTCTGTTCTGTCGCCTCTTTAAAGTTTGGGTGGTGGTGGAGGTGACATTGGTGAGCGGTGGCCGAGGCCACGAGAGCGGCTCGCTTGCTGGTCTGCTCGCCTGCCGTCTCTAGTGGCGCAAATCGAGTGCTGCAGCAGCATGCTCCTCTATTGACCTGGGTAAGACATCTTTCTGACCTGCTCCGTCCCTGGATCAGTGCTGTACGTGAACACATGTTCAACACTTTCTTAGGCTTTTAGCATCTAGAAGTCTGCTGGACCTGCATACTGTGGGTTTGCTAGTCTCCTCTGTTCAGTGTGTTGGGTTCACTAACCTTTGGTGAGCTCTTGACTTTTTTTTAAATATTTTTTTTAAAAAAATCTTTTCTTAGGAATCTTTCGAGTAAACATAATGCTCTGTCTGCATGAGATAAACGTGGCAGCTTCTTACACGGTGTGGGAAGTGGTGCTTCCGTGCGGTTGACTGCCGTGTTTCTCTGCATTTATAATGATGTGTCTGTCACCACAGATGGTTACTCCACTCTGGATCAGAGGGAAAAGGAGCGCAAGTATAAAGCCACAGAAAGTTCTGGGGATGCGGCTGAGCGAGAACCTTTGCGGGTAGGCCGTGTTGTGTGTGCGTTGTCGCGTTGCGCATAGTTTAACCCTAAAACATTGCTGATTGTGCTGCTTGAAGCAAGTTCTGGGAGCAGAATCATAGAATCTTGCAGCACAGGAGGCCATTTGGCCTGTCATGCCTGTGCCGGCTCTTTGAAAAAACTATCCAACTAGTCCCACTCCCCCTATAGCTCTGCACATTTTTCCTTTTTAGTACCTATCCAATTCCCTTTTGAATGTCAGAGAAGGTCACCAGTTAATGCATTTACACACCCGGGTTTTGTGGTGGTTTGTGTGTGATAACACGATTCCATGAACACGGGGTAGATTCCCATTGCCAGTAGCTGTTGGATAGAATGGAGTGATGCTGATTGTTGGGTGATAATCTCTTGATTAAGTGCTCTATCTGCTTCCTCGCTCAATTACAAAACAACCTTTACAAATTTGCTCTCTCCACGTTTTGATTTGTCAGCTCTGTGCACGAATGTTTGTTTCTGACCCCGATCGCAAGGGCGTGATTAGTGCCTGCGGGCAGACGTGAATTTTGCATGAACCATTTCTGAAGTCGGGAATGAATTGTTCCTAAATGAAATGTTAAGACCACAAAAAAGGAATAAATTGGCGACAATTTGGCTGCTCCAGTGCCTTGCGAAACTAACCTTTCATGAACTTTTGTGGCAGAGTTTCTGTGGTCAGCTGAAAAACTTTAACTACTTGATCTCATTCCAACTATTCAACCCAAACCAAAGTCGCCCAGAGTTTCAGTTTTGAGGCTCGGCAGAATCGTGCTGTTTCACCAAATATGGCTTTCTGATGTTAAAACATGAGGGAACTCACTAGATGTTAAAGTAGGAGTCCTGCAGTGTAGTGGTTAGAACACTTGCCTCACAAGCGAAAGGACCCGGGTTTGATTTCCGGCCAGGGTGAAACCTTAGGCAAGTTTCCTTACTCCACACACTCTGTTTACCTATCAGTAAGTAGGCACCCAGTAGTTAGTTAATTGGCAGATTGCTTTCCGGGTTGGTAATAATCCCTTCAAAAAAATAATAATTTGATCTCTGAATCCATGACTGTATGTGCGACAATGCTGCGTGCAATTGACTGCCTTGTTTTGCCCACAAAATATACAGTCCATTCACTTGACAGTATATTCTGTGAAGTGCTTTGAGATGACTTGAAGATGTTATAAGGCACTATATCAAATGCAAGGATTATTATTAAGTATAACCCTGGAAATAGATTTGCAGTAATCTGAAGTTTTGCTGATGGTTCATGAGTGACTCATTAACTACTACTTAATTCTAAATTAAGACTGAAATTAAGAATTTTTCACATTTTAAAGACATTGACTTTAATCAGCTTGTAAAGGTGTTTGAGACTTTTCTGGTGACAGGGTTCAGTGAATATCCCTTTACCTTTTAAATCATAGTCTCCTTTAAAATTGAAAACACTTATTTTGTTCCTTTTGAGTCAAAGTTTTTCAGTTGATTCAATCCAGGCTTGAGCTGATCACACGGAAATGCAAGGCTGCTCTCTGAAGTGTGAAGGAACAACTCTGATGTTGTCCTTACTTTGTGTTCACACTTGCACTAAATCAGGACCTTTCAATGCCCTTCAATCAACTTGTCTGACTGGAGACAAGACGACCAAATTACTGCACTTTATTTTACGCTCTCCCAGGTTTCTCCCAGCAGTTCTCAATGCAATGACACACTGTTTAAATTAACTTCACAAGCCCCGCTCTAAACATCTCAAATGTCCAAAGTAGTTTTGCTTCCAACAAAAAAAATTAATGCATCATAAACACCTCCTATTTAGTGTGTGTCTGTGTATATAATACACATATATTTTTAAGACCAATTTATTCTTTTGTGGCCTTATTCTCTGAGCTGTCGAATGTCACAATGCTGCTTGTGCCTTTTTATCTCTAACTGTTTTAAAGCCAGCTCTCTCTTTCTTTCTCTCTCTCTCTCTCTCTCGCTATTAACCCTCTCCCTGTCGCCGCAGAATGATACAAATAAGAGAAACACTAACAGGAATATTAGGGCCTCAGTGAATCTTGTGGATGCTCATGACATTAAACCTCACCCCGTTGATTCCTGGGTCTAAATGCATGATGGTAGGTCTCTTTGGCTTGTGATTGTTTAATTATTAATCTATTGCACACCAACCATCGCACACAATTACAACTGAAGAATGTGTTGCTTTATATTTTAAGGACTGGAGCCAATCTGTGTCGAAGGATTAAATGTGCACCCATTTCTTCCACTCTACTTACATAGGAACATAGGAATAGGAGGAGGCCATCCAGCCCCTCCATTCGAGCCTGTTCCTCCATTCTATAAGATCATGACTGATGTATACATCAACTCCAATTACCCGCCCTTGCCCCACCCATATCCTTACTGTTTAAAGCTGATCAAATCACCTTACTGCAATCCCTTTGCAGATTTTATTTTACATGGGAGTCTTTGTGTGTTTTTAATACATATAAAAAATAAGTTGACGGGCCATCGGATCAGATAGACTGAAGTCCTGCTCCCATGTTCTGTAAATTGATTTTTCTTTCCATGGGACGGCTGACTTCAGTATGTGTTGGAAATATTGAGAGGTTTAAAATGAAGATTTCTATTTTCTTTAAAATGTATGCTGTAACTTTTAAATTGAGTAGAACTTTGGATGTTGTGCATGTTCTGGACGGGTGGTGTGGTGTGATGTCCAGTCTACCCCTGAAGTCACTAAGGTTGTTTGCTCCCAGGTAAAGTGATTGATAATTGTGTGATGCTTGGCTCATTCCATTTCTTGTTCAGCGTATCTTGTGGTGGGTACTGACTCACATTGCAAGTCCCTCACTGAGGTCAGCTTGCTGCTTATTCCAAGATATTTTACAATGTAAACATTTCTATATGTTTGGGGTACAATCTATTCTCTTAAAGCCTACAAAGAATTGTTTTTTAAAGTGTACAGTAATGAGCTTTAGTTAATGGCCAGGATTAATAAGCATTTGGGTGTAATCTGTACGAAAGTGGAATAATTCCTTTTTGAGTGGAAGCAAGTTTATGAAGCGTATTATATGCTTAGACAGGATTAGAATTTCCACTGGGAATTTGGAGGTGTCTTAAATACAGACAGATGCCCAGTGATTTTCACTAATTCTTGCCCTCTCCATTGCTCACTGGTGTCATACTTCATCTTTACATCCAAGAAAGCTCCCAGGTTTGATCTGTGCTGACTTAGCCAAACACGGCCTCTCTGGTAGTGGCATGTTGGTTTGTTGAGTTGCCTCAGCGGCGGAGAGAAGGGAGTGGGGTGAAGGGTTATTAGAATAACATTAATGCAGCGCCCTCACCAGGTTGAAGCATCTCAAAATACAAACACAAACATAGCCAGCGTTCCCTTCCTCTCCTCCGGTATCTTCCCACAGTGGAGGGCTGTTACTCCAGACCCCAATCTTAAATCCTCGCATTTGAACACAGCACCTACAGTGATTTTATTGTGTTGCAGAAACAGTCCAGCGCTGCGTTGGTGGTTTTCTCCACTTGAGTCACTAACTAATGTTTGCCCCATATCCCTTGATGCCCTGACCTAACAAACATCTGTGCACCTCAAATGCTTCCTTATTTCACTCCAAAAAGAATGGAAATGCATAATGCCACATTAAATATTTATTTTCTAAACCAGGTTTTAAATTTAAGGTGAGTTTTTATTTGGATCTCCCCTTTAAATGTTAATCTCCTGACAAACTATATGAGAAACATGTTTAATTTTCCACTTAGATGTAAAACGGCCATTTCCTTACTTCATTGATTATGCAATTCCCCTTCATCACTGATTGTCATTTGAGAGCTTTTTTTCCATTGTAGATCTGAAGTAACTCCAGTAAGTGAAGTATCTGTGTGATTACTAGAATAAATTAAATTGGGGGAAAAAATAATCAATTGTTTGGTTACCATGAAGGTTACCATGAAGGTCGTCTTGAAAGTTTGGGTTGGATGTTGTCATTCTGCTGAGATGACATAATGTTATCAATTCAATTCCCAGAGGACCACAGCTAACATTGGCAATGGGTCATTGGAAGTTACTCTTTCCTGTGAGTTATTTCCCCCGATTTTAAAAAAAAGACTGAGGATTTTGAAGTGAGGCACAGAGTGAAGGGAGAAACTCATAAACATATGCAGACATTTTTCTTAGGGTTTTTGTACAGGATTGTAACTTGCAATTCCCCATTGCACCCTGAAGCCAGTACTGTGCAAACAGGTAACGTCCTTGAGGAACACATCTCAGTGCAGTCTTGAATGGAAATGACAGACATACAGAGAAACACCCTAATGTCTAAGGTTAAGCATTTCCCTATAAATGGCATTTCTGCACTTTGACAGGGATTATCTGTGAAGCACTTTGGGTTTTTCACTGATGGGGTGCTCGCTGTAAAAATGCAAGTTCCTCCTTTAAACTTGGTAACGGAAGTTCAATTCAGCACAAGCTCACATTAGGAACCATGACAAATTGGAAGGATGTCCCCAGGCGCTGAACGGCCAGGGATTTGGACCCGAGCTGGGGGATGGGATCAGAAGAGATGGAGAACAGGGGGAGTGGGGGGTAGGAGGGGACTGAAGGCACAGTCGAAGAGGAGGGTCTTGAAGGAGGCAAGGGAGGCAGCGAGGCGGTGGAACTGTGGGCTCCTAAGGAAACACATTCCTACCAGCACATCTCTCTGCCCGAAAACCACCAGCAAAACAATCAATGTATCTCCATTCCAAACCGGCAAGGACAGGGTGAAAGTGGGTTCTTTTTTGGAAGAAAAGGCAAATCTATACGTCACAAGAAAATGGAAGTGCCACTGTTGATAGTGAAGCACATTTATCAGTGGTAACTGAAGCAAACAATCTTAAGTACAATTTTATTTTGTGTGTGAGGAGGGGGAGCTCAGGTGGGACTCCAGGAGACAGATGGCTGGTAACTTGGTATGTTTGGTTCCAGGCATGAAGTACAGCGATAACTGAACACTATACAGAGGATATCATCATTCATGACGGCCGTTAAATTTGGACGACTTGATTTCGCGGAAAAAACACAAACTCTTTTTATCCAAATCAAAAGAAGAAAAAATATTGTCTGTCAATCCTGAAATACCATTGCCTTTCTGGGGAGTTTATATATTATAAAAAAGTCTCAACTACATTCCCTCTGAACACAACGTACCCATTACCCCCCTCCCCCCCCAAAATACAAGCTTTGTCTGGTTGGCTCGGTTTTTCTTTGAGATGTCTGCGGGAGATGATGGTCTGAACTTAAGTATGAACCGAGAATGTTGTGTGGCGGGAAGGAAAGGTGCCAAGAGGATATATCTCTCTGATTTTTTTTTTACAAAGTTGCTTTACGATAGTTTTTATAATTAAACCAATTAACCATCATTTTGTTGGCACTTTTCATTGTGAAAGGTGACGACTGAATACTGATTTTTTTTCTGCCATTTTTAAAAGTGGAGGATTTGTATTTTTTACAAAAGTAAGATCCCGTGTGGAGTTGGAATCTGTGTGACTTGACGTAAGAGGGTGGGTTGGATGCAATATTGTTGCTGGTGTGGAGAAGGTAGACCAAGAGGAATTTGGAAGGTGTTTTTGATGAGCTAAAGGCTGTGAAGTTGATCAGCTAACCTGACTGACACTGCTGACTTTATTGAATCATTGTACATGTACAGTTATAGTCGAGAGATGCATTATGTTTCATAAAGAGAAGACAAACATTTTAGTCGACTGCGGTACCTTGCCCGCTCTTAATGTGAAAGCCAATTTTTAATCCCGAGTTATTATGCATAAATGTAATCCCTTTTTCTGCCGTTTTCTGTATTAAAACTGTTTGTTCCCTCCTGGATTTTTACTAGTTGTGGATTTGATAACTTAACCCTTACACATCTGCCGTGTAGCTTTTTGACCCACAGTCCGTGTGGATTCAACAACGCCAGCCGTGGGGCTTTGTGTGTCGGAGCGGTTCCTGCTCTGAGGGAGCGTTGTTTTCCTCAAGTCTTTTCGAATCCGGTTTCAGTGGATTGAGCTTGCAAGATGTATTTTAAAACCATTATTCGTCTCTCACTTTGACTCCGAAAACTGGTGAAGTCATGTTGTGTAAAGGTCCGAACAATTTTTTTTACTTCTCACAGCAGAGTTATAAACTCTGAACTTTGAAATCCGGGTGCCTGGAGAGAGTATATGTAATCATGTTCCAGAAATTCCCAATTCCTGGAAGAGCGGATTTCATCCGGTGTTCATTTGACTGATCTGTACAGTGCGTAATCATTCTGTCTAACATCAATGGTTTGACTTTTTACAATGTCATTTTAAGGCTAGCTAATTTTTGAATGGGGTAGAGGGTGTGTGTGTGTGAGGGGGGAGGGGACATTAAATCTGAAGCTGTCCTCGATTTCGAATACTAAGATTGAATGAATGAATAGATAAATAAATAAATGAACTGGACTACGTCACTTGCCAAAACCGTGTCGGATGGTGTGGGCACGACATTTGCTATGAATTCATATTTGTTACCAAAGGGTTGGAAATTGCGAAGGCCAGAAAGTACTTCACAGAAGTAGTTAGCAACCTTTTAATCTATTATTTTTTTGACACAGTTAAAAGCCCCGCTGGGGGAAGCGTTGAGCAAGTTCTGGATGTAGATATTGCTGTTCAGATTTCTGGAAACTTCTGGTAATTAGTGGCAAATGTGTTTGTACTATCATGTGCCTTAAACCTTTTCATGGTAGAGAAAAAAAGATAATGTGTTTTTTTATATATATATATAATATAAATATATTACTCTTAGCATAAGTGTAGTTTATACTGGTGAGTTTTGCATTGCATCACACTGTACTATAAATGACACCATAATGACTTATGCTTTCTTAGAATTATGCTCCAGTGACGGAATGTACTCTGTTTAACTTCACTAATCGCCTGCAGAAAGGTAGTGAGCTTGTTTAAACCAGGTTTGTAGAACTTATCAACTTGGTGTGTTTTCAATAAACAATGCCTGGAAATTATCTGTCTTTTGAACGGTTTATTAAGATTGCGTCGATCAATAACGCGATCAGTTTGCGGTCTGGGCAGGTACCAATTTAACCCACGGCAAATCATTTCTTTTTCTGACCTTGTGTGAACCAGCAGCGTATTGTGAAGTCCTGTAGCGTTGTGGTTTGAGTGCTTGGCTTGCAATGCAAGCGAGGCAACCTGGGTTTGATTCCCAGGCGGGGCACGTTTCCTTACCTCGCAGTAAGTAGAACCCAGTTGTTAGCCGATTGGCGGGTTGCTCTCCGGGGGTACTAATTCCCCCCCAAAAATAAATAATAATTTGGTCACTCAATCCACAATTGTTTGTGGGACACTGCTGTGCTGGCACGTTTCGCCCTTTACCCAGTCACACCACTTTACAGTGTATTCTGTGAAGCGCTTTGAGACGTCTCAACTATGTGATAAGGCGCTGTACAAATACCAGGATTATTATAACCTGACTGCAGTTGTCTTTGTGAGGTTCCACTTTCTGATGCCTCTTCCCTCCCTTTCCGTGCTGTAATATCAAAACAAATTCTGCCCCTTTTATTCCCATGTGAAGTTGAATTGTGGGGATGAGATCAGGCCTCGCGTGTCTGACTTTCCTGGCCACCAGTATTTGCGCATTTGCTCCACATCGTGTAGTGAAAGCGCCTCGACACTGGATCAATCAATTATTATCGCCCACAAATGTACGATCAATTCACTTTACAGTCTATTCTGTGAAGCACTTTGAGACGTGGAGAGGATGTGAAAAGCGCTATATCAAATGCAAGGATTATAAACATTATTAGCCCTCAGTTTGCAAAACAAAGTGCACTCTGAATTTTGTTCCTTTACAGATTATGCAGCGTGGTTTGGTGGAGTTCCATTAACTTGTTTTGATGAACGGACTCTTTATGTGAAATTTGTGCTGTTCTTAATCCCTTGGTGCAGCTTCTCATGCGTTTTATTTTCACTGCTGTGAATTAAAGGTGTGAAGTGTCAGGGAGGTGCTCGCTTTGTGACGGTTTCTAATTTGTTTTATCCTTCAATTGGATTAATGATTGGGTGGGTGGGCAGTTGGGTCAAAATGTTTTTTTTACAGAAGCTATGTTGGATACAGTATTGTTGAGGTTTGCTAAATTCAGCGATACAGTAGATTAGACTCGATTTCTCCCAATGCTGCAGAAGGAAATCATTGTAACTGAGTGCTTTATAAAGAATAATCACAAACCAGACCATTTGAAGCTAGCGTTCCCAGCGAGGAGCAATCCAGTGTGTTTTATTACAGTCTGTAGTTTATCATGTGGCACACATTGACATTGAGTTGTGAGCAGAAACCTGAACCAAACTAAAGTGTAAATATTAAATCCCAACAATGAGTGTCTGGCATGCGATTAGGAATCTTGGCTTCTCTTGTTATTTCTCAGCAAAATTCGGGTTACAATTTATCATCCCCAGAACAGTGACCTCTACATCTGCAACAGGATCACGCAGCAGCCTGGGGTCTCTCGCAAAGGAAACCTGTTCAGCTGGGTTTGGGACGGACGCTTAGGAAGGGGGCGCATTGTACTATCAGAAAGCTTCGATACACAAGGGAACAGCTATTCCAAATTCACAATCCTGTCCTTAAGTTCTTTCCTCCCAAAATATCACTGCTACTAAAAATTATACAAACCCACGAATTGACACTATTTGAGGCCGCGTCGAGCACCGGTGACCGTCTCGCTTTCCCGACACGACGCGCGTTTGCTGAGCCGTTAGTTAGCTCTTAAACACGGCCTTTTCCAGCCCATCCTCCACTTCGCTATACTCCAGGTGGGAGGGGTAGTGGGTGCAGTCGTAGCGAGAGCTTCCGCGTACGTACTGCAGGAACTCGGGGGCTCCCGGGCTGATCACGTTGTCTGCCAGCAGGACAGTGCCCTTCCTCAGCAGCCCACACTCCTGAAAGAGTTAAAAAATAGATTAATATCCTTGTGGTTGATATAGTGTTGTTGAGTCATGTCAAAGCGCTTCAAGAGAATGTATTGTGAAGTGGATTGTGTATAAAAATGGCCAGTGTTAATTGCTTAATAATGTTGGGGTGTACCACAACCTTAATTCTTCGTGTGGTGAGGAGTGAGCGAGCAACTGACACAGGGTGGTAACTAACGGCTGTGAGGATATCAGATTGGGTGCATTTCCTGTTGCAATTCTATCAAAGTCACTGGAAATGAGATATCCACACACACATATGCGATGCTCTGCCCTGACCCGTCTGACTCTGCCGCCTCCAGTAAGATATACAACAACAACTTGCATTTATACAGCGCCCTTCACCCGGGGTAGTGCCCCAGAGAGCTTGATGTGTCTGTAAGATCTGTCACTGACCTCCAGGAGCTTTGTATCCGGGACGTATCTGTCCTTCCAATGATCCAGAAACACAAAGTCTAGCGTGTCCACATCGTGCTTCTTCTTCAGCTGCGGGATAATGTCCTCCGTGGAGCCCTCCAGGATGCTCACCTTCATTTGAGTAGAGAAGCGAGAAACAGGCTTGTTTATGGATGGATGGTCACCACTTAATGTGATGTTATACTTGGTGATTAATCAGTCAGATTATTATTATTATTACTGCCCCCCCCCCCCCCAAAGTAATAAATAGTCCTGATATCACAAACCATCTGTTGTAAAGCACAAGTCTTAAGGGAGAAAAACTGAATGAAAGACCACTGTGACTAACCTAGCTACCCCAAACCACTGATCCAACTCACTGTCTCATCACTATTTAATCAATGACCCCTTATTTTTTGTCAAACCATCTTAGGACTTGTGCTCTATCCCCTTTAAGATAAATACACACCCCGAGTAACTGAACAAATCTTATTATTTGCTTTCTATCTTAGTCAAAAGTTGCTGAAAAGATTCATGCAGTGAACAGATTCAACGTTATTTTTTAATGGTGATTGACTGGCATTTCCTTTGTGGTGGAAGACGTCTCTCACCTTGTCCTCAACCCCAGCGAAATGGAAGACTTGTTTGGCAATGTTGGCGTTGGCCGGGTTGAACTCAATGGTGAGCAGACGAGCTCCCGGTTTTAGAACTTGTGCCATCCTCAGGGCGGAGTAGCCACAATATGTTCCCAACTCCAGCACTGTGGACGCATTCGCTTCTTCCAGCACCTTGTCCAAGATGGCGCCTGCAAAGGAACATAAGAGTTGCTAGACGAAAGAAGACCAAGGTCAACCCAGTTCCCCTTCTGGCAGGCGTTTGACATGTTGTGTCCCCAAATTGTGTACTGTATCCCCAGATATTATTTCCTAAAATAAATCTTATCTAATTTGCTTTTGAAAGAACCCACACTTTCTGCTTCCACTGTCTGTCTCCCTGGGGAGCCTGATCCAAACATTCTTTTTGCTGTGAGACATTCTGACATAATAGGTGCTAATTGCAAGTTTTATTTTTGATATAACACGCTCAGTGTTAATGTGTCGCCACACACTTCACTGATGCATTCGCTGTGAATATTTAGTATATTTAGAGGATATCCTGTGAAGCGCTTTGGAACGTCTCAACAATGTTTTAAGGCACTGTATCAAGTGCAAGGATTATTATTTGTCTGCCAATGATGCTGTGTGTGTGTGTGTGTGTGTGTGTTTTCAGCCAAGGAGAAATTACAGACGATCATATTTTTGTTGGGTATTAAATGTGACAGGAGACCTGTGGTTGCCCTAAACTCCATGGAAACCCAGCAATGGTCTGGGTTACGCCTTTATTGGCTCAGTAGATTGTCTTCTGCTTTTAAATTATGACTAAAAGCACATAGAGACGATTACCGAATGTGGAGCAGCCCTCGAGAACAGCAAACAGTTTTAATAATAATAATCCATGCATTTGATATAACACCTTATCAAATTGTTGAGACGTCTCAAAGCGCTTCACAGGATATACTGTAAAGTGAATTGAGTGTATTTTGTGGGCAAAGTGTGGCAGCCATTTGTGTACTGCGGCATCCCACAAATAGTGGATTGAATGACCAAATTCTTAATATTTTTATTGATTCGTTTTTGAAGGGTTTATTACCCCTGGAAAGCAATCCGCTGATCAACTAACAACTGGGTTCCGACTTACTGCTGGGTAAATAGAGGCGTGTGAAGTAAGGAAACTTGCCTCAGGTTTCGCCCTGATCCGCCCAAGAATCGATGGGCAAAAATTCATCAGTACCTAACAGTGTGTCCCCAATTAACAGTGGGAGTAAATTAGCTGTGGTCCTGTGCTCCAGCCCCTCCACCAGGTGCAAAGCCCACGGCTGTTTTGAAAAAAAGGTCACATTCGGTTTTGAAGCCTTCTGCTATTGACTAGTCTCCCAACATTAATTCGCTCTCACGTGAATAATGATCACATGGGTTGTCTGCGATGCTGTGAGCCAAACCCTAACCAGGGTGGCTCCAGCTAAACAATCAGCAGGAAGCTTGCCAGCCAGAAGCTCTGCCATTTTGCCTGGTTAGACTCTCATCAGTTACCCTAATAGTAATAATAATCCTTGCATTTGATATAGAGCCTTATCACGTTGTTGAGATGTTTCAAAGCGCTTCATAGGGTTTACTATAAAGTGAATTGACTATATTTTATAGGAGAAACGCAGCAACAAGTGCACACAGCAGCGTCCCACAGTTGTTGATTGAGTGACCAAATTCTTATTTATTATAATCCTCCGAAATCGATCCACCAATCGACAAACAACTGGGTTCCTACTTACCAGGTAAACAGGCGTTTGGAGTAAGGAAACTTGCCTCAGGTTTCGTTCGCCCGGGAATCAAACCCGGGTCCTCCCGCTTGTGAGGTGAGTGCTCTAACCACTACACTACAGGACTCCACAATATACATTCTGGGGTCCCCCAAGCTTCCACTGTCACCAACCTACGTTCCCTAAGTGAAAGAGGCAGAACTAAGTGCAAGTTGTTTGAGAGGACGATTGCATTTGGCCTGTTCAGAGGAACGGTAATGATCCCGCAGCACTGTTTGAAAAGAGAAGCGAGTTTCTCTCTCCTGGTGTCCTGGCCGACAATCCCCCAGATAAATAATGTCGGTTGCTCACTTTATGGCCGTTTGTGGGTCACTGTTGTGCTCAAACTGGCTTCAGCGTTTCAACAACAACGACGACTTGGGATTTATATAGCGCCTTCCACGCAGGACGGCGTCTCAGAGCGCTTCACAGTAAGGAATCCCGGGGCCGAGGGAGGGGGAGGAAGGTGACCAAAGGCGCGGTTGAAAAGAAAGGTCTTCAGAAGGGACCTGAAAGTAGGAAGAGGGGGCGAGGCGAAGGGAGTGACGAGTTTCGCCCACAAAATACACACACACACACTCACACACTTTACGGTATCTGCTGTGAGGCGCTTTGAGACATCTTGATGACATGATAAGGCGCTATGTCAAATGCAAGGATTATTATTAATAATTTAGTTTATATTGAGCAATCTTTCTACCGGAATTGGTCGGTCTACCGTTCGTTACATTTCGACCTGCAACTTAGTGCTCGTCTCTGAGGACTGGTCTCCGGTGCAACAGCAGAACAGAACCGGACGGAGGTTTCTAACTGAAGGATTTCGTGGAAAATCGTTTTGTTTTTTGCCAAGTCAGATATCTTACCTTTCTCATCGCCCACATTCATGGCCCATTCCTGTTCTCTGCAGTATTTATCGATGGAATCCACCACACTTTTTGCATCTCCCCTCACCCCGTTCTGCAACACAAAATCTAAGATCCTGCTCTCCCTGCTCTTGCCCTTCACCAGGTTCGTCATTTTCTCCTGGAGGACGGTGTGCCAGAATATAGCTGTCGCGCTGTGTGTCCTGACCATTCTCCGCAGCAACAGGAAAACCAGAAACAGACTCGCTGCTAAAACTCCCAGCGTTGGGAGGTACGCCACCATCTGTGCAACAACAAGTTACATTTGTGCAGTGCCTTTCACGTCAGGAGGCTCTCCTCGATATTGCTACGGATCAGATATTATTAGATTGTCTTATAATGATAATCCTTACTCCATTGCGCTATTTTTGGACCTTTTAGTTCCCCCAATAACTCATCTTTTCGAAAGCAATCCGACTCCGCTGGGAGTCCAAATTCCACTTTAACTGGGATTCTAATCTAAGTGTAAGGTCCACAAAGTGCAGCCGAGGGGAGAATATCACAGGCCACTGTGTTAACTCTTTAGCTGTAAAGTTTTGAAATGTCGTCCTGACGTGAAAGGCACTGTACGGATTACTGCCACACACCAGTATTGTAATTTCCACCCTTTAATGTCCTCTGTCCAATCTCAACCTGTGTCTCAGTATGTTGCCTGACTACAGCACAGGAGGTTAATGGTTGACAGGTCCTTAGCAACGCTCTACACATTATGTACAGAGTGCTCTTGTCATGATTCACAGGCCTGGGTTAAAATCCACCACTTTGGCAAGCGCAGCTTGTAATGTACCATCCCCTTCAGGAGCTCATGACTGCATCATTTTCCTTCTGTACACTACACAAACAGGCGCACACACACACACACACACTCTTACATACTTACACCGACCACACGCACAAGAAACACAAAGAAACACACATAACTCCCTACACACACAAACACAACCACAGAGGCAAACACACACACACATACAATTACCAGCAGCTTGGTGTTGTGGCGGCCTGGCTCTCACCTCTGTAACAAGGTTGTGTATTGCAGCCGCTTCTGTCACGGACGTTAAACTCTCCGATGTCTTCCTGTCCTGAGGTGAGAGGTGCAATACATAATACGGTCCTTGCATTTGATACAACGCCTTAACACGTTGAGACGCTTCACGGGATATACAGTGTCATGACTGTATTTTGTGGGTGAAACGCGGCAGCCAATTGCGCACAGCAGTGACCCACAAACAAGTGTTTACGCTGCACAGTAGCTCGGGATCGTGTCAGGACAGACTCCACAAGAATTAACATGCAGACGATGTACCCTGTGTGCCGACAAGAGTATTGAAACAATAAGGAAGCAAAACTGCTCCATCTCTCCCTCCCCGTGTCTCCTGCACCATAAACTACACATCTATTCAGGCGTCGTTTTATTCTGCCTCTCGTATTAAACCCAAACCCTCTGGTTAACGACCTGTTCAGGGAAGGAGATGGTTGTGACAGTTCGTCAGGGTTACTGCCTAGAATTTAGATGTAACGATCAATAACAATAACACCTCCAGCGATTTGGGGGGTGTGGGGGGGGGAGAGAGAGAGAGAGAGAGGAAGGTGCAATTCGTTCTAATAACTTGTAATTGCATTAATCTTGCTAAAGGAATCTCGAACAACAGAAACGATCAGTAAACTGACTCTGTACTCGCCAGAGGAAAAATGACCTGTTCAAAATATTTTGTTAGTCTTATTTCCGTTATCAGTGAAATACTTACTTGTTCGTTCAGAGAAATGACTTTACAATGTATCTAGAAACCACCAGCGTCTTTCTCAACGGTTACTGCGCTCTACTTACTAGAAGTGGTTGAGGATTTTTTATGCAGTTCGTTCCCAGCCAAAATGATCGGGCGAAAATCGCTGGCTCAATCCTCTCTCTTCTCAATAAACAAGACGGGTTTGTATGTTGTACGGCATAGTTGTTCAGAGCTCGCCCCACCCCCATCCCGCCAATCACAAGCCGTTACCTCATTGTACGTTACAATACAACTGACATCTCCAGTCCCTCAACTCCATAAAAAAGGCAAAATGTGACCTTTTCTTCTGTTGATGTATTTGTTGCTCTGCTGGAACCAGTCTGACTGATTGACTGATTGACTGACTGACTGACTCGTTCGGTTCTATTGCCTTTTTTTGCTTTCTTCGGGGTCGGATTCAAATCAGAAAGAATAATTTCCTCTCCCGCGATTCTCACTCGCCGGTTCCTGCTCGTGCCTTGCCCTCCTGGGCTATTTTTAATGAGCTTTTCCTGCCTTTGGTAACCCACGTATTCCTAGCAACCGGCAGCAAGGAAGCTATAATAATAATAATAATACTCGCATTTGATACAGCGTCTTATCGCTTTGTTGAGACGTCTCAAAGCGCTTCACGGCGTATACTGCAGAGTGAATTGACTATTATTTTGTGGGCGATTCTAAGAAAGAGCTTCTATGTACATTCTCACAGACTCCTTGGCCTTTAGATCCAGTCTCTTGTGTTCTGATGACTTTTGACAGTTATGAAAATCTGAAACCCGACCATCCGGCGCTGGGTCAGTGTCGAGCACAGAGCAGCTACAGTCAGCCGCTCTCGCTTCACTTCTTCTCCCGGCTCGAGGCATTGTTTCACCGAACGAGGGTCCGTGGAGAGGGCGAACAATACAACACAGCGACAACAAATTGCACTTGTACCTCATAGCACCATTCACGTCGGGAGAGTGGGGGTGGGGGGCGGGGGAAGAAACAATTATTAAAAAAGATATATATTTTTTTTAATATCTTAAAAGCAACTGAGAAAACCCACCCCGCGTGGGGGGGGGGGGGGGGGAAGGGACCGAAATCATTTGTTTTAGCTTTTTTTTAAAAAAAAATAAATTCTGCAGCCTGTCAGGCACTCGATCCACGGCGGCGTGTTTGCGGACTCGTCAGCATGCGCTTGGGTGGGGGGGGGGAAGGTGTATGTGGGGTGTGTGTGTGTGGGTGGGGGGTGGGTGTGTGGGTGGGGGGGTGTATGTGGGGTGTGTGTGTGTGTGTGTGGGGGGGGTGTATGTGGGGTGTGTGTGTGTGTGTGGGGGGGGTGTATGTGGTGTGTGTGTGGGGGGGTGTATGTGGGGTGTGTGTGTGTGGGTGGGGGGGGTGTATGTGGGGTGTGTGTGTGTGTGGGGGTGGGGGGGGTGTATGTGGGGTGTGTGTGTGTGTGTGTTTGCAGTGAGTTTGCGCTTGGGTGAATGAATGGAGGGAATCCGACACAGGAAACGAGGCGTATAAAATGAATTGTCCTCAGAAGACCTTTCTGGATGATGGTAAACCTTGCATTTGACGCAGCGCCTTCTATCGCGGTGTTGAGACGTCTGAAAGCGCTTCGCAGACCACACGGTAAGAGTGGAAGCGACTGCGTGTTTTGTGGAAAATAAACAAAAAAAAAGAGATGTGGGAGCAATGGGCGCAGCGCCAGAGAGGGTTCGTTCACCGCCCGGAATTCTCAGCTCGGACGCACCAGGAAAAAAATCACTGCAGCACTGCGAGTGTGTCACTGTGTGTGTCAGTGTGGGTGTGTGTGTCAGGGTGTGTGTGTGGGGGGGTATCAGGGTGTGTGTCAGGGTGTGTGTGTGGGGGGGTATCAAGGTATGTGTGGGGGTATCAGGGTGTGTGGGGGGGGTATCAGGGTGTGTGTGGGGGGTATCAGGGTGTGTGTGGGGGTGTGTGTGTGGGGGGGTATCAGGGTGTGTGTGGGGGGGTATCAGGGTGTGTGGGGGTGTGAGTGTGGGGGGTATCAGTGTGTGTGGGGGGGGGTATCAGGTGGTGGGTGTGGGTGGGGGGTTGTGGGTGTGTGTGTGGGTGTGTGTGTCAGGGTGTGTGGGTGTGTGTGTCAGGGGTGTGTGGGTGTGTGTCAGGGGGTGTGTGTGGGTGTGTGTCAGGGGTGTGTGTGTCAGGGGCTGTGTGTGTCAGGGGTGTGTGGGGGTGTGGGTGGGGGTGTGTGGGTGTGTGTCAGGGGGTGTGTGTGTCAGGGGGTGTGTGTGTCAGGGGGTGTGTGTGGGTGTGTGTCAGGGTGTGTGTGGGTGTGTGTCAGGGGGTGTGTGTGTGTGTGTGTGTGTCAGGGTGTGTGTGTGTGTGTCAGGGGGTGTGTGTCAGGGTGTGTGTGTGTGTGTCAGGGGTGTGTGTCAGGGTGTGTGTGTGGGTGTGTGTCAGGGGGTGTGTGTGGGTGTGTGTCAGGGGGTGTGTGTGGGTGTGTGTGTGGGGGGTATCAGGTGGTGTCTGTTTCCGGCTGATGAAGATGTCAGCTCCCGGGGGGCGGGGCCTGACAGCTCACATCCGGTAAGATGGCGGCGCCCAGGGTCCGGGGTCTCCGGCTCCCGCGGGTCCCCCCCCGCGCCCCCCGGGCCCCCGCCCGCGGGCTGTCAGGTACAGGGACCCCGGGGCCGTGTCACAGCCCCGACCTGTGGCTCGGAACCCCACCGTGTGTGTCACTCTCTGTCACTGTGTGTGTCACTCTCTGTCACTGTGTGTGTGTGTGTGTCTCTGTCACCGTGTGTGTCACTCTCTGTCACTGTGTGTGTGTGTGTCTCTGTCACTGTGTGTGTCACTCTCTGTCACTGTGTGTGTGTGTGTGTCTCTGTCACCGTGTGTGTCACTCTCTGTCACCGTGTGTGTCACTCTCTGTCACCGTGTGTGTCACTCTCTGTCACTGTGTGTGTGTGTGTCTCTGTCACCGTGTGTGTCACTCTCTGTCACCGTGTGTGTCACTCTCTGTCACTGTGTGTGTGTGTGTCTCTGTCACCGTGTGTGTCACTCTCTGTCACCGTGTGTGTCACTCTCTGTCACCGTGTGTGTCACTCTCTGTCACCGTGTGTGTCACTCTCTGTCACCGTGTGTGTCACTCTCTGTCACCGTGTGTGTCACTCTCTGTCACCGTGTGTGTCACTCTCTGTCACCGTGTGTGTCACTCTCTGTCACCGTGTGTGTCACTCTCTGTCACCGTGTGTGTCACTCTCTGTCACCGTGTGTGTGTGTGACTCTGTCACTGTGTGTGTCTGTGTGTGTCTGTGTCACTCTGTCACCGTCACTGTGTGTGTGTCACTGTCTGTCACCGTGTGTGTCTCTGTGTGTGTCTCTGTGTGTGTCTCTGTCACTGTGTGTGTGTCACTGTCACTGTGTGTCGCTGTCACTGTGTGTGTGTGTGACATAGGAACATAAGGACAGGAGGAGGCCATTCAGCCCCTCGAGCCTGTTCCCCAGTCTATCAGCTCACGGCTGATGTGTACCTCAGCTCCGATTCCCCGATTCCCATCAGGAACTCTCTCGGTCCCACTTTGTGAATATCTGAGGATTCACAATCTGACTGAAGCTCATCCTCCTCACCGGGTCCCCGGCAAAGCTCGGGGGGTGGGGGGTGGTGGGGGGGGGGTGGGGGTTGTTTGACGGTGTGGGATGAGGGGGAGGGGGAGGGGGCGATGCTCAGTTCTGAATGGTCTCCCAGAAATCATCCCAACTTTTAACTCGTTTTTGCTTCAATTTGAAGGGAAATACGATTATGATCTGTTGGTGATTGGAGGAGGATCTGGCGGCCTCGCCTGCTCCAAGGAAGGTCAGTTCAGCTGCAGTAACCTGACTGATGCCCTGTAATGCCCGGGTGTGGTTTGGATTATAACCTGTCCGTTTATGTGGGAGTTTATAATCAAATGCTCAGCATCCAGAACAGCAACAGAGCATCAAGTCCCATTTTATTTAAACTAACGAGATAGAGCAATGAGCATCTTTATAACAACATGTAATACTAATAATCCTGTACTGTAGTCATTACCTCACCAGCCCGGTAGATGGAGTGCTTTTGTTGAATGAAAGGGGATTCTGTAGAGCAAAAAATATTCCATCCATTATTACTTCCCTCCCTCCCTCCCTCCCTCCACAGCTTACATCATTGGAAGTGTCAGCCACACGGCTGACCAAAAGAAAATCTAATTATCTTTTACTGTAAAAGTCTGCAATCATTATTAAGTCTTTCGGAAACCTTCTCCGAACATTACAGAGAAGAGCGACCGCCTGAGCTTCTGTGGGTTTTCACTTTAGGGATGACCCATTTCAACAACATCGGTAACTGCACATCGTTCTAATAATAATAATTACATTTGATACCGCGCCTTGAATTTCACATCGGGAGGACGTCTCACAGCACTTCACAGGATTTACTGTAAAGTGTAGCGACTGTGCATTTTGTGAATGAACGTGGCAGCCACTTAGGGCACAGCAGCCATGTCCCGCAAACAGCCAGGAAGCAGAATAGATTTGTGTCTCCCGGCAGCTGTGTGGTAAGCGGATTTGAAGCCCACGGAGTGCGGTGTGATCTTACTCTAACTCTGTCTCTAACTCCCTGTTTGTATTGAAATGTTTCGCAGCTGCACAGCTTGGCAGGAAAGTCGCGGTTTTAGATTACGTGGAGCCGTCGCCCAAAGGTAAGAACCTGCTGAGACTTTAACCTTGTTCAGGGCCTGAGCTGGCGCGTAGCTCGCAGCACGCAGACTTGGGATGTGTTGCGTTTACATTACCATGATCATAAACCAGGCTTAATATTTGAGGGTACTTAACCCTCTCCCCATCCCCCCCCCCCCCCCCTCACCCCTTCCCCTCCACCAGATGGAAATCAGCCCTGTTGGTCAGGACACTGGGAGAAACTCCCTTCTCTTTTTGAATGAAGAGAAACCTTAGGCAAGTTTCCTTACTCCGCACACACGCCCAATACTAATCCCTCAAAAAAAACAATAATAGTTTGATCACTTCAATCCACGACTGTTTGTGGGACGCTGCTGTGCGCAATTGGCTGCCGCATTTCGCCCACAAATATACAGTCAATTCACTTCACAGTCTATTCTGTGAAGCGCTTCGAGAAGACGTGAAAAGCGCTCTATCAAATGCAAAGATTATTATTATTATTATTATTATTAATGAGCGCCACAAGATCTTTAAATCTTTAATATCCGCCTGAACAGGGCGCAGGCGGGGAGTGAGGTTTACCATCTCATCTGAAGGATCGCATCTCCGACAGTGCAACACCATAGAAGCATCAGCTTAGACTATGTGATGCCAAGTCCCGATGTAGAGGGGGCTTGAACCCACAACCTTCTGCCTCAGAGGCGAGAGAGAGCGCTAGCCCCGAGCCAGAGTGAGACGGTATTGTATTTGTGAGAACTTGTTCTTCTCAGGGTGTGTTCTGTGCTGTCTCTCCAGGCACCCGATGGGGTCTGGGTGGTACCTGTGTCAATGTGGGGTGTATTCCCAAGAAGCTGATGCACCAGGCGGCCCTGCTGGGCACCGCTGTCAAGGACGCTACAAAGTACGGCTGGGACATTCCATCACCCGTGAGGCACGACTGGTAGGTTTGTGTGTGTGTGTGTTTTGTCTGTCTGTAGTTTTCAAGGAAAGGAGTGAATTCACAGGGCACCTCACACCCTTCTGATCGCTTAACTCATCATCAAAACATCCTGATAACCTCTGGGTTTGATACTATAATAATAATTCTTGCATTTGATACAGCGCCTTATCACGTCGACGAGACGTCTCAAAGCGCTTCACAGGGTATACTGTAAAGTGGAGTGACTGTATTTTGTAGGTGAAACGTGGCAGCCAATTGCGCACAGCAGCGCCCACACACACTCGTGGATTGAGTGATCAAATTATTATTAGCAGTAATGTAGCTGAACCTACAGAGATCCACACAGAGTGTGCCATTGCTGCTTCCTCATTCTCTATGTGAGGACAGTGTAGCTGAAAGCAGACAGCAGGACAAGATGGCATTTTACCCTGTGTCCTGCCTCCCGAGTCACATGAACCAAGCAGCCATTTGCTTGTGGTGCCAGGAGGCAGCCAGAGGTGTGTTGTGGGCAGGGAGGAGAGGCGAGGCGCCAGTCAGACTGCAGCGAAAAGGCTGCAAGCAATTTGGCTGGATATTTACACTCGCTCCGAACCTTCCGACCAGCCCACCTCACACCCCTCCTGGTGTGAGCACAAGGCACTTCCTGCCACCAGCCCTGCTCTCTCTCTCTCTCTCCTGTGCACTGGAGAACCACAGAGCTGGCATGTTGCTAATAGAGGCGTTGCTGTTTTGCAAAGTGAAATAACAAGGTGTCTGACTGACTGTCTGCCTTCGGGCAGAGTTTGCTTGTCGTTGCTGATCACATAATGGAGTCAGCTCCAGTTCACGGCTCCATTATTCTACCAGGTGCAGCTTCACATCAGTGGGAGCGAGTGGCTGGCTCTCAACCAGCACAGACACTGGTGTTGGGAGATCAGCGATGATAGTAATAATAAACATTACCCTTGTGTTTGAGAGTCGGCACGGCAACAATAAGAATCCTTACATTTGATACAGTGCCTTTCACGTCAGTAGGACATCTCCAAGAGCTTCACAGGAGTTATAATGTAATACAATTTCCATTTATGTATATCGCGCCTTTCACGTTGTTCAGGTGTCTCAAAGCGCTTCACAGGATTCTACTGTAAAATGTAGTGACTGTGTGTTTAGTGGGAGCCAGTTTGCGCACAGCGACGTCCCCACAAACAGCCGTGAAGTGAACGTGCAATTTTATTTAGGGATTGTCGACCAGGACACCGGGCGGGAGAGAGAGAGAGAAACTCCCTTCTCTTTTCCCACAGCGCCGCGGGATTTTTAACGTCGACCTGAACAGAGCACAGATGGGGAGTGAGGTTTAACATCTCATCTGAAGGTCTCTGACAATACGGCGCTCTCTCTCTCCCCCCCCAGCGCTGAGCTGGATTATTTCTTATTAATATTGTTATTGTGAACAAACAGCATCTCGTGTATTGTGGACCTGTTGTGTTTATTGTGTCACTGACCTCACCATCCTCTTTTGCTCCTCAGGGCGACCATGGCTCAGGCTATCCAGAACCACGTGAAATCCTTAAACTGGGGACACAGAGTCCAACTGCAAGACAAGTGAGTGTGAGCCACACTTCCTGGCCTCTTCCAACTCTCTGCCTCCCTCACCTCGTTCAAGGTCCGTATCAAGACCTTCCTCGTTGACCGTACCTTCGGTCGTCTTTCCCCTTCCCCGTTCTCTCTCTTAGCTCCCACCCCAGATCAGGTGTCCTGCCAGGACTGTTCAGCATCTTGGGATGTCCTTTCCATGTGAAAGATGTTTATTCTCTCCCTCTTTTCAGACTCTTCCAACTGCTAATAATAATGATAATAATCCTTCATTTGATGCAGCGCTTTATCAAGTCGTTGAGACGTCCCAAAGCACTTCACAGGACATACTGTAAAGTGAAGTGACTGTATTTTGTGGGTGAAACGCAGCAGCCAATTGCTGCTGCGTTTCCAGTACAGACGGTGACCATTTCTCTCCCACAGGAAGGTGACGTACCTTAACCTGAAAGGCAGCTTCGTCGACAACCACACAATTCAGGGGGTGTCCAAGACTGGGAAAAAGGTAACGTTTCTGTACTGTTCCCTCTCGGCCTCAGTAACCGCAGTGTCCGTCAGTCACTGCTATATCCCACTTGAACATTGGCAGATAAAGTGCGAGCTTTTAGGGAGAGCAGTGTATGAGTGTGGGTCCTTATTAACCTGCAGTAAAGTCGGAACCCGATTGTTAGTCGGTTGATGGATCGCTTTCCCGGGGGCTAAAAAACATTGATATTGGTTATTTTTCAGACTGTTCTGACAGCTGAAAACATCGTCATAGCAACGGGAGGGAGGCCGAAATATCCCCCGCAAGTAAGTGTTTATTGTCGGGAGAAATCGCTCGCTGTCTGAATGTTTGTGATCGGGTTCCGGTAACAAAGTTATTTCCGATTGCGTTCGCACAAATTGCAGCATTTTTGATAAAGTAAAATGCAAATAATGAATATTTTTTAGTCTGTGAAAGCGTTTTCAGACGATCTTGTTTGTCTCTGTTGGTCAGGTTCCCGGTGCTGAACTCGGTATTTCCAGCGACGATATCTTTTGGTTTAAAGATTCGCCCGGAAAAACGTGAGTGAATGTCGGTTCCAGTGAGACGTTTGGTTCAGTGTTCGTTTTCCCGACGAGTATTAGTGGACGAGGTTTGTGTTTGTTACAGTTCTAATGCAGTCCACTTCTCAAGCGCTCTGGCTCGCTACCCAGCATGAGGGACGCTGTGTAAAGGCAACTTGTTGTAGTTGTTGTTTGCTTCTGTTCCTTTTAACTGGATAAACAGTCGGTCGTTGTACCAGCTCAGGGCAGGGGAAGCAGTTCTGTGGTCCTTCAGCGTAGCTCTGTGTGACATGGCTTTCAGCAGTTTCACACCTTCTGGAGCAATGTTTCCTGAACACACCAGGAAGCCTAACCTCCTCTCCCCACTCCCCCCGTCTCCCCCCCAACCCCGGGGGGAGCACAGGGGTAGACGAGAGACTGCGTCTGGGAATCCGTCTGACTCACGCTCATTAATAATGTCTGACATCTGGGGAGGCCGGTGATGTTTATTTTGAAGTTGAAGTGGGTAAAGTGAGGGTCAGAGCTCCGCTTAAACTCAAGTGCCTTTGGAACCTGCGGAGGAAATTGCTGTTTGTTTAATAAACTGCGGCCACTCTGAGTGTTTTAGCTCTGAATACACGTGAGGCTGACGGACGGAGCCCTATTGTGCCCTGAACTGTTTAAGGCAGCTTCCGAGATAGCAGTCCCCATGTGAGCTGTGTAAGGGAGTTTCTCTCTCTCTCTCTCTCTCCCCCACTTTTCCCCGGTGTCCTGGCTGACAATCCCCCACCCCCGGAAAAAACTACACGTTCACATCATAGCTGTTTGCGGGGATGTTGTTGTGCGCAACTCGGCTGCACGTTTCGCCCACAAAACACACAGTCACTACACTTTACTGTCAATCCTGTGAAGCGGTTTACGGTACCTTGACTTGAAAGGCGCTGTATCAAATGTAAAAAATTGTTACGATGATGATTTGATCAGCTCAAATAATACTTTTTAAAATGCCCCTTAAAAGTTAATCAGGACCAATGGGGTGGCTCTGTGCAACCGCGAACAGCAAAAGGTGTTCGTTCACCTTTCATGGTCTGAATAAAAAGTGAGTAATAACATCCTGCGGAGCTAAGTTAAAGGGAAACGCGACGTGAGGCGTGTCATGGACTTAACTCAACAGAGCTGCCCGTGGGCTGCACCCTCGGACGTTTATCCTGTGTGTGGTGCGCGTGTGCACGTGTTGTACGTGTGTGTGTGGGTGTGGGTGATGCAGGCACGTGTGTGAGGGAGGGTGTGTGTGTGTTTGTGTGTGGATGTGAGAGTGAGCATGTGTGGTGTTTTTTTGTGTGTGTGTCTGAGAGAGGGGGGATATGTGTGTGTGTGTGGGGGGGAGGGGGAGGGGGAGGAAAAACCCTTCAAGAAAATTGCATTCAAAGAAGCTGAAATGACTTGAAAACGCCCTTTTTCCTCGGTTTGTGGCTGCAGTCGCACTCTGCCACCACTGGAGGGCAGGAGATGCCCAGTATTCAGCAGTCATTGCTCCAGCCCAGCGAGGGGGTGGGTGTGGGGGGGGTGGGGGGGGGGTGGGGGGTGAGAATCTTACCCCAAATCTTTGCAAGCAGTAATTTAGCCGGACTAACGAGGGGCTAAACATCGCGTCTCACTTGCACCCGTTGAAACGGTTTGATCCCCGAACACTGAAATAATAATCCCAGCTCAATACTTCAGAATGAAACAAAACAATAATAATAATAATAATAATTATTATCCTTGCATTTGGTGTAGCGCCTCATCAGGTCTTTGAGACGTCTCGAAGGGCTTCACGGAATATACTGTGAAGTGCAGTGACTGTGTGTTTTGTGGGCGAAACAAGATCAGTTTGGATGAAGAGGTAGAACAAGAGGGTACGGGTATAGAGTTGTAAAGGGGCAATTTCAAGACAGACACCAGGAGCAAAGTCATCCTTATACTCTGTGTGTGTGTGTGTGTGTGTGTGCGCGCGCGCACGGGTGTGAGAGAGGCTGTGAGCTTGTGTGTGTGTGTGTGTGAGAGGATGTGAGAATGTCTGTGTGTAAAACAGGTCTTATTTCCAACTCTGCCTTTGTCTGGTTGCTGTTGATACACGTTGTAACAGAGGCTGGAAGCTGTGTTGCTGTTTACACTGTCACATTCCTGCAGGAGTCCTGGAGTGGCCTGGAGCGGGTACAGGACTGTTCCTGTCACCGTTGTCAACAAATCTATAGCTGGCTCTTGCTCCGGCTCTTATTGTTACCACCCCACAATGATGTTTTTCTTCTGTTGGGAGGGTTTCATTTTGATTTCTTTACAAAGGATGTGTGTGTGTGTGTGTGTGAGAGGGCATTTGTGTGTGTGTGTTGGATGCGTGTGCGTGTTGGGTTTGTGTGTGCGTTGTGTGTTGGGGGCGTGTGCGTGTTGGGGGCGTGTGCGTGTTGGGGGCGTGTGCGTGTATTAGGGGTGTGTGTGTGTTGGATGTGTACTGTATGTGTGTTGGATATAAGTGTGTATCTGCTTGTATAAAATTGATCCATGATACTATTAAAGTTGCAGTTTGAGTATTGAGGAGAATTGGTTTGATATTGTACCCGTCTCAGAGTGGGATTAACACTGGCGATGTCACCCTCCCCCCCTCACTCCCTCCCCCCCCCCTCCCTCCCCCCGGGGCAACAAACAGAAAATGCCCAAATTATTTTGTAACCAGCATTGCATTTTTCGATGGCATTATTTTCTTAATACCTGATGGGATTAGCCTTGACATTGGAATTATCCTTCCCAGCATCAAACTCATCTTTCAAGTGTCTCTGAGCTTAGGTTAGGCCGGACCACACATGCAGCTCCCTCCCTCCCCCACCCCGACACACACACACACCCTTTTATTTTCCAAAGTCTTTTCTCTTTTAAAAAAAACACACCCTTGTATTACGTGTGCTTTTTCTCTTCAGTTATAAAACGTGCTTGTGTATATACGCACAAGCTTTCCCCCTTTCCCCCCCCTCCCACCCCAACTCTTTATCTGTCTTGTAATAATAATCCTTGTATTTGATACAGAGCCTTATCACATTGTCGGGACGTCTCAAAGCGTTTCACAGAATATACTGTAAAGTGGTGACTGTGTATTTTGTGGGTGAAACGTGGCAGCCAATTGTGCACAGCAGCGTCCCCACACACACTCATGGATTGAGTCACCAAATTATTGTTATATATATTTTTTTGGGGGGGAGGGATTATTACCCCTGGAAAGCGATCCACCAATCGACAAATAAGCGGGTTTCTACTTACTGCTGGAAATCAGAGGTGTGTGTGTGGAGTAAGGAAACTTGCCTAAGAAAGCCATATAAAAAAGGGGTAAAGTAAACTGGAGAGAGGAACAGAACAAACAAACCTGTTTAATGTTATTTTTTCCCTTTAGGTTAGTTGTCGGTGGAAGCTGTATCCTTCATTTAACAAAGTGTTTTAAAGCGACGGCTGGGAATTATCCTGGATAATCGGGTGGGAATGAGCGCTTGCAAATCACCTCCAGTCCCAGTTCCTGAGCCAGGAGGGGCCGCTGATGGCAGCACAGCCCGGCCCGGCTCATCGGCAGGACCTGGAAGGGCCGACCAGTCACTGGGGGCAGGGAATCCTCCCCCTCAGCTCCTGGTAACCCTGCAGCCAAAGCCTTCACTAAATGGGTGGGGTGGTCCTCGCTGTACAAGCAGCGGGAAAGCTTGGCCAGACAGTGTAAACTCTACTGCGTTTGAGTCCTTGACTCGGGCTTCATTAGATGTGGGACTGGAGTGTGCAGGCTTCCTGACAGGCATCGGCCTGAACACTTCACTGATGGTGAGGAGCATCCCCCTGCGAGGGTTTGATCAGGTACAGACACCGACCACTGATAAACACAGCAGCCCAGACCCACTGCACTCTCTCAACTCCAAGGTGTCCACAAAGTCCTGTTATCTATCTATCTGGAGAAGCGGAGGTTTGATCAGTGCGAAAGTCACTCGCTCAGCAAACTATCCGGGACATGTGGCTTTGATAGGGAAGTAAGAGTGAGTGCAAGCGATAGGTGGGGGAGAGAGGGGGTGGGAGGTTCACAGAACATTGCAAAGTGCAGGAGCCACATGTGAATGTTTTATTGATGTCCTGATTGAGATATGATCCGAATGTCCTGTACTGTAACTCGTCCCACACTCCGCATATTTCATCATGTACAGTATGTGGCCTCTCTCTCCTCTCTCTAACTCTTCACCTCCTCTCTCTCCCTTCTTTCTCTCCCTTTGTTCTCCCTCTCCTCTCTCTCTCTCTCTTCCCTCCTCTCTCCTCTAACTCTTATCTATTTCCCCTCTCCGCCCCTCTCAATTTGTTTGATAGGTTCCTCAGATAAAATGGCTCATTCACTTCATTGGCTGTTTGTGAGATGTTGCCTTGTGCAAATTATCTGCCTCCCAAACACTTCACAGTAGAGAATCCTGTGAAGCACTTTGAAACGTCTCGACGATGTGAAAGGCACGATAAATACAATGCAAATAGTGTTGCGGTATTTTATAGATCCTGTGAGGCGCTTTGAGACGTCCTCCCCACAAGAAAGGATTAATATTGAGCCTGTGGTGTGCCATCAGGAACACAGACTTGCACTTACACAAATGCTAAATTTACATGTTTCAGTGCAACCAACAACAGGAAACCCGGGCCAGGCAGAGATTGCCTTTCACTCTCCCAAAGGGAAAACAATTGTAACAGTAGGAAAAGAAAAGGAAACCTGCAAAAAGAACCTCACAAACAAGCCGTGTGGGTGTGGGTTGCCCTCCCTTGTGCATTATAGCAATAATAACCCTTGCATTTGATATGGCGCCTTATCACGTTGTTGAGAAGCCTCAAAGCGCTTCACTGGATATACTGTAAAATGGAGTGACTGTGTATTTTGTGGGCAAAACAGGCAGCCAATTGCGCGCAGCGGCGTCCCACAAACAGTCGTGAATTGAGTGCTTAAGTTATTCATTTTTTTTTGTTTGGAGGGATTATTACCCCAGGAAAGTGATCCACCAATCGACTAACAACCGGGTTCCTACTGACTGCTGGTAAACAGAGGCGTGTGTGTGTCCACCGGAGTAAGGAAATTGCCAAGGTTTTGCTCTGACCCGCCCGGGAATCGAACCCGGGTCCCGATCGCTGTGCTGTGGGACTCCACATTACATGCCTCTGCGTGAATGGCGCCGTATAAACACAAGTTGTTGTTGTTCTTTCCTTTGCTCAGCAAATGGCACAGCTGGTGACGGACCATATGGTCTCCCACGGCACTCGGCTTCTGTGGAAATGTGTGCCGCGCAGCGTGGAGAGAGAGACCAGCGGGCGGCTACACGTCACGTGGAGTGATCAGCAGTCAGGCCGAGTGGAGGGAGACACCTTCGACACAGTGATGTGGGCTGTAGGTGAGGTTAGCCCTCTTCTCACTTGCCTGTAAAAGTCACAAACACTTGTTGTTTAAATGTCCCCCAACCATCAGCGGTCTCTCAAGATCCTCCTCTTCGACTGAGCCTTCAGTCACTGTCCTACCCTCACCCTCCCTGCCCTCCACCCCTCACCTCTCCTTATCCCAAGCCCCAGCTCGGGTCCAAATCCTTGTGTCGATTCTTTCAAGAACAAATGAGCGAGATTTCTGTTAGGAAATGATATCTGGGGAAACAGCATATAGTTTGAGACACGACATGTCAAGTGACTGCCAGGATGGTGGAAGATGGACCTTGGCCTTCTGGCCTAGTAAATCTTATGTTCTTGTCTGTCCAGCACCTTGGGACGTCTGCCCGACTTGGAGGGCACTGTGTAAATGAGAGCTATTGTTGCTGCTGTTTAACTCTGGGCAGTAAATACACAGTAGCTTTGTCAGGGAATGCCTGACTCCTGATGGCACCCACCCAGCCTGGCTGTGTTCCCCTCCCACCCGCCCCGTCCTGCCTCAATCTGCTGTTATACTGAACGGTTCCCTCTCCTCTCCCTCCTGGTATTTCTGTGTCTCCCACGTTCACACTGAGAGTCGGGTGGCCTTGGCTTTCGCCGCTTATCAACACAGCTCAACACTAATCAAGCGGGGAGGGATGTGGGGTAGATTCGTTTCAGTGACTGCTGCGATGTACCGTGTCTACAAAAAATAACTGAAGATTAGCCCCCGAGACAGAAGCCGAACTCTTAACGTTATTGAGGTTGATTTTCTCACCCGAGGCCTCTGATCTCAGAGCGGCAGAGCAGAACCATTCCTTCCTGGGTCATTTTGATATATTGTGGTTGGAGCACTCGCCTCGCAAGTAAGAGACCCGGATTTGATTCCCAGGCAGCCCAATCCTAAGGCAGGTTTCCTTACCCCACACGCCTGTTTACCAGCAGTAAGTAGGAACCCGGCTGTTAGTCGATTAGCAGATCGCTTTCCGGGGATAATAATCCCTTAAAAAAATAATATCACTCAATCCACGACTGTTTGTGGCACACTGCTGTGCGCAATCGGCTGCCGTGTTTTGCCCACAAAACATACAGTCAATTCACTGCTCAATATATTCTGTGAAGCGCTTTGAGACGTGTAGAAGACTCGATAAGGCGCTGTAGCAAATACAAGGATTATTATTATTATTGTTCATACGGTGGTCGCTCGCTCTCTCATATCGTAACTCTCTGTGCACTTGCAAAGCTCCCTCTCTGATGCTTGTCTGTCGAGGGATGTCAGGAATCTTGGCAAAGTATTCAAAGTAACTCCGAGGTCAGAGATTTCCTGGCTGCCTTGAACGGCTACAAGTTTCTAAACTCGGAATTGATTCAAGATAATCAAAGGTCGAGATTTAAAGGACAAAGTCAGGCTCGATAATAAATTAACAATCCTTGCTTTTAGTGGGAGCTGCCAAGTATATTCAAACCACGTTTTATATCTCTCTCTTTTTCGAGAATGAGACCTTAATGTTTAGACTTGCAACAAATGCATCCAATTTACTTTTCTACCCGGTTGTGGATCCATTTCTAATTTATACCCCTGTAAATCGTAATGTTTTGCTAGTTATTGAAAACTAGAGACGTTAACATTGGCCGCAGAATTCACGAGAGAGTTTCAGGTGAAGGAAACCCTCCTGCTTGTTTGATCTCATCCTCCCCTTACACCCAGTCCAGCAACGAGACGTCTCCTAACTAAGTGCAGGGTTCTGGACTAACCCTTCCCCCTGGTAACCCGTTCCAGCTGTTTATTAACATCTGTGTTGCCCTGATCTCCGTACCAGCTTTCGAGTTCCCTCGGTCTCGGACGTCTTCTAAATTTAAAATAATAATAATAACAATATTGTGGCACAATCCACGGCTGTTTGTGGGGACGTCGCTGGGCGCAATTGGCTGCCGTGTTTTGCTAACAAAAATTTACAGTCAATTCACTTTACAGTGTGTCCTGTGATGCGCTTTGAGACGTCTCGACGACGTGATAAGGCGCTGTGTCAAATGCGAGGATTATTATTATTATCCTCCGCCCCCGCCTCTCCTCTCCACTGCTTTATCCGAGTTGCTGATGGTGTCTCTCCCTGTGAGCTGTTGGCAGGTCGCACAGCGGAGACCAAGGAGCTGAGCCTGGAGAGAGCCGGCGTTCCCGTAAATCCCAAAACCGGGAAGATCATCGTTGGGGCCGGGGAGGAATCTTCTGTCCCCAACATCTACGCCATCGGGGATGTGACTGAGGTGAGATCGGAACCTGACATGACAAACACAGCCGCTAACCTCGCCCTGTCTATCACACATATTTATGGTATATGTTTCTAACAGGGCCGCCCGGAGCTCACCCCCACAGCTATCAGAGCCGGGAAACTGCTGGCTCGCAGGCTGTGTGGGCAGGTAACCGAACTGATGGACTATGACAAGGTGAGTGAACCGAGAGGCTGAGGGTGGGGGGGAGAGGGGGGGGGGTGTGGGGGTTAGCCCCGTGTCCCACATTCGGTTCAGAGAGGTGAAAAGGTCAAACCTTAGTCAAGTTTCCGTACTCCACGCGCACGCCTCTGTTTACCTGCGGTCAATAGGATCCCGGTTGTTAGTCGATTGGCGATCGCTTTCTGGGGGTAATAATCCCTTCACACACAAAAGTGTGGTCACTCAATCCACGACTGTTTGTGGGGACTCTGCTGTGCGCAATTGGCTGCTGGGTTTCGCCCACAAAATACACAGCCACTACACTTTACAGTATATCCTGTGAAGCGCTTTGAGACGTCTCAAAATAAGTGATAAGGCGCCGTATCAAATGCGAGGATTATTATTATCTGGAACCAGGCTATTGACTGGGACATGATACACATTGGCGTCAGGGTGGGGGGAGAGAGAGGAGGTAATGTCTATTTGTTCTCCGAGGCTGTGATAACCTGGTGTTTGATCCCTGTGTGGGACTCTCTACATCTACAGGTTCCCACAACAGTGTTCACCCCACTGGAGTACGGCTGTGTGGGGCTGTCCGAAGAGAAGGCTGTGAGCAGCTTTGGTCAAGACAACATCGAGGTAAAGAACACACACTCTCTCTCTCATTCTCTGTCTCTCTCTTTCTCTCTGTCTCTCACGCTCTCTCCGTTTATCTCTCTTACTCTCTCTGTCCCGCTGCCCTGTCTATGTTTGACTCTCTCTCTCTCGATGTGTGTCTCTCTCTCTCTCCCTCTCCAAGTCTCTAAATCTGTGTGTGTGTCTCTCTGTGACCAGGTGTACCACGCCTATTACAAGCCACTGGAGTTCTCAGTGACTGAGCGCGGTGCCAATCAGTGTTATATTAAGATGCTCTGCTTGCGGGAAGGTGATCAGCGTATTCTGGGGCTTCACTTCATCGGACCCAACGCTGGCGAAGTCATCCAGGGCTTCGCGCTGGCTATAAAGTAAGAACGTCTCTCACTGACTCCACAAATACCCAGAGTTATACTGCGTCATACAGCTCGCAAACAGGCCATCCAGCCCAGCTCGTCCGTGCCGCAATCGACTGCCGCGTTTCACCCACAGAATACAGTCACTCCAATTTAGTGTATCCAATGAAGCGCTTTGTGACGTCTCAACGACCTGATAAGACGCTGTATCAAACGCCAGGATTACTATTATGATGATCTCAAGAGCGCTCAGTGCTCTCTAACCCCACCTTCTCTCCCTCTCTCTCTCTCCCCCTCTCTCGGCAGATGTGAGGCTACGTACTCTCAGCTGGTGGCCACGGTGGGAATCCATCCGACCTGTGCCGAGGACGTCAACAAACTGAACATCACCAAGCGCTCGAGGCTGGACCCCACAGTCACCGGCTGCTGAGGGTAACTCTCTCCCTGAGACTACAGCACACGGGGAACTGGCACCGACTGCGGCTACACACTGGGCTGGGGAGGAGCGAGTTTGGGGTCACAGGTCCTTTGTCCTGATATAACTCTGATATAACATTGTGGTCCATCAAATCTCGAGGAGCGTTATAACAGGGTTTATTCTGGATTATTCCAGGCCGCGCTGCCCTCACAGAGCGATGTACACTGGGGCTTCCTGTGCCTCCCCGAGGCTGGAGCTTTCCCAGAAACTACTGGGAGTGTGAGTGAGTGCGAGACGCACAGGAAGTGGCGTCAGCGACGGAAGCGCTGTCTTGGCGGCCATTTTGTTTTATTACAGCGCGCCCCATTACAGCACTGTAAATCTGGACTGGACCATTGTAATGGGGGGCGGGCGGGGCGGGCGGGGGAGAGGTTGTGGTCTGTAGGTACAGTTCTTGGAGCAGCCAGTAGAGGGCGTATATCTACCAGAACAAACCAGGATCAGCCCAAACCCAACCCGACCAACCGGGGGCAATGGGTTTCAAGGTGAATGGACAATGACCTCGTTTTCCGTTGAGGGTTTGGGTGATTTGACTGGATTCCTTGCTGGAATGTTTTGGTGAACGTTACCATTTTAACCACCCCGCGCCTGTCCCAGTCCCCCTCCCTTTCCCCCCCAGTTCAGTTTCACTGTGGAGCGTGTCCTAAGCCAGAAAGTTTTTTTTTCCGTGTGCTTTTTTCAGGGATGTCTATGTGAGCAGCACAGAGCAGCAGTTTTGACTTGGCATTACCTTGATCGCTCGGGTTATTGTATGGGAGAGAAAGGGAAGCGACCAGTGGCCCTGAAGTCCACCTGGTCTTAAGCGTGGCACCGTTTTGTCTTACAATATTTTTAAAATTTGGTCTTAACTCCAAAGCCATTTTCGTGTTTGTTTAATGAAACGCGGAGAAAAAATGGCTTCCAGATCACGGCGGTATTATTCTAATAATAATCCTTTAATAGTAACAGTAAGTATTGAGGAATCTTGTCACAATTCTGGGCCGTGTGTTAAATTGCAAGACCAAACAGCCTCATGGTTAGGTTGGGGAGGGGGGTGTTGAGGGCGTTAGCTGCTCTGTTCATGACCAACACTTTGCCGTTTAATGACGAGCTGTTTGTAAACCCAGCGACGTGGGAGAGACAGCCCTGATGACAATCGGCATCGAGATCTAAATAAAGTGTTATATTCGCTGCTTTTACCCGATTATTTGTCTTTCACTGGCCATTTCATGCCCCCCCCCCTCTCTCTCTCCTACTTTCACACTCACTGGTTTCTCTCTATCTCTCTCTGACTGCACTTCCGGTCATCTTTCCCTCCGCGCCCTCAGGGTAACCGATTCCAGTGTTAAGTATTAAACATTAAGGACCTCCTCGCGATGTGAAAGGCCGTGTAGATGTCATTGTGTATTGTGTTGTGATGGCATCTCTTTGATTAATAATCCTTCCCTCCAAAAATAAATGGGTCATTCAATCCACGACTGTTTGTGGGGACGCTGCTGTGCACAATTGGCTGCCGCGTATCGCCCACAAAATACACAGTCACTCCACTTTACAGTGTATCCTGTGAAGCGCTTTGAGACGTCTCAATGATCAGATGAGGCACTGTATCAAATCCAACGATTATTATTATTATTATCGGATACTGACTGGCCTCCTCTCTCTCCTAACCCCCTCCCTCCTCCCAATATTAAACCAGGGATTTTGACCATGACACCATCCTTTCAGCCACTTTAATTACCCCTTTATTCAGATGTCCTTGAAGCTACAGAAGGGAGTGCTTTGTTTTTGTGATATGCGGCTCAGAATCCTTTTTCTTAAAAAGAACTCCCCTGGATTTACACCACTGAACCACAGCCAAGAACAAATTGACGGCTCTTTTAAGTAATAGGGAGCTGCCTGCTTAATATTGTAATGACATTAGCACGATGAAAAACGTGCACGGTTCAGTTCTGAAGCAGCAAATTGGTTCATCTCCAGAGAAAAAAAAACTGAACCAGGACAATCTGCTTGTTCACAATTCTTTATATATTTTACAAAATATATGAGGAATTAATATAAATTCTATATAAATCTCTTTACCAGCAGTGAGTAGGAACCAGGTTGTTAGTCGATTGGCGGATTGCTTTCCGGGGGTAATAATCCCACCTCCCAAAAATATATTTTAAAAAATCACTAAAATCCCCGACTGTTTGTGGGGACGCTGCTGTGCGCAATTGGCTCCCGTGTTTCGCCCACAAAATACACAGTCAATTCACTTTACAGTATATTCTGTGAAACACTTTGAGACGTCTCAACGATGTGATGAGGCGCTGTGTCAAATGCAAGGATTATTATTATTTTACACACAAATGTATATTATATGCATATACACGCAGCCGTGTTAGTGGTGAATTACTGCAGCCTCCCATGATTCTGGCTGTTCTCTGTGTCACTCCTCACGTCTTCTCAAGAAGGTTCTGTCCTCATTCCCATGACCACAATGCCAACATCGCTATAAGCAAAAAGCTTCAAAATCCCTTTCATTCTTGCCCGGCCTTTGATATGGGCCGTTTCCCACAGTCTCCAGCATTCCTTAAACCCACGGGAGGAATAAAACCTTGTGGTGGGTAACTTTTCCTTTTGGGGAGGGCTTTTATGTACTTTTATGTTTCTCGGAGATTTAAGTTAAAAGGACATTTTATTAATGAACACTAGAAATAGCAGGATAGGAATAAGCCATTTACTGTGCCTCCAAAATGTTAGTTCCCATTGACACGAAAATACATTGTGTTATATTTTCAATAACCTCCTCCCCGCCAACATTTGCCTATGTTTACACCAATCGTTCTATACTAATCATCCTCGCACTCGATACAGCGACTTATCATGTCATCGAGACATCTCAAGGTGCTTCACAGGATTTTACTGTGAAGTGTGGTGACTGTACTTTGTAGGCAAAAAGCAGCAACCAATTTGTGCACAGCAACATCCTCGCAAACAGCCACAAAGCGAATGACTTATTTTCAAGGGGATTGTCGGCCAGGACACCGGGGGAGAGAGAGAAACTTCTCTATTCCAACAGCCTTCGCGGGACCTTTAACGTCTCCCTGAACAGGGCCCAGACGGGGAGTGAGGTTTGAAGTCTCAATCAAAGGGACGGCGTCTCTGACAGTGCAGTGTTTCCCCCCCAGCGCCGCGCTGTAACGTCAGTTTTGTGGACGAACGTGGCAGCCAGTTTGCACACAGCGACTTCCCTCAAACAGCCACGGAGCGATTTTACTCTAAATGTGGCTGAGAGAAGCCGGGGCCGTGACTGAGAGGAAAAGCTGTGTAAACAGTAGATTGCTGAACACAAAAGCATTTGCTGAGAATTCTCCACAAAGCAGGTTTGTAAAGACAAACGTTGGGCACAATCGTGTTAACCCTCTCTCTCTCTCGCTCTCTCTCTCTCTCTCTCCTGTGACCCTCACTCGGGTACAGTTATTGCAGTCAGTGCCCACTCGCTGCTCATTCTTCGTGTGTTAGTTGGACAGTGAGATTTAGGGAATCTTCCTCCTTCCCCCATTACCATTCAGGTCGTGCCCTAAGACCTTCCTCTTCGATCGCCACCTCCCGGTTAATTGGCGGATCACTTTCCAGGGGTAATAATCCCTTCCATAATAATAATAATTTGGTCACTCAATCCATGTTTGTGGGACCCAATTGGCTGTCGAGTTTCTCCCACAAAATACAGTCATTACACTTTACAATATATCCTGTGAAGCGCTTTGAGACGTCTCCACGATGTGATCAAATGCAACGATTATTATTATTACTATGCTGATTATTTCAGGTCCCGTCATTGAAGGAGAGCGAGAGAAAAACAAAAAGCGCAGATGTTAAAGGGAAACAGAGTAAACATGGGGACAGGATAAGGTCTAACAGCGGCGAAGGAACATCCTCTGAGGAATGACAAACGTGCCATTCAACCCTCCACCAGCGCAGCCTGACATCACTATAGGTGCTGATTTGTTCACCTGATCTGAAAACAAGGCTTGACAAATTGGCAGCGTCCTCACAATCAGACTTCATTCACTGCCTCTGCCATCAATCGGAGGCTTTTGTTTTCCTTTACAAGACATTCGATCAGCACACTCCCCGCGTCAATGGCCTTAGAACGGAAACCGTCAACTGCTCTCCAGGTTACCTCAATGTCAGTCTCCCTCAGACCCTTTCTTCCCATCACCCCTATGATTGCTGTAATAATAATAATCCCCATCTCTCCACACCCACCGTCAGTGGCTGTGCCTTCAGCCACGACACCTCTAAACCTATGTACCTCCCTGCCTCACCCCCTTACTATCTGTCTGTGCTTAAATCCCACTTTAAGACCTATCTCTTCGCCCACACCTTCCCCCTAATGCCTGCCCTTATTATAAGGCAAACCTGCGTCTCTGTACATGAAACCCTTTCCGTTAATGTAATTCTCTCAAAGTTTGTAACTCCTGCTTAGGACTTTGCCAACAAAGTGACAGCTCCATTGTCTCCCCGAGGGTGTTCAACCTACAATTGAATACACAGAGAACCAGGATAAGAAGGATACCATTACTCAATGGGGAGCTGCTGTGTGCATCAAGGACACAGTCAATCCAGCACATCATTCATGTAGCAATTGTAACTGGCATCTGGAAGGACCAACAAACAGTTTTTTTTTAAAAAATCCTTGCATTTGATATAGCGCTTTTCACGTCGGGAGGACGTCCCAAAGCGCTTCGCAGAACACACTGTAAAGTGAATTGACTATATTTGTGGGCGAACGCGGCAGCCAATTGCGCACAGCGATGTCCCACAAACAGTCGTGGATTGAAAGTGACCAATTTATTATTGTTTTGGTTTTGAAGGGATTTTTATTAGGCTCTGTGTGGAGTAAGGAAACTTGCCCAAGGTTTCGCCCTCTGCCGGGGATTGAACTCAGGTCTCTCACTTACAAAGCGAGTGGTCTAACCACTGAGCTACAGGACTCCACTTTATTAAAAACTTACTAATAATGCTTGGCAAACATTGATTTTTGGAGCTTTAATAATACTAATATGCTTCCTAAGGTTATAATAGTAATAATAATAATCCCTTGCATTTGATATAAATTCTTTAATTGAGTAAAAGTTTGTGAAAATGTAGAACGCATCTTCCAGGTCACCTGCATTTGTCTGTAACTGACACATAACTAACTGGTGAAGTTCAACAATGTGTATTATTTGTTTGAAACCCTATGCTTTGCTTTGAATCCACATTACAGGTATCATTGTTTTGTTACGGTCTGGAATGCACTGCCTGAAAAGCTGGTGGAAGCAGATTCGGTAGTAGCTTTCAAAAGGGAATTGGATAGAAACTTGAAAAGGAAAGATTTGTAGGGCTCTGGGGTAAAAGCAGGGGAGAGTTGGTAGCTCTTTCAACATTCCCTCTGGCTCTTAGCAGATGGCAAAGTGAGGCAATATATCTATGAGGAAGATTCCGAGTCAGTCACTGAAGAGAGATTAAATTGGCTGCCGCGTTTCGCCCTCAACTACACAGTCAATTCACGTTACAGTATATTCTGTGAAGCGCTTTGAGACGTCTCAACAACGTGATAAGGCACTGTTTCAAATGCAATGATGATTGTATCATTGTTATATTTTGGTTTGAATGAACCGCTCTGTGGTGTCGTACTGAATGCTCTTGTGCAGCCTTCACCATCAATCACAGCTCAGTAAATATAGCCATCAGCCTTACCCAACAAGCCTAACAAACTCACAGGGAGCCCTGAGGATTTGGGTTTCACCCAGGTTATAATTAACTCGATTATTCATTAGTACGTTCAAAATTAGTTTATGTTTACAATTTTACTCATGTTTCGACAGGCCCGCTGCACGCCAACCACATGAAAGATTGGTTGTAAAACGATCTGTTACCCTCCTCCATCCCTCGGCCTCGCTTCCCCTCTCATTTTGCTCATCTTCAGATCTCACCTGAAGACTTACCTAAGCCTCAACTTTCACAAAGACAAAAAGCAAGTTCCTGAAATGGGTTCGTTTGTGAGGGGAACGAACAAAGGAACAGGAGGAGGTCATTCAGCCCCTCGAGCCTGTTCCAACATTCTATTAGATTGTGGCTGATCTGTACCTCAACTCCAGTTAGTTGATTAAGGGTTAACCACAGGCAATCACACGTGTGTATCTGTTTTTACGCCTGATAAGTCAGTCTGCGGGGAGGGCCTTGTTTGTGGGGGTTAGCTTGCTCTTGCCTGGTACCTGTGAGAAACTCTACAGTTCGGAGGCAAAGCTCCGTGCAGAAAATCACTCCCTGAAATAAAGCCAAAGAACAACAGCTTAAAGCTGGCATGGAATACCTGCAGAGCCGATCTACTTATAAAGCACCTTAATACCCCACATTTCCTCAGCCTCGCCTTTCAGCTCCCTTCAAGTCTTCCCTTCTTTGCTTGCCTCGTTCTCCCAAAACACCTGCCAGGGACTCAGCACAGACCCTGAGCTCCCTGTTTGAACTGGTGTAACACTGGGATCCTTTTTTCAAGGCTTGATCCTTGGCTAATCCCAGAACTGCAAATAGGTTTAACCCACTCTTGTTTCACCTAATCCTGAAATTTAAACCAGCGCCCTAAACCCTCGCTTACACTAAAGGCCAGGGAAAATTAAAGGATTTTTGCAGCAAATTATTACATGAGGGGTATCTATTAGGATTAAAGTCTCCACTGTTTGCTTGTGAGATTCACAAGGAATTTGTTCAGCATTGAGCTTGTCTTGTAGAGTCCTGTAGAATATTGGTTAGAGCACTCGCCTTGCAAGCGAGATTACACAGGGAGAGTTCCTTGAAACACTGAAGCAACAGTTCAGCATTAAACACAAAGCAAAACCTTAATTTTTATCAGAAATAACATTCGATTGGCAATAATTAATGTGGTCTCCGTTTACAAGCAGCTTGACATAAAAGGGCTAATCGACTGACAAGTTCTTAAAAGATATTTAAAAATAGTTTGGCTTAATTTAGCCATAAAATGCAGTGATTGAAAAGAGTATCAACTCAACAGCGATGCACTAACGCCAGGTAATCTTCAAGAACATAGACATGTTCACACCCAGCTCCGCAAGCAAGTCCCAGCACCATTGGGATCCTCCTTCACTTTGAACTGATCGCTGGAGGTGTTTCACAGTTGTATCATTTGTACGTAGTTGTGTGCACACATCACATTGTATTTCGATGCGGTATTGTTTTGCCTGGGCAATGGATGTCCTAGTGTTACAAGTTTGGGCGTGTGCTTGTATGCTGTGTGGGCTGAGAGTTTCTCTGGTGATCTTAACCCTTCCAAGGGCTGCAGTGCTATTGACGGCAACAGTAGAAACCCACGTAAGTCTGATCTGCACAACCATAATAACCCTTGCGTCAGACTCAGCGCCTTATCGCGTCTTCGAGACATCTCCCTCTACCCTTTGTGGAGTCCTGTAGCTCAGTGGTTAGAGCACTCGCTTTGCGAGCGAGAGACCTGAGTTCAATTCCAGGCAGAGGGCGAAACCTTGGGCAAGTTTCCTTACTCCACACAGAGCCTAATAATAATCCCTCAAAACCAAAAACAATAATAAATTGGTCATTTTCAATCCACGACTGTTTGTGGGACATTGCTGTGCGCCATTGGCTGCCGCGTTCGCCCACAAATATACAGTCAATTCACTTTACAGTGTGTTCTGTGAAGCGCTTTGGGACGTCCTCCCGACGTGAAAAGCGCTATATCAAATGCAAGGATTATTATTATTATTATTATTATATCTCAAAGCGCTTCGCGGGACACACCGTAGAGCGAACCGGTGGCGTATTTTGTGGGTACGAATCGTATAATGGCCCCGAGTTGTACATCTGCCCAAGCCCCGTTGAATTTTACTTTTCTTTAATGAGTTTGACATAAGTCATCCTTTGCATAAGTCGCATTAAAGTCATGGTCTCAGCTGATGGGGACTGTGTGTGAGAGCCACAGACCAGACATGGTCACGTGAGCACCGCCGCCGGAGACTACAACTCCCAGAGGTCCTCGCGCCCAAAAACACACAGACCGGAAGTTCCGGTTTTTGAGGCCTACGGTCAGCGGCGAAGCCTCGGGCTCAGGTTGGGGGTTGAATCCGTTAGAACTCCCCCCCCGGACCCGGACCCGGCGCTGAACTGCTCATTAACAACAACAATCATCTCCGGTATTGGACATCGAGAGCCGCGTTTGTTTTATTTATTTAGAGGTGTGGGTGTGGGGGCACTTCAGCCGCTCTGCCCCCCCCCCACCCCCTGGAACCCCATCCCCCGGGGCCCTCCCTCCTTCAGGACCCATCGCAAGACCCTCCTCTTCCACCGTGATTTCCATCCCCACCCCCACCCCCACCCCCAGCTCGGGTCCCCCCCCCCACACCACCCCGACCCCCCACCCCCCCACCCCGACCCCCCCACCCCCACACCACCACCCCCACCCCCACCCCGCCCCCCCCCCCCACACCCCCCCACCCCCACCCCCACCCCCACCCCGACCCCCCCCCCACACCCCCACCCCGACCCCACACCCCCAGCTCGGGTCCCCCCCCCTCCCCCCACTCTGTCTGTCCAGCGCCTCGGGACGTCCGCCCGACGTGAAAGGCGCTTTACGCGGGGAATGTTGTTGTTGTTGTTGTTATTAATTAGATGCGATTAATTAATCAATGTCGAATTCAGTCTCTGATAGGAATGACGATGACGACGATATGTTTTGAGGTAACACGGAAGCCTACTATCTAGAATAGACCAGAGACTTTTTTTGGTCACCCAGTAAATCAGTTATAACTAAATACATACAGTATAATAATATTATTATATTATTGTTATATATATATATATATATATATAACTGCAGAGTTAGAGACCCAGAAAAGTCACGACAAATTGACACAAAGAGCGAGCGAGCGAGAGAGAGAGAGACTGAGTCCGTGACGCTCCCGAGAGAGAGCGCGGCACGTTTGCCTTTTGTGGCGGTCAGCGAGCGATCATCGCTCCCGTTCTGCCCGTCCTCCCCGCTCGCCCGCCCGCTCGCCCGCTCGCTCCTGACTCCCGTCAACCTTCGTGCTGTTAACCCCTCTCGCACGGGCGAACGGTGAGATCGTGCGTGTAAGACAGGCTCCGTTTTGTTTGGCAGTGAACCCTCTTGTACGGATGGAAAGATACCCGGCAGCGAGCAGCGAGATCGCCTGCGTCCACGAAGGCAGCTCGCGCTTGTAAGGGCGCCCTTCGCGCGCAGTACAGCGTCTCCCAACAGTGTCGCGCGGGAGCAAGCGATCGAGACCGTAGACCAGTCGAAGAGGTAAGCTCAACTTTCTTTGTTTGGCAGAAATCCCTCTTGTATGTAAGATTACCTGCTCATGTCCTGCCCGAAATCGGCCCCTGCGTCTTTACTGGATTTTGAGGAAGAAATCCAGTTTTAAAAAAAATAAATGCCGCTTCTTTGTAGTAAAACTTGCTTGAGTCTGATCTGTATAAATCGTATAATTGATCGCCCAAGTTGTACATCTGTCCCATTCAAGAGTTTATATTCTATGCAAGTTTCACATAAACCATGCTTTGTATAAGTCATATTAAATGTATTATCCCGACTGATACGTCTTAACATGAGACAAATTACAGGGTCAATCACCAGTTGTTGACGTGTAAAGCGGTTACAGACAATGATTATAGACATTTCAGCCCAGAAGGAGGCCATTCGGCCCATCACGCCTCTGCCAATATTTACACTAAATATGTTTTGAGTGCTTTTTTTTAATTTAAAAAGGCCATTTGTTACCAAAATAAGAAAGTTCCTGTTTCTGTTTCTGTCCCACTCTCGTCTGGCTTCGATGTGTGTGGGCTGCCCAAAAACCTGTGATTTTTTTCCTACTTTCCCACCCACTCCCATCTTAGGGGAAGACGTTAACCTCACTCCCCTTCTGTGCCCTGTTCAGGTGGATGTTAAAGATCCTGCAGGGCTATTGGAAAAGAGAAGGGAATTTCTCTCTCCCAGTGTCCTGCCCGACAGTCTCCCAGATAATATCAGTCGCTAACTCCATGGCTGGAGTTCTGCATTAACCAAGGAAAACTGTCAGGGTTTGTTTTTTGAAAAAAATCTGATGGAGAGAAACTAAAGTAAGCTTTTTATCAATACAGTGGTAAGCAGCAGTCTGTGCTATAGAAGGAAGCATCATAGAAGAAAACAGGTTCATTCTATTGACCTGCAAAGTGGAAACACTACTTCAGTGAACGAGTAGTAAACGTATGGAACAGGCTCCCGAGGGAGACAGACAGTGGAAGGAAGCAGAAAGTGGATTCTTTCAAGAACACATGAGACAGATTTTTGTTAGGAAATAATATCTGGGGATACAGTGTATAGTTTGGGACACGACATGTGCTCGTGATTGACTGCCAGGATGGTGGAAGGCGAACTGGATGGAGCTTGGTCTCCTTTCACCAGCAAATTCTTATATTCTTATGTTCTCAATGGCTGATTTGAGGTCTCCTCTCTCGGAGTCCCACAGTCACGGTGTTGGATTCTGATCAGTCTATCACAGCAAGAATGCCTTTGTCAACATGTGGGACTTGTACAGTGTACACTCCACTCCCTGATGGCAATCCAGCATTCATTGCCTTTGCCCTTGTTCTCATCCCTAACTTCATTAGAGAGTCTGGCGTGTCATTTGCCCAACATTAACCCACAAAAGCTGAACAGTATCTGTGCGGAGCAGTAATTTGTGAAATAATGCAGAGGTCGGGAGTGTCACTGTCAGTCAGGTGGACGTGTCCGGCCGAGAGAATGCTTTGCTGGCAGACCGCTGTGGGGCTGAGATCTTTGAAGCCGGTAGAAATTGCCAAGGAAGCCTCCGAAGCTTGGGCTCCATATAGTAGCTTCAATTGAATTGGGGTCTTGGTCTCGGAGGTGCTGACAGATGCCCGGGTATGTGATTATTTCTGATTTAATAACATGAAGGGGAAGCGAGCTCAGGCTGATAATTAGCCACTAATTAGTGAGAATGTGATGACGGACGAGCCATCATATAGTCACAAGGAAACAAACTTTCTTTATCCCGAGCTTAGAGTCAGATTACAGTTCCTGTGTTATCTGGCTTCTGCTGAGAAGAAGACTGACTCTCCGTTAATTCATCAAAGAGCCACGGGATCCCACAATATATGGGATTGGGATGAGAATATTGACACAAAAAAAACTCTTTGATTCATCCCAACCAAATTAATCCCTTTCTCTACCTCCACCCCCCCCCCCCCACCACTCCACCCCCGTTTAAATTATTGCTATCTTAAAGTCTAAATTACACAAGCGATCTAGTTTCAGCTTTGAAAACGTGATGAATACGGACGATTTATTCACTCAATTTATTTCTCTCAATGGCTCCAAGTTTTATTATCGTCGCTCTCTTCTGATATCGCTCACTTTTTTTTTCTTTGATCATTTTTTTACCCCAGTCTTCTTTGCCTGGGACTGACTGACCGACTGACTGAAACCGCCCGTGTTGGTCGTTTGTGTTTTTATAAAAAGAGAGAGAAATTACCTCTACCTTCAGGAATAAAGCACTGGTGCTAAAATAACTAACTTTCTGTTCCACTCGCATGGTATCTTGATGACTAAATCCTTTCTTTGTCCTAACATTGCAGTGGGTAAAGTTCAAATATTTCTTAAGTTTTGTTAGCTTGAGATTCATGTCTTTGAACTCGAGTTGTGTTTAGACTTCTGTATCAAATGTAATAAGTCCCCCCCCCCACTCAATCCACGACTGTTTGTGGGACACTGCTGTGCGCAATTGGCTGCCACGTTTCGCCCACAAACTACACTACACTCAATCCACTTTACAATGTATTCTGTGAAGCACCTTGAGACGTCTCAATGACACGATAAGGCATTATATCAAATACAAGGATTATTATTAATAATACATGAACTACATACTCTTTAACGGCTGACAACTTTATATTCAAAATTCTCTGTTTTCCTCACCCCATCTATGTTAAGCTCTTTACTCTAAATCTCTTCCCTGCGTGAGAGGTGCTGTGTGAGTGCACGTTGTGTGCACTCAGTAGCTAGTTGGTTAGTTCATTGTACTGATGGCACAATGAGTTGACATTAGGAACAGCCCTGTCCAAAAATAGCATTTGTTTTCTTTGTCCCGATGTTGACAGTAAAAGCTTTTTAAAAACTCCCAAACAGAAATGAGCTAAAGCAAAATGCACTTCCGAACTTTTATTAGACTTCAATGGCTGTGAGAACAGCTATCTTTAATCACCCAACATTTACTTAAGAAACACTGACTCTAATTGGGGAGGCTGGGCTGACAAATCTGTGTGGCTGACAGATTAGCAATGGACAATTAAGCTGAGCCTGTTAACCAGGAGGTTTTCTGATCATGACAGGATGTGTGACTCTTTTAGTTGCTGCTGAGGTTTGCAGAAGAAACAACACCAAGTTGCAAATAAGTCATAAGAGTGTTACTAAAAAAAAACACCCTCTTTCCGCGCTTGATTATCGCTCTTTCCCTGAAATCGCTGTGTGCGTGAGATTAATTGGAAATGGAACGAAAGTTTCTTTCCTGTCAGCGCTGATCAGAGAGTTGCCTTCGAATGTGATGAATGACCTGCTTACTCCCCAACCCACTAGACGCTGCCTCCGCTTGCCTGGCTCCAGCCTCCTGCATGTCCTTCGTGGTCTCCGTTCCCACACCTGCGGCCGTGCTTTAAGCCACTACACGCCAAAACTCTGGAACTCTCTCCCTCAATCCCTCCTTCCCCACCTGCAGGTCGAGCCTGAAGACCTTCCTTCTCGACCGTGTCTACCGTCTTAAGACAAAAATTTAAACAAAACGATTAGCTGGAATTTTGGAGCCTGGGTTCATCCCAAAGAATTCCAATGAACACGAGTGTCCCCTTTTCCCTGGTGAAAAACTGTCTGGAGATTGAACACTGGTGACATGTTTACGAGTGCTGGTGTGGAGGAACCACTTTAAGCCTCACTGTGAAAGGGGAGCTGAGCTAATGAACACAGTTAAATCCTTTTAGGTTAATGACTGTGTTGGTGTTGATGTAAGACCAGCTCTTGAGCACTATTGGCCTCAGTTAGCACTTTCAAAGTAGTGAGGTGGCCCATGATATTGGCATTAAAACATATTGAAATATCACTGTCCAGGCAAACAATAATAATATTCCTTGCATTCGATATAGCAGCTTATCACGTCATCGAGACGTCTCACAGCGCTTCACAGGTTATACATAAAGTGTAGTGACTGTGTATTTTGAGGGCGAAATGCAGCAGCCAATTGCTCACAGCAGTGTCCCACAAACAGTCGTGGATTGAGTAAGCAAATTATTATTATTGTTCGTATATATTTTTTACAAAACAGAGCGGAGGGCTTGTTGAGCACAACTTATCGTAGTGTTGTTGGAGAGTTCGGAGTGAGATTAATATCATCTGAGCGGCTGTCTGCATGTGAGGTTAAACGCAGCGGTGAAATAATTATTTTCGGGAGGGTTGTGTTGGGGTGGGTTGGGGTGAAGAGTATCTCCTTTCTCTCTATCTCTCCCCAGAGATGGATGGCATGGACACATTGATGCTCGTTCGTTAGTCATTGATCCGAGTGTTAGTCTAGCCAACAGCAGATGAAATTCATCAAACAGGTGGGCCCTGCTGACTGGATTGTCAGTTGGACATAAACCCCTTTAACCCTATCTCTCACCGCTTTCCTGAGGTTCCATTTGTGGTTTAATCGTTCGAGATGGTTTACTTCTTTGTAAAACTACAATGATTACTTGGAGTCCTGTAGTGTAGTGGTTAGAGCTCTCGCCTCGCAAGTGAGAGGACCTGAGTTTGATTCCCAGGTGGGCGAAACCTTAAGCAAGTTTCCTTACTGCACACGCCCTCTGTTTACGCAGCCGTGATTAGGAACCCGGTTGTTAGTCTATTGACGGATCGCCTTCCTGGGGTAATAATCCCCTCAAAAATAAATGTGGTCTCTCAGTCCACGACTGTTTGTGGGACACTGTTGTGCACAATTGGCTGGCGTGTGGAGTATGGAAATTTCGCCCCAACCTGCCCGGGAATTGAGTCCGGGTTCTCTCGCTTGTGCACTAACCACTACGCTATGGGGCTCCGTTCAGCATATGAGGCTTTAAAACAAAATGGCTTTATTTTTACTCTTCTGTTACAATAGGACACCTGTCCCTGCAGAGATCGCCTCCCCCATGGCGCGGTCTCCTCCCGATCCGATGTGTGTACTGCGCGGGACACGGGCTGCGGTGAACACACTGCACTTCTGCTGTGGAGATCAGGCCGGCTCTGATCTCGCCCTCTTCTCTGGGTGAGAATCCTTTACTCCGCTTCCCACCTGGAAATCCAACCCAGGTCCTCGCGCTCGCGAGCGAGTACCCTGCAGGACTCCAAGCTGTACAATAAACGCCATACAAAGATGAGAGACACCTGCCCACACTGCGCTGTGCGTTCCAGAGGATTCCAGCCGTTAGTGTAACCACTAATCCTCTTATCTGACTGGCTCTATCCTCACTGCTTTGAGCATGATACCAGAGATTTGCTTCCTAACTCTACCTAAAGGGATCAATTATTCTGGGTGGGTTGATGCCAAGAGGAAATAATGCAGCTGGACCATCTCCCATTTACTGTTGTTTCCAATTCATAGCGCTTAGTTGGAAGTTAGGAAGAGCTTTCTGTTTACCTAGCGTAATTAGGAACCTGTTTGGCAGATCACTTTCCGGGGGCAATAATCCCACCCAAAAAAAATGTGATCACTTAATCCACGACTGTTTGTGGGTCCCTGCTGTGCGCAATTGGCTGCCACGTTTCTCCCACAAAATGCAGAGTCGCTCCACTTTACAGTATATTCTGTGAAGCACTTGGAGGCATCTCAATGACGTGATAAAGTGCTGTATTAAATGCAAGGATTATTATTAGCTCATGACATAACAGACACATTTTTAAAACGCATACATTTGAACATTTCTATTTGAATTCTATGCTTATTAGTAAAATAATAATAGTAATCCTTGCGTTTCATATAGACGTTGAGACGTCTTAAAGCGCTTCACAGAATATATTGTCAAGTGTCGTGATTGTGTATTTTGTGGCGAAACATAGAAAAATATGGAAATTACATGTAATGTTTAATATTATTGAGGGAAGCTTTGTTTTCAGGCAAATCATGGTTTAAAGTGACTCTGATTTGACAGAGTTTAGACCTTGTCACTTGATCTCGATTAACAGCTCAGCCAATGGACTGATCCACATTTGGAATCTGAAGACGCACAGGGCAGACACAGTTCTGGGGGGTCACAGTGGCCAGTCTGTATTATGGGTACAAACTCTACAACACAGAGAGACGCTGTTCAGGTTAGTGGGTTCTGAAATCTGACCCTTCCCAGCGCCCACATACACACACACACACACACACACAGACAGACACACTCAAACACACACACACGTATACATACAGTACATACGTTTTCGCCCACAACAGTCAAACACTTCACAGTGTATTTACAGTATATCCTGTGAAGCGCTTTGAGAATCTCCAACCCGCTGCTCGCTGCCTCCGCTCGACTGGCTCCGGCCTCCTGCTTGTCCCTCGTGCCTCTGTTCATCATCATTGGCCGTTCTGTCAGCTGCTTCGCCCCGAAACTCTGAAACCCTCTCACTCAATACCTGCGCCTCGGCCCCTCCTTCCCCATTTTCACATCTTCCTCTTCGACCATTGCCTAACGTCTCTCTCCCCCCCCCCCCCCCACCCCAGAGCTCGGCTCCGGGCTCCTCTGCCACTGTCAAGCGCTCTGGGACGCCACTCTGTGTGAGGGGGCGCTGTGTAAATGCAAGTTGTTGTCACCAAGCCAGGGGCGTGATTCGGCTGTGCGTGTGTGGGACCTGGCGGAGGGGAGGAGTGCAGTAACAGACTCCATCCCAGTGGAGAGTTATGGCTTCTGCCAGGGTTCCCTGCTGGAGGGCAATGCTGGTCACTACCTGCTAGCTTTGCCCGGGAAAGCCACCTCAGAGGTAATGTGCTCTCACATCACACAGATTTGTAATAATAATAATACTTGCATTCGATATAGCGCCTTATCATGTTATTGAGATGTAAAGCGCTTCACAGAATACACTGCCCAAGGTTTTGCCTGCCCGGGAATCGAAGCTGGGTCCTCTCGCTTTGGGAGGTGAGCGCACTGACCACTACACTACGGGACTCCATGGGGTTTGGCGAATGTTGGCATTGACCCAAAGGTCAGTCATTTTGACCAAAGCGACCCTCGATGCCATTTCTGTAGCTTGATGGAGGACACACTCCACAGGACATAGACAAACTGCTTCTTGATTATTACTAATGCATTTCAAGCTTTTCAACCGAGTGATGTGTGCTCTCCTACCTTAAACAATCGCCTGTGGCTTTAAAGCGTGTGACCGAACAAGTATGGACTTGGAAGTAGCGCGGATTAATTGTGGATGTGTGTGTGTGTTTTTTTTATTCCAATTTAGGTGAAGATCATAGATGTAGTTAATAAGACGCCAGTCTGCACTCTAAACCCGGCAGCAGATGCTAAACTGGGCATGCCCATGTGTCTGAAACTATGGCAGGTAAAACACACGCACACAGACACACACACAACACACACACACAACGTGGAGCACAAAGAGAACGTAGCTCCTAATGACTCGTATCATCACAGCGTGCAACCGCGGTTTTGATCAGAAGTTTTTTGTTTTGCTTTTCGCTCGTCTCTTGATTTCTCCCAAAACTATAATTTTGCCAGGACCCAGTGAATCAGACAGAGAGGCGAGCAGCAGGCAGAAGGTGTGTGGGCGGGAGGGTGGGTTGGAGAGAGAGAGAGAGTGGAGTATTGGAGCCTGCCTTTTTTGGGTTGAAAAGATGGTTCTTTGTCAATGTCAAGAATAGGAAATGATAATCTTGCTTTCAACCTATTTGGGGATTAACAAGGCTGGTGATTAGAGAGGTTTGCAGGAGCTGTGATAGGATAGGATGGAATAAGCAGTAAATATTTCAGTTAAGGTGCAGTAATTTTTCCCCAACCAATATTGTAAGTAAGAGACAGTTTGGGTTGGGAGGAGGCTGTATTAGTGATAAGTGTGAACATGCCAAGATTCAAGACAAATTACTTATTTCTTTTACGTGCCTCAACTTCACAAAGTCTGCCCGGTGCTGTTGTAGCTTTGTGGTTTAATCGCTTCATTGTTCAGTGATATTAACAGTAATTTCACTTTGCACCTGTTGGTGAAACCTTAACAATATACTAGATGTTGGCACATCATTCAGTGCCTCTCCCTGTTACACTGTCAGCTACCACACACCAACCTCTGCCTGCTGCTCGCCTCTCTGTCTCAAACACTGGGTACCAGCTTTGCTAAAGATTGATTTGTAGCTAGTGTTGTCGTATTGTTATTGCATACTTAGCTGCCATTGACGTGTGTGTGGTATGTGTGTGTGTGTGTGTGTGTGTGGTGTGTGTGTCTCTGTGTGTGCATGGTGTGTGTGTGTGTGGTGTGTGTGTGTGGTGTGTGTGTGTGGTGTGTGCATGGTGTGTGTGTGGTGTGTGCATGGTGTGTGTGTGTGTGTGTGGTGTGTGCATGGTGTGTGTGTGTGTGTGGTGTGTGCATGGTGTGTGTGTGTCTGAGTGTTGACTGTCTAGTGGGACTGAGCAGCCCTGACACAGAGAGAGACTGACTGACATTTCCATGCGATGTTACCGTCTCTCTCTCTCTGCCTCTCTCTGCAGCTCGAGCCCTGCTCTCGGCCCCTGCTACTGGCCGGCTATGAGGACGGATCGGTGACCCTGTGGGACGTGTCGGAAGGGAGAATGTTGACCCGGCTGGCCTGCCAGGGAGAACCAGTCATGTGTCTTGACTTTGACCCCCAGAAGGCCAAGGGTATCTGCGGCTCTTCGGCAAAGCTTCTCAGCTCCTGGACACTTGACAGGCAACAGAGCCTAAAGGTCAGCCTGAATCACCTCCGTGTCATTTATCCAGCTCCACACTAACAGTCTGATACCCTGAAACAATATTTAGTCATGAAGAGGAGTTGTTACAGAGAACTGGGCCCAATTAATCATCTTCCAGTTCCAATATCTAGAGCCTGGCCCTGTTGTCTGGGTGTCAATCAGAATGGGGGCTCGCAATGTTAACATTTAATTTCTTTAAGTCAATACAGTACCAGCCAGCCCAGTCCCGTCAGCCGCCCAGCCAGCCAGCCAGCCAGCCCAGCCGCCCAGCCAGCCGCCCAGCCAGCCAGCCGCCCAGCCAGCCAGCCAGCCCAGCCAGCCAGCCGCCCAGCCAGCCAACCAGCCAGCCCAGCCAGCCAGCTAGCCAGCCCAGTCCCGCCAGCCGCCCAGCCAGCCAGCCAGCCAGCCCAGCCAGCCAGCCGGCCGCCCAGCCAGCCGCCCAGCCAGCCGCCCAGCCAGCCAGCCAGCCAGCCCAGTCCCGCCAGCCAGCCGCCCAGCCAGCCAGCTGCCCAGCCAGGCCAGCCCGCCAGCCGCCCAGCCAGCCAGCCAGCCAGCCGCCCAGCCAGCCAGCCCAGCCAGCCAGCCGCCCAGCCAGCCGCCCAGCCAGCCAGCCCAGTCCCGCCAGCCGCCCAGCCAGCCGCCCAGCCAGCCCAGCCCAGCCAGCCAGCCAGCCAGCCCAGCCAGCCAGCCAGCTAGTGGCCAGACAGACATCAGGTTATTAACAAGCTCTGTGTTTGTTGAGGGTTTAAGAAATAATTTTTTAATGTTACAAAAAGGAATTTCTTAGGAGGAGATTCGGAGATCTTGTTAGGATTGGAGCGCAGTGATCAAGGCAGATTCCATGCTAGCTTTCAGGAGCTTGATATGTAAAGAGGAGCCTTTGATAATGATAATCATAATAATTGATGATAATAAGAAGAAAGGCTGTGGATTATGGCTGGATCCATTCACATTTTCAAGACTGAGGTGGATAGATGTTTGTTAGGTCAGGGGATCAGGGGAAATGGGGCAAAGGCGGGTATTCGGAGTTGAGGTACAGATCAGCCATGAGCTAATAGAATGGTGGAACAGGGCCGAGGGGCTGAATGGCCCCGAAAACAGAAAACTGGCAAAACTTACCGTGTTAAGTACTGTGTTGGCCACCCACTGACCTATTATTAAAACAAATAAACTTGTCTCTCCGCGGAAGACAAAAAGAAAATCGATTTCATATCTCCTCTGCACCGTGCATGCTGTAAGTGAAAACAGATGCTGTGTTATGCAGACCATGTGCGTATAGCAATAGCCCTGTCCCCCCGTGTAAATCTCAAATGCTTTTTGTTATGTGTATTTTGCTGTCAGGCCGTATCTGTGTATGATTATATGTTACTTCCCTCCCATAATATTGTTCTGGTTAAATAGGCAGCGTTCCTTATACCACAGTGAGCAGGAGTCACAAAGGGCTCTTTATAACCATAATAATAATAATAATAAACCTTGCATTTGTTACAGCGCCTTATCACATCAGTGAAACGTCTCAAAGTGCTTCGCGGAATATGCTGTAAAGCTTAGTGACTGAGTATTTTGTGCGCAAAACGCGGCAGCCAATTGGGCACAGCAGTGTCCCACAAACAGTCATGGATTGAGTGAACAAATTTTATTTATTTTGTGAAGGGACTATTGCCCCCGGAAAGCGATTCTCCATTCAACTAACAACCGGGTTTCTATTCACTGCTGGTAAACAGAGGTGCGTGGAGTAAGGAAACTTGTCTTAGGTTTCACCCTGACTGACCGGAAATCAAACCCGGGTCCTCTCGCTTGCGAGGCGAGGGCGCCAACCACTGAGCTACAGGACTCCATTATAACCATAATAGCTTAGGAAAAAAGCACATGGAGTTAAGACGTGCAGGGGACATTGCAATTTGTGGGGAAGGTAATAAGATAATAAAAAAAGTTTTATTTTCAAAACAAAATAAAAAACAGTAGAGGCTGTTCCAGGTGAAACAAATTAAAGTCACTTGAGACAAAGCAGACGTTTTAATACTGAACAGTTAATTATTATTTATGGTTTCCATCTTCATTCCCAGTCTCAAGAAGTGTTGGAGCTGGTAAACCCTGGAGTGGCTCAGGTGTGCCTTCGTCAGGACAAGAGAATTCTAGCCACCGCCGGCTGGGATCAGCGCATCCGTGTATTTAGCTGGAAGAAACTGAAAGCTTTGGCAGTGCTGCAGTACCACACAGACAGTGTGCACTGTGTGACCTTCTCTGACCACTCCGCTCTGTCACCAAGACTCCTAGCCGCAGGCTCGAAAGACCAGCGCATCAGCTTGTGGTCTCTCTACAACCAGACGTGAAACAGGTTGATTTTGCTGTTACGGCAATTCCCAGTGTTGAGGGATTATTACCCCCGGTAAGCGATACGCCAATCGACTAACCACCAGGTTCATACTTACTGCTGGGCAAATGGAGGCAGGTGTGTGGAGTAAGGAAACTTGCCCCGACCTACCCCGGAATCACAAACCCGGATCCTCTCACAAGCTCCACTAATGTGATCTGGTTTTACTGCACATTTCCCCCCCACCCTCGTGTTTCCTTTTTGCCTGAAATTGTGTGTGTTTTTTATATAAAATAAATAATAGCAAATATTGTTAAACAGTACTTTATGTTCTCTAAAGTTTTAATAATACTAATAATCCTTGCATTTGATAAAGCCCTATCACGTCTTCAAGTTGTTTCAAATACTTTGCAGAATATACTGTAAACTGTAGTGACTGTATTTTGTGGGTGAAGATAAGCCTTTATATCAAAATGCAAGGATTGTTATTAATAATATATCTGTCTGTAAAGAGCTGGGTCATGTAAAATGAGAAGTGATGGCCAGGACACTGGATTATATTGTGGACTTTATAGCTGTTCCAGGAGGGACGAGATAATTCAGCACAGATCAGGATTGAACCACATTGGGCTAATAGTGCACCCAGGCACTGCGGTTTACAGACTAGCCCATCAGGCCAGCGAGTGCTACTCACTCAATTGGTGATGTGAAATCTTTTCCTCGGCTGTTTTGTTTCTCAAAGTCTCATTAATCATCTTCACATTCCCGGACTGAGCGCCACCCTGTATTAATCCTCCAGTCTGCTCGTGGCTTCCCATAGCCTTCCTGGTGAGGATCACAGAACCAGAGAAATCTTCTCCACAGAGGCAGGCAGCCAAGCTATTGTATTAGTGTTACTGTTTGCTCCTAGACTGAAACTATATTATTGGCCCACAAATAATAATAAATATTAATACTCTTTGCATTTGATGCAGCGTCTTATCACATCATTGAGACGTCTGGAAGCACTTCATAGGATATATTGTAAAGTGAATTGACTGTATATATTGTGGGCGAAACGCAGCACAAACAGTCGTGGAATGAGTGAGTGACCAATTGTATTTTGGGGGGAAATGTTGGCCAGACCACTAGGAGCTGAGGTTTACAACAACAACAACAATAATAATCCTTGCATTTGATACAGTGCCTTTTTCAACTCGGGAGGAAGGACCTCAAAGTGCTTCACTTTACGGTGATTGGCTGCGAAGTGTAGTGACTGTTTTTGTAGGCGAACGTGCGATGTGTCAAATTGTTTTTCAACTGAGAGGAAATCTTTGGAGGGAGCTGAAAGCCCTCAGCGTGTGAGTTAAATAACATATCAGCATATTCCTAGGGTTTGGGAGATTAGACGGTTAACCTACGTTGAGCCTTTTGGTGTGTGAATGGCTCATTAATGAGCAATAAATCACAGGACGAGGACAGGAGGTTGCAAGGTTAGCAGAACTTCCCTGTCACTGGGAGGAAACTCGCCCAAGCCAAACAGCTTGTTCTTAACAGGAATTAGTACCACTGGAATGAAAGGGAATACAAATCTACGTGGATCAGATAGACTTTTCCGCTCTGCTTTTATCTTAATTTGCTCGCAAGGAGAGAGAGAGGGGGAGAGAAAGAGCCAACTGCTGCATTGTGCTTTGGATTTACAACAATAATAATAATCCTATCATTTGATACAGCGCCTTATCGCATTGAGACGTCTCAAAGTGCTTCACAGAATACACTGTGAAGTGGTATGACTGTGGTTTTGTGCGTGAAACGTGGCAGCCGATTCACACACACACACAAAACAAGGTCACACAACCAGCCCTGACCAATTTTTTTNCACATGAGCTAAATCCTCAGTTTCTATATGATGAGCATTGTAGTCTTGTGAGGCTGTAGCTCAGTGGTTAGAGCCTCGCCTCGCAAGCGAGAGGACCCGGGTTCGATTCCCGGCAGAGCCAAACCTTAGGCAAGTTTCCTTACTCCACATACCTCTGTTTACCAAGCAATAAGTAGGAACCTGGTGGTTAGTCAATTGGCAGGTTACTTTCCGAGGGTAATAATTCCTTCAAAAAAAAATTGGGTCCATGACTGTTTGTGGGACACTGCTGTGCGCAATTGGCTGCCGTGTTTTGCCGACAGAATACACAGTCACTCCACTTTACAGTATATTCTGTGAAGCACTTGGAGGCGTCTCAATGACGCGATGAGGCGCTGTATCAAATGCAAGGATATTATTATTAATTAATTTCAGCTTCCCGTTTCACTGTGATTGAGAGCAGCAATAACCGAGTGAGCCCTGGAACCCTTCAAGACTTGCAAAAGAAAATTGCAAATGGCAGAGAACTCACTTTTCAGGCCTATCTGCAAACCCTCATCCCTCCCTGGCCATATATCAACCTCATGACTTCTGAAGGTATCAATTACTTGCAAATTCATCAGCCACAGAACGCCTTCCTGTTGGCAAAAGTCTAACGAACATGTTTTTCTGTTAAAAAAAATTTAACATTCATACACTGGGGGATGGATTTCAGGGTTTTGTTCATCAGCCAATATTGTCACAAATGTTTGCCCCATAAAACACACAGTCACTTCACTTTACGCTCCATCCTGTGAAGCGCTTTGGGACGTCCTCCCGACGTGATAACAATACATTAATATAATTATATATAAAATGTAACATTCAAGTAATAAAATATTAATATTTAAACATTAAATTACACAAGAATAATGCAGTGTTCTGTGGGTGTTTTATCTTTGCTGCCAGATTGGGTTTTGAGAGATTTCCACCACTTTTGATCTATTCGGAGGCTTTGTATGTTGGATAAAAGACTAGTGTGTTACAGCTATTTCCCCCACCCATCCTCGCTCATTGTATCTGTACAGTAACTGACGACACACAGGAAGGGAGAGAACGGAGGGGAAAGAAAAATCAAAGTATCAGATTCAAAGGGAAAATTAGGAGTGACCCTGAAAAAGTACACAAAATGTTTTGCGAGTGTCATAACTCGTTCGACCTTGAGAGCGTGGCTAGCAATTTCCCATCAGGGACCCCAGTCTATTTGGTGTCAAACACGTGTAAATGGGAAGTTTCCGTCTATCCTGTGATCAATCGAATCCTTTTAATATTACCAGCAGATGTGAGGCAGAAATTCAGGAAAGACATCATTGCAGATGATTTGGGAAGTCAATAAAGGGAAGTTAACTATGGCAGGAAGAGTGCAGGTGTGAATGGAAAAGGGCAGAGGAGAATTACTTGTTATTTTCAAATGAAGTTATGACCATAATAAGTTGTTTCCATTTTAAAAAAAACCGATCAAGGCGTCTGCAGACTTCACCCAGTGTCAAACTGGCAAATATTAATACAATAATAATCCTGGCATTTGATACGGCCCCTCATCGTGTGGTTGAGACGTCTCAAAGCGCTTCACAGGAAAGACTGTAAAGTGAAATGACTGTGTATGTTGTGGGCCAAACGCAGCGGCCAATTGCGCACGGCGGCGTCCCCACAACCAGCCGCGGATTGCTTGGATTATTCTCATTGTTTTGCTCGTCAATGTCACTCACCGTAATGTTCAAGCGCTCTGGGCTGCTGCCCTGAGCACGATATCAATGCGAGTCGTTGTCCCGAATCTTTTCGGGATCAACAATTGGTTGTAGTAATATATGAACCCTCGAGATGGCGACGTTGATTACATTTATTGCGGCTGAACGAGGAAAGTGAAAACACATTCCCGAGGTTTTTAGAACACAATAAAACATGCAATAAACTCCGTCAACCCTCAGAGCTGTTACTTCAACATCGGTAGCTGTTGAGGAACAGGATTCGGCCCGTGCTTTTTTTGTTGTTGCTTTGTCAGAATTGCTTTTAGCTCCACCGCGCTACAAATGCTCTTCATTTTATAACAATGTGCAATGAAGACCATAAAGCATGTTTTAAGTACAGTCTGTTTTGCCCACAAAATGCGCAGTCACCCCCACTTTGCAGTGTATCGTGTGAAGCACTTTGAGACATGCCAACGACGTGATATTGTTATTACAATAAATACGCCTTTCAATCGCCTATAACGCTTGCCAACCTTCAATACCTCGCTCACACCTGAACGTGTATCCGAGACACACACGCGGGAGAGAGAGAGAGAGAGAGTGCCCAAAGGGATATGTTGACTGTGTATTAAATAAACTTCCAGCCCATTGTTAAAAAAAATGACATTTCAACACTAACTGTACCCTAATCCCATCAGCGGTAACAGCCATTTGAAAAGGTGTTGAGCCTCGATCAGATTATAGGAGATTAAATTACTCACTGTGAGGAGTTCAGAAGTGTGAGTGAACTATCAACACTTTCAAGAACAGTGATGTGATCAGTGCCAGGGCTCTTTCCTCTCTCATCATTGCCTGGATGTCTTTTGCCGAAATCGATACGAAACAATTAAAACTCGGTTGTCTGTGGAATTGTCAATTATTGCTTCACAACAATATACAGCCCACAGAATGTAAAATACAGAGTCAATTTACAGTCCTGTGAAGTGCTTTGAGATGTCTTAACGTGATAAGGCGTTGTATCAAATGCAAGGATTATTATTATTATTAACTACAACATCTACAATTTGCATTTGCAATTTTGTACAATTTGCCTCGCCCCCTTCCTTCCCCAATTTAATAATAGAAATAATAATTTGGTCGCTCAATCCACGGCTGTTTGTGGGGACACTGCTGTGCGCAATTGGCTGCCGCGTTTCGCCCACAAAATACAAAGTCAATTCACTTTACAATATATTCTGTGACTGTGAAGCACTTGGAGATGTCTCAAAGATGTGAAAAGGTGCTACATCACATGCAAGGGTTATTATTATGGGATTATTATTATATATAAGTTGGACACTCTCCCTGACCGCACACACGGGTGAGAATCCCATTAGGAGGCTGTTTGAAGCTTCCTCTGCCCCTCGGCTCAGGCTGTGATGATGCGCCTGGCACAGGGCAGAGGACAAACACAGCTGTGTACAATAACGGAAGAGTTTGTGCTTCTCAGCAAGGCTGGCTCCCGCAGGGAGAAAACTGATTCCAACTCCATCTCACGCAAGGCAACCTTATCCCAGCCTGGCTCTGGGATGGCTCTGGCTTCCCTCTGCCTTTTCCTTTACAGTAAAACTCGTGGGCGGATTACATTTTCCGATCGGAGTTGAGCTGAGCTGTGGTTGATCTCACATTCAGGTAGTCTATCTAATCCCACCCTCCCTCCCTAACCACGACGCTACACAACCGTACTGCTCCACTCCAGGATATACTGTAAAGGGCAGTGACTATGTTTTGTGGCCGTTTTGAAACAAGACCTCAGTGATTAGGGCAGTGGAAGGAAATGTCACAAGGAATGTACAGGAAAGAAACACCGGGGATAACAGCTCACAGATATTTCAGCAGGAAGCCACCTGTTACTAGGTTTATTTATACTGTAAATCCTGATAAGGGCTCATAAATAATAATAATCCTGGCATTTGATACAGTGCCTTATCACATCTTTGAGACGTCTCAAAGAGCTTCACGGGATATACTGCAAAGTGAATTGACTGTATATTTTGTGGGTGAAATGTGGCAGCCAATTGTGCACAGCAGTGTCCCCACAAACAGTCGGGAATTGAGTTGGTGGTGGGGGGACTTTTTTAAGGGATTATTACCTCCCGGAAAGCGATCCACCGATTGAGTCACGACAGAGTTCCTACTTACTGCTGGTAAACAGGAGTGTGGAGTAAGGAAACTTGTTAAAATATGAGAGAGAGAGAGGGGGAGAGAGGGGGGTGGGGGGCGGGTAGTGGGGTGGCGGGTGGAGAGAGGGGGGGAAAGAGAAAAAAGTGGGCTCTGGTCACATTTAAAACGAAAAAAACAGCCTCTCATTCCCCCCTCCCCAGGAAGTTCCTCAGTGTCTGCTCACAGCCTGTCTGTGGGTGTCTATCACAGTTTGGGTTGAGTAAGGAGCGGAAGGCATTTAACTTAATAAAATAGATAATCCCATTGACCTTCACCAGGTGGAGAGAGGTTCTGGGCTGTTTTTTCTGGCTAAGATGTCGGTGGCGTTTTTGACATTTTTTCCCTCGACTTTTGTTATCGTTTTAGATGCTTTTCTGTTGCACAAAATGCCTGTGTGAGCGAGAGCTGTGTCTGCCTGTCTGTCTGCGTATCTGTCTGTGTCTGTGTGTGTGTCTTTCTGTTTGTGTTTATGGGGAATGGGGAATAATATTAATAATCTTGTATTTGATATAGCGCCTTATCACGTGATTTCAGTGTACAGATGTGAGGGGTGGGGGGCGGGGGGGGGAACATTTTAAATATTTAAATTTAAAAGGCGTCTTTGATTTGACTGATTTGTGCATGTTTAAAATCAGTTTGTGTGTGTGTGTGTGTTTGTGTGGTGTGGGGTGGGGGGGAGCAGAGCTATTGAGAGCTCAGAGATATATTCCTTTGGGGGTGAGGGTTGGGGGTGAGTGTGGAGGGAGGGAGTGGGGTGTGGGGGGGGCGAGTTCTGCAGGCCTGGCAAACCCAGATGGGTTAGTTTGAGTTGGGTTACTCTGGGCTAAAACAAGTAATTGATTAATCTCAGTTGTTTTCAGTGGTAGTGTTTTTGTTTTCCCTGGGAGCTCGCTTCCTGGCGCTGGATGTGTGGCTGGGCACACAGCGTTTTACAAAGAGACGTCACCCGTTTCCTTTTTCACAGTCAAAATACAGTCAATGTGTGTGTATGTGTGTGTGTGTGTGTGTGAATGAGTGTGAGTGTGTGTGAGTGATTGTGTGTGTGAGTGTGTGTGTGTGTTGAGTGGGCGCGTGTGAGGTTTTTACTGTACTTGTCAGTGAGTCTAACAATCGCATCAATCAGAAAGGTGAGATTGCCAATAATGCGCTAATTTTCTGGGCTCAATCCAAACAAGACAGAAGATGGCTATTTTAGCAAAACAGCCAATGAAATGAGAAATCTAGGACCACTGGAAATGATGGTTGCAATACAGGAAAAAAACAGTCATCCCTCCACTAACCCTTTTACTTCCTTATTCTCCACTTCCCCCGAGTGTTAATTCATCCAGGAAAACTCCATGTATTTATTCCCTTCCTCACCCTGTAAGTTATTGCCTACAAAATACACAGTCACTACACTACAGGAAACCCTGGGAGGCGCTTTTTAAATGTCAGGATGATGCGATCAGCCGTTTTTATCAAATGCACCAATATCTCCTGTATTGCAATCATTGTTTCCAGTAAAAACAGGATTCAATGACATGATGTCAAATGCAATTATTATTATTATGTTATTCGAGTTTATCTCAGGAGGTTGAAATTATTATTATTAATTATTATGCTAAATGATAGGACTGACATTAACAAGTTAAAATTCTGCCAATATCCCTCGACTGAAATTGGATTAATGCTCAATTTTGCCTGTATTTTTAAGAGCAGAAAAAAGTAACATAAAGCAAAAGTAAAGTAAGATTGTGACATACCATTATAATTATAATAATAATCCTTGCATTTGATTTAGCGCTTTATGACATCTTTGAGACATCTCCAAGTGCTTCAAAGGATTTACTGTAAAGTGGATTGACTGTGTATTTGTGGGCGAAACATTATAAAAACACATAATTCAGAGGTAATATGTACACACTACAGATTAAATTTAATATATACGTATATATATATAATCAATTGCAAGCCAGGAGACAAGGTGCGCACGCTCATTTTTTTTTAATTTTCCGGGTTTATATAGAAAATTACAACACGCCATTTCATCTCAAAACGATGAGAGAAAAACAGGAACACTTGCTATCTACACACAGTTTATCTACAAGATTAAATATCTACAGTCATTTATCTACACAGATCCCTGTTTGAGAGATGCTGTCTTTAAGTTTAGAATTCTCTTGTTTTCCCCCACAAAAACTCTTTGTTTTTTTTAATCATTTGCTGCATTGCAGTCAACAATAAATACCAACTTCATTCAACTTTATAATGTTTGCAATGACCAAAATTTGGCACTAAGATTCGTACAGGAATTCGGCCAATCGTGTCACAATTCTACATGATCACCACTGGGTTGTGTGTGTGTTTGTGTGTTTTCTCTCTCTCTCTCTTTCTCGTCTCTCACTGTTTTCAGTTACAGCTACAGAAAAAAAATATCATTTAACTCCCAGACATTAGGAGAGACCAAAACATGCACAACACTTCATAATAATCCTTGCATTTGATATAGCGCCTTATCACGTTGTTGAGACCTCTCAAAGTGCTTCACAGAATATACTGTAAAGTGGAGTGACTGTGTATTTTTAGTGCGAAGCGCGGCAGCTAACTGAACACAGCAGTGTCTCACAAACAGTCGTGGATTGAGTGATCACACATTTCTTTCTGAGTGATCATTACCCCCGGAAAACGATCTGACAATCGACTAACAACCGGGTTCCTACTCACTGCGAGGTACACAGAGGCGTGTGTGTGTGGAGTAAAGAAACTTGTCTAAGGTTTTGCCCCGCCTGGGAATCAAACCTGGGTTCTCTCGCTCGCGAGGCGAGCTCACTAACCACTACACTACAGGACTCCACAAATGCTCAATTTTGCCTGTATTTTTAAGAGCAGAAAAAAAAGCAATGTAACATGCCATTAACATATTAACACATATTCAGTGGTTGTTTGCACACACTACGGATTAAATTAAAAATATATTTATATATACATGTATATATATATATAAAATCAGTAGGTAACTTTAAATTGTATTGCGATTCTCGTTGACTTAGATCTGAGTCAATACAATAGTTTATGGTGGACATAAATCGAGAGATTTCTGTCTCTTTTTAATTAAACAAAAGTGATATTTATTCCATTAGCATGTTTTAAAATGTAATACTTTAATGCACAGGGCATGTGATATGATGTTCTAGTTTAATCTTGAACGTGAATGATACACCCACTATTAATACAATCGAAGCACACACACAGAGGAAGAAATATCAATGATAATAATAATAATAATACAAAAAAATCCTGGTTTCAGCCTTTAACTATATGGTGACGTTGACAAGTAGTTTGTGTCTATCATCCCTCTAATGAACAACATATGGCTTTCTCTCTCTCTCTCTCTCTCTTTCAAGCTCTCAAAGAAAGTGCAACGACACAAAAACTATGCAAAATACTCCCATTGACGTTCTGTCTTCCTTAATGATCCCGTTCTCCAGTCAGTCCTTCCATTCCCTGAAATCACTTGATCCACTTTCCATCTTTACCATCCAGCCAACACTCGCCAACCGGGACCCGCCCCCCCTCCACGCACACAGCCTATCAGAGATAGCCATTGGGTTCCGCCCGCTGTCACTCAACCGCTGTGCAGATGCTGATTGGCCGCAGCAAATGTCAATCATCCATCCGTCTCCCACCCACCCGCCCACCCAGCAGCTTCCAAAACGCGGAACATGGATCGGAACGGTGGATTCAACTCAGGTTAAAAAGCTTCGAGACTCGGGTTAATCGATTCATTAATTAATTAACTCATTCATTCCCAGTCTCCGCAATCTTCTCTACATTATTCGCAGCGTCAAGAGTCTGTTCCTCTTTAAGGCAGACACAGCAGGAGGCGTCGCTGGGAGTCAGCGGCTATCGGTGGCCGTAGTCGTAATTGGCGGGGGCCGAGGTGGGGGGGTACATGTTGGCGGCGGGGTTCATGTGATGGTAACCGTGCCCCGATATGCCGGGCAGAGGGTACGGGCTGGGTCTGCTTTTGGCACCGATATAGGCCTCGTGGTGGTAGGAGCGGTATTTGTAGGTGTGGTGCAGACCCTCCGGGGGCTGTGTGTGAGGGTCCAGCCGCAGTTCGTGGGGTGGGTTCGGTCTGCTCAGCGGGTGAAGCCCCCCCGTTAGCGCTGGGCTCAACACCCGGGACATGAGCTGCTGCTGGTGTGGATGGTCCGGGTGCATTGACGTCCGGCTCAGATCTCTGTCGTACTCACTCCTGGAGTCTCCGTCTGTCAAGACAAGGGCCAGTGTTACAGACCTGACCGAGCCCCCGCCCAGAGAACACAGGAACTCACTCACAAACTACACAGTCACTTCACTTTACAGTACATTACAGCCCTCCACGGCCTCGCTCCTCCCTAACTCCCTCTGTGACCTGCTCACTCCACACGGTCCTGTCCGCTCCCTCCCTCGCCTCCTCCAACACCCGTCTCAAGACCCTCCTCTTCGACCGCACCTTCGGTCACCCTCCTACCCCCACCCTCCCTGCCCCCCACCCTCCCTGCCCCCCACCCTCCCTGCCCCCCACCCCCACCTGATCCCAACCTCCAGCTCGGGTCCGGATGCCTGACTGCGCAGCCCCTTGGGACATCCTCCCGACGTGAAAGGCTCTGTGTAAATGTCAGTTGTTGTTGTTGTTGTTCAGACCCCCAGTATCTGTGACGTTAACCTCCCAAAACACTTTGAACCCCTTTTTTGTGACTGAAATTGCCTAATTCCATTTGAAGTGTGAAATTGTCACCCAGTCCAGGTCGGGGTGGTTACCTTTGTCACTGCCGTTCTGTTGAGAGGAAGACACTGGGTTGCGGTTTCTGGCGAAGGCACTGATCAGCTGCAGGGACCCGGGTCTGTGGTTTCTCGGCCTAAAATATAAACCCAGACTGTTTATTTTGGGGAGAGAAAAAAAACATGTATAGCGATCAAAGGCCAGTTATAATTCAGCGACTCAAAAAATTGCAGAACTGCACTTTGTTATAATTATTCTCAATGAAAACTGAAGGAAAATTGCTCACCATTCTTCTGGGTCACAATCTCTGAATCCTTTTGCAAACGGGTTGCTTGCAATTTTTAGTTGCGTGATCTGCAGGAATACAATAAAAATGTATTTATTTATTTATATATATATTATATCTCTTATTTATATATATCTATTATTTTTATATACATACAGGGTGACCAAAAAGACGTGATAACTATCCTATTATCTAAAAAAATCATCATTTTCCTTAGACTTATTAGACATTGTAATGGTATCAAAACATTTTGGTCACCCTGTATAATATATATACGTAGATATATATATGTATATATATATACGTAGATATATATAACACATGGCTATTGAGATGCTGTACAGCAATTCAACAAGAAATGGTTTGCAATTTATTTACCGAAAATGTTTTTGGTGGAGAAAAAGAGCATGAGAGAGAGACTGAGAGAGGGAGAGAGAGAGAGAGAGAGAAATAAATAAATAGTTTGCAATAGTCTGTAATATTTAGTACAGTTGTAAGAAACAATCCGACAATGTTAGAAACATTCCTAATCTAAACATCTAGGTTTGTGAAAAAAAATTTTTGTACATAAATAAAAATAAAAAAGTAACTGACTCAACGAGTGCATTCGTGGATTTGACATTGGGTCAAAAGGAGAAAAGAGAATTAATTTACAATTGCATCTATTTGGTTAAAATCTAAAGAGAATTTGTATCTGTTAAAAATAAAGTAGTAATGTCACCTCCTAAATCACATAACGATTTATAAAATTTTCAGCTCATAAAGTTTATATTGTGAATAATTAGTGACTCCTTTGCTCATAAAAAAACCCACTTTATTTGCTTTGTATTTCGGTCCTATATATTCCTGCATTAAATAACTTTAATGAAAGAAAATACTGGAAATTAGTTTTATCACAGATATTAAAATGCTGTCTGCAAAATACTGGCAAAGTGGGTGAACTTTCACATTGATTTTCAATCATTGTTAATGGATGAATAAAATTGACCGCTCCTTCCTTCCCCCCTCCAAATGTCTGGTATGTTTCTGAAACAATCTTTAATCTGTTATTGACAGTTGCAGACAAAAAGGTCAACTGATGGAAGTCAGACTGAGTACAGCTGTTCACACACATCAGGGGCTGTGCAAATAAATACCTCTCTAACATATCGGTATTTCCGTTTTTTAAAAAAATAAAATAGATAAAATCAATAAAGTAAAGTGCGGAGTTGCCAGCACCAAAGCAGAAGGAGAGACCTTTCGCCTCTAGTAATGTTTCGAGACTTCGTTTTGGATGAGATTTTAGGTATAAAAGTTGCCCTTGCAGTTCAACGTGCAAATGCTTTAGCTCCCAACTCCTTTGCTCAGCTAAACTACTTTTTTTTNCTTCTGCGAATGATAGAATAGCAGGAGCTCGAATTTACACAGATAATTGGGTCCCAATGGGTTCAGGAAGTTTTCTATCGAGCTTTAATTACAGGCTTGGAGGCCCTTGGGGTTGAGTGAATGTACTACATTATGGCTATCAAATTGCATCCACTAGTTGGAGAATGAGTTGGGCAGATGTGATGGAATTAGGGCACCCCTGTCTCCTCAGTTTCTCCTCTCTCCACCCCCCCCAGCCTCCAACCCCCCCCCCAAAAAAAAACACTGCAAAAATCTCTCAAAAGGGCTACAGTGTGGAGTCCTGTAGCTCAGTGGTTAGAGCACTCGCCTCGCAAGCAAGAGGACCTGGGTTTGATTCCCGGGCAGAGCGAAATGTTGGGCAAGTTTCCTTACTCCACACTCCTGTTTACCTCGCAGTAACCAGGAACCCCGTTGTCGGATTGCTTTTCCGGGGGTAATAATCCCTTCGAAAAAATTAAATAAACAATGATAATAATTTGGCCACTTCAACCCACGGCTGTTTGTGGGACATCGCTGGGCGTAATTCGCTGCCGCGTTTCGCCCACAAAATACACAGTCAATTCACTTTACAGTGTGTTCTGTGAAGCGCTTTGAGACGTCTCGAAGACGTGATAATGCACTGTATCAAATGCGAGGGTTATTATTATTATTATTACCGATGATTGCCAGTTGCAAAACCGCTCTTAGCTCCTCAGAATCCAGGGATTTACGAGCATCACACAGGAATATGCCCAACAGATGATTTAGTATAAATGCAGTAAATCACAATCGGTAAGATTTCGTACGCAACATAAATCAGAGAAAGGATCAATTATTTGTGTTTCAATTTTTTTAAGCTCCCCTGACAGCCTCCTGAGATGAATGTTATTGTTTTTTTTAGACATTTACTGTCAGAGAAATTAAAATTCCTGTTATGGATAATAACAGTCATCCTTGCATTTGATACCGCGCCTTATCACGTTGCTCAGACGTTTTAAAGCGCTTCACGGGATACACTGCAAAGTGAATTGATGGTATATTTTTGGGCAAAACACAACAAAAAATTACATTTACACTGTGCCTTTCATGGCGGGAGGACGTCCCGAGGCTCTGTACAGTCAGGGATTCACAACATCATTATTAATGAACCTTTGTGACTTACTCTGTGGTTCTGATAGGCCGTCACTGCTGTAAACCGCGTCTCCTCAAATAGGAAGGTCTTGAAGTTCTCCTCGGCGTATTTCTCGCTATCTTTCCTCGGGTCAACATAGACCACGTGAAACCTTGGCTGGTATCTGTGCATGGAGTTCAGGATGATCTGAGAGAGAGAGAGAGACAGAGAGTACACGTAAGAACATAACATAAGAATTGTTAGTCAAAAGGAAGACCAAGGTCCATCCAGTTCACCTTCCACCACAGAAATCTATCTCATTTGCTTTTGAGAGAATCAGCACTTTCTGCTTTTCCTGTCTTTTCATATGTTCGCTGCGCACTTTGAGACGTCTTAACGACGTGACAAAGTGTTGTATCAAACGTAAGGATTATTAGCAAAACGCAAAATACTGCAGACGCTGCAAATCTGAAACAAAAACAGAAGTGGCTGGAAACACTCCGCAGGTCAGGCAGCGTCTGTGGCGAAAGGAAAGGGTTTATGACCCGAAACGCTGACTCACTTTCCTCTCTCCATAGATGCTGCCTGACCTGCTGAGTGTTCCCGGCCACTTCTGTTTTTGTAAGGATTATTATTATTATTATTATAGTCAGGCACTTACATGCCCATTATCATCCAGTAAATTGTTGGTTAGTTTCAACTTGTCGAACGACACGATTTGCTTCATCCACTGGGCGCCCTTGGCCGGGGAATCAGGATGGTAATGGACCCTCCCTGGGGTAGCGGGGTCTGCCTTCCCTGCCACTAACCAGGAGCTGCTGTGGAAGGCATATCTGTAAGGTACAAGGGACACAGCAAGTCAGCCAGTGCATAACATACAGCACAGCAAACACTATATACACACACACATCATACACTGTACATTATATGCGCATAACACATACCCACACACACCATACACTACATAACACACCCACATCATAAACACATAACACACACACTTTCATACACACCATATACACACCACCCCAAACACAAACACCTACACAACATATACACACCACACCAAACACACACCCCAACACACTATATACAAACCATATGATAACAATAACAATCCTCGCATTCGATACAGCGCCTTATCATGTTGTCAAGATGTCTCAAAGCGCTTCACAGAATATACTGTAAAATGACTTGACTGCATATTTGTGGGCGAAACGTGGCAGCCAACAGCGCACAGCAGTGTCCCACAAACAGCCGTGGATTGAGTGACCGAATTATTATTTTTTGAAGGATTATTATCCACGGAAAAGCAATCCGTTAATCGACTAACAACCGGGTTCCCACTTACTGCTTGGTAAACAGAAGTGTGTAGAGTAAGGAAACTTGGCCAACATTTCGCCCTGCCCGGGAATAAACCTCAGGTCTCTCGCTTGCGAGGCGAGTGGTCTAACCACTGAGCTACAGGACTAAGTGTCTGGAATGTTAACAGTATAAGGTCTTTTAGTTGAATAAGAGAGGTACCGAGGCACTGACTTTTGATACACAAACCACACAAATACACATACACTCATACATCTATATATGTAGTATATTGTATGTGTGTAAATATTTGTAAAATTATATATATATAAAATATCATAGCCATCCACAACATCCCCCCCCCCCCCCCCCCCCCCCCCCCCCCACACACACACACACAGGGAATGAAAAAATGGTAAAAATTAAATGGCAAATGTACTAAAGGAGTGGATCAGATTAACACGGAGTGTGTCAGTTAGTTTCTCGTTGGCTGTTCTCTGAGGTTGGGCAAAAGGTCACTATTGTAACCTTCGCTAAAATGCGCACAGAGAGATGGGCTGCGAGAGTTAGCGCCTGGTGTGGGTCTGGGGGGGGGGGGGGGGGGGGGGGGAGAGGCAGAGACCAGGGGACATGTTCATGTTAAACTCTCCGAGTATAATGTTAATTATAACCAATTATTTCTCCATCGGTGGAAAGTGAAACTGGGAAATCGCAGTTCAAAACGAATTCGAAAAGAGACGTCGCAAAATCCCCCCTCGTTTTCTACATTTTATTCGGTTTATTAACAATATAATATTTTTTTGTTAATATATTTTATTATTATACATAATGTTATTTTCTGTCCTTCTAATAGGGACGAGATAGAAACAACTGGATAGATAAATCATCCACAAAATACACGCTTTGCAATATAATAATAATAATAATATAATAATAATCTCAAAGCGCTTCACAGAGTACACTGTAAAGTATGTTGTGGGCGAATATTGTTTTGTATATATGTTTATTATTATGTGAAAAATTGAGTATTTTAAAATCGACACGAGCTGCAGTTTGAATAAATGACTTAATCGTTTTTTTTNGAAATTTTAAATAACGAGTCCTGGATCCAAGTCACAACCACATCAAAAACATGTCCCGTCGTGTTGTTATTTTTAACCTTAAATGTTTATTTGGCTGCAGGAAAGAGAGACATATCTCCCCACACACAGAACGTGTGCATTAACAACGTCAATTTGTAAAAGTCTTTCACACATTTAACACCGAAAAATAGGTTAAAATAACACGAAACGATTAATGTCACCTAAAAAAAAAACCACGCACATTTACAAAAATATTTCCACTTTGCGGACTTTATTTCGTTTAGATTTGATAAGGTAACAAGTACCAAACTCATTATTATTGTGATGATTATTATTATTATTATTATCATTATTATTATTTGTGGGTCCACAGGTAACAAGAATCAAATGCAAAGATTATTATTACTATGAGAATAATTGATAATAGAATTTATCTTTTGCAATCGAAAAATCGCCGCACTTAACAAACAAAGCAACTTTCTCGCCTCTCTCCTGATAGTATTATTATTATTTGTCAGTCCCGAGGCGAGAAGCATCAAATTCGAGGATCATTGTTAATAATAATAATAAGTACCTTTTACAATCTAAAAAAAAAACAACCCCCCCCAAAAAAAGTAACTTTCTAGTCTCTCTCCTGATCGATTATTTTCCAAATTAAAAAGAAACGGCTGTGTGTGCTTTGTGGGTGTGTGTTTTTTTTCTTTCGAAAGAAAGAAACGAAAAGAGTTGCGAATAACTGGTGTTGTTTTACTTGCCGGTATCTTTTGTCATCAACGGGGACAAAATCCATCAACAGCATATAGTCAGCCATCGGGTCCATCCCAAAGATCTTCACTTGGAAAGTGGGGAACATTCTCCTACAGAGGTAAACACGGGAGAAACAGGTGAGATTCACCGAGAGAACAGATAATAACAATAATAATACTAATACTAATAATGATAAACAAACAACACAATAAGAATGATGATAATTCGGTCCCTCTGTTTGTGTGCAATTGACTGCCTTTAGGGTATATTCTATCAAATGCAGAGATTATTATTATTATTATTATTACTAATCCCGGCATTTGACAATAATAATAATCTCTGCATTTGATACCGCGCTTTTTCAGGTCTCCTGGACGTCTCAAAGCGCTTCACAGAATAGACGGTAAAGTGTAGTGACTGTGTATTTTGTGGGCGGAACGCGGCAGCCAATTGCGCACAGCGGCGTCTCCACACACAGCAGTGGCGCTGACATGGAATGACCAATTTATTATTGTTTTGTTGAGGGATTATTATCAGGTGTGTGAGTGTGTGGGTGTGGGGGGGGTGTGTGTGTGTGTGTGTGCGTGTGTGTGTGGGTGTGTGTGTGTGTGGGGGGGGTGTGTGTGTGTGGGTGGGTGTGTGTGTGTGTGTGTGCGTGTGTGTGGGGGTGTGTGGGTGTGTGTGTGGGGGTGTGTGGGTGTGTGTGTGGGGGTGTGGGGGTGTGTGGGTGTGTGTGTGGGGGTGTGTGTGTGGGTGTGTGTGGGGGTGTGTGTGGGGGTGTGTGTGTGGGTGTGTGTGTGGGGGTGTGGGGGTGTGTGGGTGTGTGTGTGGGGGTGTGTGTGGTGGTGTGTGTGCGTGTGTGTGTGTGGGTGTGTGAGTGTGTGTGTGTGGGGTGTGTGTGTGTGTGCGTGTGTGGGTGTGTGTGTGGGGGTGTGGGGGTGTGTGGGTGTGTGTGTGGGGGTGTATGGGGAGTAAGGAGACTTGCCCAAGGTTTCTCCCTGACCGCCTGGGGATCGAACCCAAGTCCTCTCCCTTAGCGAGTGCTCTAACCATTGAGCTATGGGGCTCCTGAAGCGTCTTTGAGACGTCTCAAGACGCTTCGATGGAGCTTTACAAAAGGCAATTGGATATTTACTTGAAAAGGAACGATTTGCAAAGCTATAGGGTAGCAGCGGGGGCGAGGGACAAGTTGGATGGATATTCTTAAGTGAAAAAAGACACAGATAATAGGGGAAAATATGCTACAAGTGCTAATCCGTACTGCACACTATTTTACTCAATTTCTCCCACAAAACACAGTCACTCCACTTTACAGTGTATCCTGTGAAGCACTTTGAGACGTCTCAACAACGTGGTAAGGCGTTGCATCTGTGTCAAACGCAAGGATTATTATTATTATCATTATCATTACTAAGTGGTATAAATTCGTATTCGTAAATTGCTGTGGGTAGAAATGACCATTGTCCGATTGATTCGCTAATTTCCCCCCATTCGGTGAGTTAAGGGGTGGAATGTTATCTCTCTCTCTCTCTCTCTTTCTCCCGGAAAAATGCGCATTAAGAATTAACGGCGAGTTAGGTAACGGCAGCACAGTTACCCATCTCTCCGGGTTTCTCAAGTGTCCCTACAGTGTCTTTCCCAACAAACATGTTTGTATTCTGGTAATTAGAGCAATTATACGGTCTCTCCCCCTAATGAGTTCCTCTCCTCTGATTAAGCGGAAAGTCTGGGGTATTGAGTTTGAGGTATTTTTAGACCGCAGCGAAAATCAATGAACAAATGGGCAAAATATCGGGTTTTAGGCATCGAACATTCGATTGGGTTTCATTAATAAATCTGCAAAACATCGGGGTTTTATTTTTTNGCAGATCAAAACGAGATTGTTTTCAATTAATAAATGGGATACAATATTGGGTTTGTGCGGATCAAATCGGATTGTTTTCAATTGGTAAATGGGCAAAATATTGGGGTTTTAAGATCAGGTTAAAAAATTACAATTACATTTTTTCTTTCAAATAAAAATAACGGGGTTTATTTTAAATAAAGCAATGGAACTACACGCGGTATGAGATTTTAGATTTAGTTTGAATACAATTTAGTGCATATATAAATATACCTTATTTATATGTCAACACATACACACACAGTGAAATATACTGTATATCACCACAGTAAATTGACATGTTTACTATATTTTAATAAAGCTTTCTGCACTGTGGTTGGTGGAAGATTACACACTTGGATTGCAGTGAAATATATTACATACAGTTCTGTATATATTTAGATTTAAGATTACACGCGGTTTACGTGGTTTTTCTGGATTCTCCGAGGTTCAGTTTCAAGGATTCATTCTCTCTGTGTCTCTGTTTCTCTGATCTTTATTACAAATACAAATAGATTCACATCAACTCAACTCCCGCATACACTCGGGTGCTTTATTGTATTTTATTCAGCGGTTAATTCCAGTGCATTGCGAATCCTCCCGATTCCACAGAAAGGAATAAATCGGCCGCAGTGGCTTATTATAGAGGGAGAGAGGGAGAAAGGGAGGGAAGGAGGGAGAGAGGGAGAGGGAGAAAGGAAAGAGAGAAACGATGGGGAAGAGGGAGAGAAAGGAAAAGGAAAGAGATGAGAGATGGGAAAGAGGGAGTGAGAGAAGCGGAGAGAGAGAGAGAGAGAGGAAAAGAGAGGATCGAGATGGAAGAAAAGAAGGGAGAGAAAAGGAGGGGAAAACGAAACTGAGGAGAGAAGGGAAAAGAGAGGAGGGGGGAAGAGAGGGGACAGGAGGACAAGAAGGGGAGAAAGCGACAAAGGAAAAAGAAAGTGAGGAGAGAGGAGAAAGGAGGGGGGGGGGGGTGGGGGCTCGAGGGAAAGACAGGCAAAGAGGAGAGATGGGGTTGGGGAGGGGGGGGGTGGGAGTGGTGGAGAGCGAAAGACAGGGGGGAGAGCAAGAGAGTGTGGGAGAAGGAGAGAAAGAAGGAGGGTGAGCGGGAAAAAGAGAGAGGGAGGGAGTAAGTGAGAGAAGAAGCAGGATTCGGTCTCTAAACGGCTTTGAGTCTGTCCCACCAATCTGAGCAAACACCGAGTGGGGTTTAAGTTGATGGAGTTAATTCCCTCAAACACACCAACCACTACTGACACATCAGTCTGGTAAAACATTTAAGGATATATATATATATATATATATATAGGGTAAAGTCTCACACAGATCTGATGTGAAAGGACTTAACTCTGGGCGCTGGGGTTTCCACCTATAATATCTCAATTTAGAATTAATAATAATAACAACAACAATAATAATCTTAATAGTAATGATTGCATCTGATATAGCGGCTTTATCACCTCACCGAGAGGGCTCAAAGCTCTGCACAGAATAGACTGTAAAGTAAAAGACAGATCAAGTCAAGGACCACAAAAAACCACCACAAAAAAAAAACACGAAATAAAAGTTGAGGGAAAAAAATGAATTCACCGAACGTCATAATAATAACAATCTTTGCATTTGATATAACGCTTTATCGCGCACTATAGAGTACAAACGTACAGACCGTCTGCGTAAAACATGTTGCATGGTCTGTGATAAAATTTAGGAACAAAACGCGCACACAAATAAAAAAAAAAAAAAATAAAGGTTCAGGAAAAAAAAATGGAGCTCAGATTCGAGATATATTTTCACATGAGATGGAACGAATTTCTGTTCACAGCGAATCTGGACTGAGTTTCCTAACAGCGAGAGGGAGGGTGTGTGTGTGTGTGTGTGTTGATGGTTTGGGTTTCTGTGCAGAGGGTTTCAAGTGTTGTCTATTCAAGTCAATGTTGGACTGTTTCCCCCTAAACATAACCCTGTTCGCCCCCCAGCGTGGGTTCATGGACCACCACCACAGACTCAGCTCCACTAGATACCTCCAACCAACCACCCGAGTGGCCTCGACTCAACCCAACACGACTTGACAACAGCCCTCCCCCCAAAACAATCTCTAAAATGGGCCCCGATTCTTTACATTTTCTCTTTTACTGTATGTATGTATATATATATTTCTCCCACACTCGTTTTCTCCTCTCTGCTCTGTGCCTGAATCAGAAAGAAACATTTTCACTGTAATAAATCCGCACCTTGAATCACCTTAATATTTATAAATATATATTTATGTATATTTCGCCCACAGAATACGCAGTCAATTCACTTTGCAGTATATTATTCTGTGAAGCGCTTTGAGACTCGAAGTGAGAAGGCGCTGTATCAAACGCAAGGATTATTTTATTATTAAGAAGAATTGCCCAAATTGTGCATTTTTGTTTGCTTGTTCGCATATTTTTGCTCATTCCCTTTGGAAGTTAATCTCGATTTCACCTTTCCCCTGAACAATCTCGAGGGATATATTTTATCTTCACACCGCGATCACTGCTATCGCTAAGATAACACAAAATAATGGATTACAAATGCATCCAACGAACCGCTGTTACTTCCTTGTGATAATTCCCGACAAAATCATTTTCCAAATCATTTTGTAAAATTATTTGAATAGAAAAAAGCTTTCTGGTGCAATTTCCTTTTCATAACGAGGCATGTGTATGTGTGTGGGGGTGAGGGGGGTCTCTACAAAACACGCAGTCACCACACTTCATAGTAAATGCTACACGTTAAATTCCCTGATTGATTATCTTAAAATCAAATCCAAAATTAAATTGGGGGGGCGACATTAATTACTCGATTGGCAGTTCACAATTCGAGTTTCTTAATTGAAAAAAGTGGCTTTTATATTAATCTGCACAATTGCGCACAGATTTAAGATGGTAAGTGTCTCTAAGGCTGAGATCAGGTGGAATTTGGGGGCTGGATTTGGGTGGGGTGGGAACAGCGTCGATTAAATAAATCCCCTTTTTTTTGGGTCCATTTCTTACAAGCACTTAGACTTAGATACTTGATTCGTTTTATCTCTCCCCTAAAACACGCCAGAGGGTAAAACATAAATCAGAATAAGACAAGACAGAGGTGACATTATATTTATAGGGTGAGTCTATCTCTTTCTACACCTCATTCCCCCTCCCTCCCAACCCACCCATACACAAAATGTCAAAGGAAAATCGACCCCATTTCCCTTCTGTTTCCCCCTACATTTCGCCTACAAAATATGCAGTCAATTCACTTTACAGTATATTCTGTGAAGCGCTTTGTGTTGGAGGGGGGGGGGGGGGGGGGAGGGGGGGAGGAAAATATTAAGTTGCAAAGTGTGTTTGTGTTTTTTTTAACAACAGCAAAAAAAAACTCCGTTAAAAAGGATTCCACATTAAAATTATTCCACAATTGTGCGAGACTTTAAATACTAATCCTGGCATTTGATACAGTGCCTGAGCACTTCGTCGAGACGTCTCGAAGCGCTTCACAGGATATACTGTAAAGTGCAGTGACTGTATATTTTATGGATGAAACGCGGCAGCCAATTGCGCACAGCGGCGTCCCCACAAACAGCCGTGGATTGAGTGACCAAATTATTATTGTTATGATTATTTTTTGAAGGGATCGAGTTAAGACACACAAAAAAAAATGGTCTCAGCAAAGGCCGCGACTCTGTGAAATGGTAGAGATTTGGGTTCAACGGAGGAGAGAGAGGATACTATATGTTATCAGCGGTGATCAGTTCTCCAGTCCATTCGCAATCTGCAGCCAAATCTACTCCAAATAAACGTGCGTTTCGCTAGTTAGCTTCCCCTCACCAATCTCCTTTTACCAACTGCATCGGTGTGTGTGTGTGTGTGTGTGTGTGTGCAAAGAAACTTTAGTAAAGGTTAGATTTTGGGGGAAGAGAGAGCAAGATATGAGACGCTTCTAGTAAAATCTAATTGAATTTCGCCCACAAAAACATACAATCAATTCACTTTACAGTGTATTCGGTGAAGCGCTTTGAGACGTCTGAAAGACGTGATGAGGCGCTGTATCAAATGCCGGGATTATTATCATCATTAATTCACTTTACAGTATATTCTGCGAATCGTTTTGAGGCGTATGGAGGATTCTTATTGCAATACATTGAATTGGATTAATATTAAAAACAGGTTATAATATAGGGAATGGAGGCGAGGAGTGTTGTGATGGCGTTTGAGTTCACTAATGTCAGGCTATTGTAACATAGAATTCAAAGCAGTAGATAAATCCACATGTATTTTTCACATTAATGTCTCGCGGGCAATATTTTTTTATGTGTAGGTAGAAAAAACACAAGGCGTCACAGTGCGAGCGAGATTCAAAATAAATAAATATATGTTTTATATCTATATATTTAAATATATCAATCTAACACTTTAACTGGCGTTTTGCTGATAAACAGAAGTATTCTAAATTCATTCTATATCGACTTAAATCTCTGGGCAAAAATAGTAATTCGGTCTCAATCGAAGACTGTTAAGGCCTTGAGGGTTTTTTTTTTGGAGCAGGGAAATTAAATTAAATTAAATGGACACTAACCGCGCCATTAATTCCACATTAATGTTTCCCACTAAACCCGCAGTACTCCACCAAACAAACAACCGAATGGAGACTGATAACAGCTCAGCAAATAGCGCGGAGAGGGCTTCACAGTGTGGTATAGATGTCTGGTTACCTGTTTTACATCTCTCCCTCTCTCTCTCTCTGTCTTTCTTTCCTCCGTCTTTCTTTTTCGCTTTTTTTTTTTCTTTCTTTCTCTGTCCCCCTCTTTTTTTCTTTCTATTTCCCTCTCTTTCTCTCTCCTTTTCTCTCTCCCTCTCTCTCGCCCCCCCCCCCCCCCTCTTGCTCAATCTGCTCCCAACCACGTCTCAAAAAAAAATCTAAACCTTCAACTGGTGTTTTTTTCTAAATTCACATTATGGATTTAAATCCCTTAAGAAAAATAATAAATCGGTCGCTCGATCCACGGCTGTTTGTGGCGGACGCCGCTGTGCGCAATTGGCTGCCGTGTTTCGCCCACAAAATACACAGTCACTACACTTTACAGCACATTCCGTGAAGCGCTTTGAGACATCTCGAAGACGTGATAAGGCGCCGTATCAAATGCGAGGATTATTATTATATTATAAAGCGAGACAGATTGCAGGGTTAAAATGCACTTTACATTCCCCAAATCGGGCTATTTTTCTACTTATATTTAACACTTATTTTAATGGGGTGTCACACCATAGCGAAACACTGAACTCTGCACCATCTCCGAATGCGAGAGAGAGAGAGAGAGAGACAGAGAGAGGGAAAGAGAGAGAGAGAGAGAGACAAACAGAAAAAGAGTAAGAGAGAGGGGCCTAGATATTAGACTAAGGATAAACACGTTATACCCTGTCTTAGTGTTTTTACAAAAGCACAGATCTAACCTGTTTTAACATGTATGTGGATAGTTGTGTTGAGGTGAGAGGTGGATCTGTGCCTCACATATATAACAAGTTTCACCCATGTTTTGTGGGATTAAGGCGCCGCCTCACATATGCGCGTGTTTCTGATTTAATAGTGTTTTACACAGGTTACTTGAAATCTTTCCACCTGCCGAGCAGCTCTGAATAGTGAGTGAATGGCTGTGTAAGTGTGACAGCGCGTCAGTGTGTGAGTGTGTGTGTGGGGGTCAGTGTCGGTGTGTGTGAGTGTGTGTCAGTGCGTGTGTGTCAGTGTGTGTCTGTGTGTTAGTGTGTGTGTGTGTGTGCATGTGTCAGTGTGTGTGTGTGTGTGTTAGTGTGTCAGTGTGTGTTAGTGTGTCAGTGTGTGTGTTAGTGTGTGTGTTAGTGTGTGTGTTAGTGTGTGTGTTAGTGTGTGTGTTAGTGTGTTGTTAGTGTGTGTGTTAGTGTGTGTGTTAGTGTGTGTGTTAGTGTGTGTGTTAGTGTGTGTTAGTGTGTGTGTGTAGTTGGGGCAATGTGTTTGCTCAGTTTTATCTGGAAAATAGAACGGCAAACAGTGCGCACAGAGCACCTCGACAAACAATAATGGAGAGAGCTGCGGGCAATGAGGTCTCTCTCTCACTTTATCACTAGAATCTCTTGTGTGTGCGCGTTATATTCTCTCTCTCTTTCTCTCTCTCTCTCTGAGAGAGAATAGGGAATAGCCACTCTCACGTCCGTTTGAGAGATTAAGAGAGAGAGAGAGAGAAACTCTTCCCCTCATTTTACAACCGAGAGAGTTCAACGCAGATTTAACGCTACTTTCGATATTTCCACTATTTCCCCAGAACATTACTATTGAATTCAATGGACGACAGATTCCACCCACTGCCCTCACCCAGTCCCAGCCTCGCTATTTATTATTATGATGCTGTTATTGCAAAATTAATCATCTCAAATCAACCAATCGATAAATAAATCCAGGCTAACAACTTCTTTTTTTTTAACCTTTGTATTTTAAAGTTGCGATTGTTTGGTTTAGGATAGTTTGATAAGTCGCCATCTCGAATTCATTGATCATTATCAGTACTATTATCATTTGAAATAACTCAAAGTTTGCATGAGTCGAACTAAAATGTGTGGGTCAGGTCACAAGTAAAAAAAAAACTTTTTTTAAAAAAGTTGTTAGTTGGATTCACTTTTATTAAAATATATATATATTTTTAAAAAAACGTGAATCCAACTAACAACCTTTTTAAAGCTTTCTTCTAAAAAAAATGTTAACTGGATTTATTGTATTTATTTATCTGTCTGTGTCAACCTGTTTTCTTTCCAATCGAATTCGAAACACATTATTACTATTACACATTTATACTTGAAAAAAATAATCCTCGCATTTAATATAGCGCCTCGTCAGATCTTTGAGACATCTCAAAGCGCTTCGCAGAATATACTGTAAAGTGTAGTGACTGTGTATTTTTTTCTCTCACAACGTTTACCAAAGGACACGTGTAAAAAATTCTCAGTTGAAAAGCAACGGGAGAAAATAGTAGTAGCGGTGAGCAGTTCAGAATTTAGGTAACACATCTCAAATTAAAATTATTATTTTAAATGTTTCGGCGGTGGGTGAATGTGGACGTTGGAATAAAAAGGCTGTGTTTAACGCAGAGGAGTCCAGATGTTAGTTCGCTTACGTTTAAGTTGAAGTTACGTTAGTTAAGAAATGCGGTTGATTTCGCCCACAGAATACACACAATTCACTTTACAGTGTATTCTGCGAAGCGCTTTGAGGCGTCTGAACGACGTGATCAGGCGCTGTGTCAAATGAGAGGATTATTATATTGTTAATATCTCTACACTGCAATAACGATGGGGTAACAGACGATTAATTAAACGCGCGACCCTCAGATTAATGCGAGAGATTTGGTTGGCAAATAAAAATGGGTTGAATTTTCCAGGCTTTTGTTGTAGTGACTATTTTTTCCACAGCCTCACTGACTGACTGACTGACTGGACTCAGATTTTTTCCGCAAAAAAAAACATGCAAATAGTGTGGACCACAGCTGGGGAGGTGAAATCACAGCCCGTGTGTGTGTGTGTGTGTGTGTGTGTGTTTGTATAAAGTCAAGTCTCAAAAATAGACGAGGTATTTGTGTGTGTGTGTGTGTGTCAGTGTGAGTGAGTGAGTGAGTGAGTGAGTGTGCGAGTATGTGCGTGTATGTAGTCCAACTTTCTTTGAATCCTTTCTTGGGAATGATAAGTTTAACCCAAAATAAAAGCTGTGTGTGTGTGTGTGTGAAACAAACACAATAAGAAATATGGCATATTTATATATTATAGGGAAATATATATACTTCTATATTTATCTCTCTACATATATATAAATAGCTGTGATGGTAACAGGAGGTGAAACACACACACACGCACGGTAAAACTCACCTAAATGTCTGACCTGCATAAATCGTATCACTAATCGTCTAAGTCATATATCTGCTTAAGACCCCCCACCCCCACCCCCCCACCCCCCACGACCACCGTTCAAAGCGTTTGTAGGTTTGACACAACTCCAACTTTGCGTAAGCCATATAAAAGTTGTAAGGGTTGCCGGCTGGTACGACTTAGGTGAGGTTTTAACAGCGACCCCCCCCCCCCCCACCCCCACTCACACACACACTAAGAAAAATATGGCGTCTGTGTGCGTTAAAGCCCTGTCCCTGACTGACTGGCTGGCTGACTGCTTACCTTCCTGCTTTAGTCACAATCATTTCGGTTCCCAGTTGGTTAAACTCATCCCACAGGGCTTTCATCTCCAGCTGTACGTTGATGTTGGACACTTTGGGGTTTTTCTTGACGGCTGATTTGCCGGTGGGGGAGTGGTCCGGGGGCCGGGGGTCGCTGTCTGGCTCCGGGCCCGAGTTAGTACCGAATCCCGGGTAGCCCTGGGCTCCGGCCGGGCACGGCTGCTGGTAGTGGGCTTCGTGGGTGAAACTGCCGGTGTCTCCGGGGGAGGGGGAGAGGTGGTAACCGCCGCTGGAGTTCAGGCTGTTAATGCTGTTCGCTGTGAAAGCTGCCACATCGCAGAAGTTGGAGAGTTGCGTTAACCACGGACTGGAGATGGTGGAAATCATTCTGCCACTGCGATCCCCCCCCCCCACCCCCACACTGCCCCCACTGCCCCCACTGCCCCCCCACCGCCACTCGGGTGAAACAGCTCGACTCTTTCTTTTTTTCTCTCTCCACTCTTCCCCCTTCTCTTACTCTATCAGTCTGTGGTCTGCAAATGTGTGGGCGCCCCCTTCTCTTTCGCACCCCCCCCCCCCTGCTCCCCACCTCCCCCCACCCCCTCGCTCTTCTTTTTTTCTTCCTCTCCCTCTCTCTCTCTCCCTCCCTCCACACTGAACCGCTCACGACACAGCGCTAACACTCTGTGAGCCACAAGTCTGACTGCTCTCTTATCATTAGCCAAAGGGCCTCCTCCTCTCCTCCTCTCCTCTCCTCTCCCCTCTCTCTCTCCTCTCTCTCTCTCCTCCCCCCGCGATGTAACCCGTTCTTATTTCTATTGAGATAAGGAGTTACAGGTAACTCGTATGTCGTCGCTTTGGGAGGGAGATTGACAGAGCAAACGCGCCTCAGCGACACCCATTAACTTGAGAATGACATCTCCCACAGACTCGCCACCAGTACAGCCCGAGCCCCTCAACTCACACCATGAGCCCTCTCACCAGTGATCACAATCACCCCTCAACCTCTCTCTCTCTCACACACACACCTCTCACACCCCAAACACACATACACCTCTCTCACACACACACCAACACACATACACCTCTCACACACACACAAACACACATACACCTCTCTCACACACACACCAACACACATACACCTCTCTCTCACACACAAACACACATACACCTCTCTCTCACACACAAACACACATACACCTCTCTCTCTCTCTCTCTCTCACACACACACACACACCAAACACATATACACCTCTCTCTCTCTCACACACACACACCAAACACATATACACCTCTCTCGCTCTCTCTCTCACACACACACACACTAAACACATATACACCTCTCTCTCTCCTCTCTCTCTCTCTCACACACACACACCAAACACATATACACCTCTCTCTCTCACACACACACACCAAACACATATACACCTCTCTCTCTCACACACACACACACCAAACACATATACACCCCCCTCTCTCTCACACACACCAAACACACATTCACCTCTCTCATACACACAAACCAACACACATACACCTCTCTCTCACCCACACACCAAACACACACATATAAAAATCTCACTTAGTTTAAAAGCCAAATCCCTGTATGTACAGTACATAAAACTCTCCCCATTAAACTCACTCAACTTCCAATCGAACTTACCCAATGCTTTATACACTTCCCTCCATTGCAGACAGTGGCGCCTATTTTGCTGTAGCAATGAACTACATATTAACTCCTTTCTGTTTGGTGGTGGTGGTGGGGGGGATTGTTAGCGAATGTGGGGAGGGGGAGAACTGGGAGAAGGCGCATTCGCTACGCTGTGTGTCTTACCTTCCATGTCTCTGGTCACGGCGCTATAATGCATCCCAGTCGGGTCAGCACACAGCCTGACCGGCCCCGGGCCCCGGGCCGCGCACACCGCCGCCTTCACTGAGCTGTCGGCGGCTGAAATCAGAGAAGCGATTGTGAAAGCGGTGGCTCTGGGAGACAGGGGGTTCGTCACCTCCATAGGGAGGGGGGGGGAGGGGAGAGGGGGGAGAGGGGGGAGAGTGAGAGGGGGAGAGGGGGGGGGGGGGGAGAGAGAGAGGGGGGGGGGGGGGGGGGGGGGGGAGCCAAGCGCTTCGCAACACACACCAACCGAACTCCGGCTCCAAACTTCTCACTCACTCTCTCACTTCCCAACCAGTGCGGTGTGTGGTGTGAAGTGAGAGTGCGCCTCCAGCTCTCTCTCTCTCCTCTCTCTCCTTCTCTCTCTCTCTGTTAAAGCTACAGCACTCACTCCGAACTCTTACACACTCTCTCTCTCACACAGACACTCACACACTCACACACACACAGATACTCACACACAGACACACACACACACACACATACACTCACACACAGATACTCACACACAGACACACACACACAGACACACACAGACAGACACACTCACTCACACACACACACAGACACACACACTCACTCACACACAGACACTCACACTCACTCACACACACACACACAGACACTCACACTCACTCACACACACACACACACACACAGAGCGGGTCTTTAACTATTTAAATATCCAATCTCTCTCTCGCTATTAGCGAGCACTGTAAGGACAGTGTGAGGTTAGAGTGGTGGTCGCCGCTGTCACCCCCTGTAGCCCTGTAGCTCTGACTGCTGTCACATACACTGGTTTTCCTCTCTCGGTTTCTATCTCTCCGCAAAGGATACGTTTCCTTAAACATAAGGGCTATTTTGCGCGCGTTATTTGCTGTCCCTCTCTGTTTAGGGTACGTTTTCTAACAAACAAAATGGGTAATTTGCGCTGTTAATTCGCTATTTTTTTCTCTCTTTCTCTCTGCAAAGGGGAGGTTTCTTTAAAAAAAAAAAGGTGGGGGGGGGGGGGGGGGCTATTTTGCGCGTTTGATTTCGCTTTTCCAAACGCTGTTCGCGAGCCCAGAGCGCATATTAATTAACCCTCACACACCCCCTCCCGATTCACATGGCCGCGGAGCTGATGTCACATCCAATGTAAATCAGTCTGAATGTCAAACGTGATGTCTCTCTCCCCCTCTCTGGTGAAGTAGGTTTCCTATCGCTTGTTTTATTCGATCAGATTTCTGTCAGTCATCCCCCCCCCCCACCACCACACACACACATACAACCTCTCCCCCCCCACACACACAACCTACCCCCCCACCCCCCCACCCACACACACACAACCCCCCCCACACACACACAACCCCCACCCACACACACAACCTACCCCCCCACCCCCCCCCCCCACACACACACAACCTCCCCCCCACACACACACAACCTCCCCCCACCACACACAACCTCCCCCCCACACACATACAACCTCCCCCCCCACACACACAACCTCTCCCCCCCCACACACACACAACCTCCCCCCCCACCCCCCACCCACACACACACAACCCCCCCCCCACACACACAACCTCCCCCCCCACACACACAACCTCCCCCCCCACACACAACCTCCCCCCACCCACACACAACCTCTCCCCCCCACACACATACAACCTCTCCCCCCACACACACACAACCTCTCCCCCCACACACACAACCTCCCCCCCCACACACACAACCTCCCCCCCACACACACAACCTCCCCCCCCCAACACACACACACAACCCCCTCCCCCCACCACCACCACCCCCCAAAACAATAATTAAAACCTCTTTTTATTTTCCTTTCAAATCCCTTCAATAATAATAATAATAATGCGGTCACTCAATCCACGACTGTGTGTGGGACACGGTTGTGCGCGATCGATCGTCTGCCGCACAAAATGCACAGTCACTACACTTTGCGGTCTATACTGTGAAGTGCTTTGAGGCGTCTCAACTACGTGATAAAGCGCTGTATCAAATGGAAGTATAATAATAATTACTATTATTATTATTCTCAACAAAAAAGTGGTTCACGTCAATGTGGATGTCCGGGTGTATTTGCACATTACACAGTGAGCGAGAAATGTAAAGGAATTAAAAATGTTTTTCTCTTTGGCCACTAATTTATAGCTATAGATAAAAACGGTTTAAAAAAAAACTGTATTATGTGTTAACTAACTACGCCGTTCGAATCATTTGGGGAAATGTTTCGGGCTAATAGCTATTTTAGGGTATATATATATATATATATATTTATGATTGTATTCATTCGTTTAATGACCATTAATGGCAACATAGTGTAATAATAATCATCACCATAATAATCGTTGCATTTGATACAGCGCCTTAACACGTTGTTGAGTTGGCTCAAAGCGCTTCACCGGCCGTACTGTGAAGTGTAGTGACTGTGTAGCGTATTTTGTGGGCGAAACGCGGCAGCCCATTGCATTCAAATTACAATGTTAAAATTAGAAGTAAAATGCACAAACCCGTGTGAAAACAACACAGATACCAGTTTCTCAAGAGTCAGACAGTTTTCGATTCATAGAGTCAAGGGCATGTCCCCCCCCCCCCCACTCCCACCTCCCCCCCCCCCCCCCCCCCCCCCCCCCCCACACACACACACACACGTACATCCACAAACTATTCATCGGCCTCAAACCAATGTGTGTGTTTGTGCGTTAAGAGGTGGAGAAGTTCAACAAATGCAAAGTAGGACACAGAGTAAATGTAGAGACAGTTTTTCTCTCTCTCTCTCTGTCTTTCTCCCTCTGTCCGTCTCTCTTTCCCCGTCTCTCTCTCTCTCTCTCTCTGTCTCTCTGTATGTCTCTGTCTCTGTCCCTTCCTCCCTCTCTGTGTGTGTGTCCCTCTCTCTCTGTCTCTCTGTCTGTGTGTCTCTCTCTCTCTGTCTCTCTCTCTCTCCGTCTCTCTCTCGCTCTCTCTTTCCCAGTGAAATTATAATTTCTTTATATTTGATATGCTATTTCCCAAATTAAAATGAGGAGATTTTAGCTGCTGATGGCCAAAAAAGGACACAATTTCCCATCACTTGAAAACTAATTGTTGACAACACCAACGTGTCCCCATAAACCGTGTCTGTAGATAGACTTTGAATATTTAAGAGTTAAGATTATATCGAGTCCTAATCAACCGCCCGTTGTGAGATTCAATGTTAACCTTGAAATCCGTTTTCCTAACTTTTTTTTAAACAAAGGAAACTTTACAGAAAAAAAAACAGCTTCAAAATTCAAGATTATATTTGCGATTTCCCTCCCTTAAATGTTGGGACTCCTGGAAGGCTTATTAGTAGACTATTCTAGAATTTCTAACCAACAGTGAAATGTTGTAAGGTTTGTGGGTCGGAGGGAAGGTGTAGTGTAAGGAATATTTCCCCTCTCTCTCGCACACACACCAGAGCTATTTCCGCAGTGTGTGTCTCAACATTTGTCCCCCTGTAAATGACAATAAAAAAAATCATAGACAAATTTAAAGGTGATTCAAGGTCACACGTTCAGACACTATACTTTGCAATACATCCCGTGACCCCCGATACGGCGCTCTGTCAAGTGCAACGATGATTATTATTGATGAGATTTAATAAGTATCAACTTATTCACTTTGGGGGAAATTCCACCCATTTAGCGTTTGCGATATATTTATCTATATTTAATTTAAATCTATATTTATGAACGCTGACCCTAACACTACTCTTATGTAAAAATGGGTCAACATTTGTAACACGTCCTTATAATTCACAGAGGCTAAACCAAATAATAATTAATAATAATGCACAACCATTCCCCCTTAAAGGGTAAAAACAAGGTCTACGTTTATAACGTTTTACTGTGTCTATCCACATATATTATTATCATTGTTAATACATTATGAATATATTCATAATAAGAATTATATACGTATTAGACCTAAATATATTACGAATCTATTAATAAGAAGAATTATATACGTATTTACCTAAATGTATTATGAATATGTTACTATGATTCGTTAAAAGCGTGGGTTCGAAATTAAGGTGAAATACGCTTTTCTTAATAAACATAAATTAATATATATTTTTCGGATTGTCAAGCAGTGTCCTGCCGAGGAGAAGAGCGAAAGGCGCTAACTAACCAAAGCTGTGAACTATTTCTCATGTGTAACTGTCCTTATCGTCTGTAACTGTCTCTCTCTCTCTCCACACGGAATCCCGTCTTAACCTGGTCACAGGGTCCACAGTGAGAGCTCACTGCGGAGTGTTTCTTATTTCATCCCTCAGTCACTTATACTGTTGTTTAACAGTGTGTGTGTGTCTATCTGTCTGTGTATGTGTCTGTCTGTGTGTGTGTGTGTCTGTCTGTGTATGTCTGTGTGTGTGTGTATATCCGTGTATCTCTATCTATCTGTGTGTGTGTGTATATCTGCATATCTCTATCTATCTGTGTTTATGTGTCTGTCTGCGACTGTGTATCTATGTCTCTGTGGGTATATCTGTGTGTGTGTGTGTGTGTGTGTGTGTGTATGTGTCTGGGTTTATACCTCTGTGCCTGTGTGTGTGTCTCTATGTCTGTATATCTGTGTCTGTGCATCTGTGTTTATATTTTTCAAAATTACCGAATACCGTTTAATGAACCCAGTAAAAAGAAAAGCTATTTAATGTTCCTCACTGAGCGTCTGAACTAACACATGTCCTCAATAATGCGCATCGGCGTTAGCCGGACACCCACCTCACCACTGCCGCCCCCACTCCCCAATCCCAGCCCTTATCCCCTTAAATAAACCCAGAAAATAAATCTGCATCTTAAAATATACACCCTGACCTTCAGCTGACTACAACACAGGAAATCACACACACACTTTGTAAATAGAATCCCAAACTGTCATGGGGGGGATTTTCTCTCTCTCTGTCTCCCTACACAGAGAAATATGTATTTATATATATATATAAATATCCCTGAGGAATTTTCTCTCGCAGAATTGTAATATAAAATGAATTGACTGTGTTTCAATCAGCCCGAATTAATGGATCTACAGGGAAAACACAGGTAAAGTTTCCCAACTTAGACCCA